ATGTACGAGCCTGACCAACACGCCAAATCGATTGAATCCGATGCACGTAAATCGTCAAAAAAAAATGGGGCTTCAAGTTTTACTGATACGTTGCATTTATTAACGGATTGGTTGATTCCGCGTTAGCTGGTCATTCGGTAAAAGTTATTTCCGAGGCCAGTGGTGATTGTTGTAATGTATTTTGAAGAATGCAATAAATACATTACCTCCTGTGTCACGTCCACTCGGGAGCCAGTCACCCCGGGAACTTATTGGCCTTGTTTTTAATACTTTATCTCTCTCTCTCTCTCTCTCTCTCTCTCTCTCTCTCTCTCTCTCTCTCTCTCTCTCTCTCTCTCTCTCTCTCTCTCTCTCTCTCTCTTTCTGTTTTGTTTTTTGCTTTGTTTCTCGTATTACCTAAATTACTGATATTCTCACATTCACTCATTACTCTCATCTCTCACCTTCACTCACCCTCCCACCTACACTACACCTTCACCCTCCCACCTGCACTACACCCTCCCACCTGCACTACACCCTCCCACCTGCACTACACCCTCCCACTTTCCTTCACCCACCAGTCGTCACCACCACCACCTGCCGCCTCACAACTTTCCCCTTTCCTTCCCTCTGGTTTTTTGTTATGGGTTATCCCTTCCCACTTTCCCAGTCCCTCATTGTCTACCTCCCCCCCCCCTACTCCCCCTCTCTCCCTTCCCCTCACACCTTCCTCCCTCACCTGTCAACGTGTCAACTGTCTTATCACTGACAGCGTTTACAGTCCATTATCGAGGCATTGACAGTGATAATGATCTGTTATTGTGAGACTGACAGATATGCGCGCGCGCGCACACACACACACACACACACACACACACACACACACACACATACAGGGGTCTGGTAGCTGAGCGGACAGTGTGCAGGACTTGTCATCCTGTGGCCCGGGTTCGATTCCCGGCGCCGGCAGAGACAAATGGGCAGAGTTTCTTTCACTCTGATGCCCTTGTTACCTAGCAGTAAAGAGGTACCTGGGAGTTAGACAGCTGTTACGGAGCTGCTTCCTGGAAATGTGTATATGTGTGTGTGTGCGGGGGAGGGGAGATAGTAGTTAGTAACAGTTGATTGGGTGACAGTCGAGAGGCGGGCCGAAAGAGCAGAGCTCAGCCCCCACAAGCATAACTAGGTGAACACACACATATACATAGTGATGAAGAGGGCCAGCAGAGGCAAGAGGACAGTGTCACAGCGAGAGGGGGAGACGTGAGAGTGGTGAAATGTTACCAATAGCGTGCCACAAGTCAATAATGGAGGTCACTACTACTCCTAATCTATGTGAACGACCAACCAAAGATTCCTTCCTCTCAGTGTTATCTGGCGATGTAAACATTGAGATTATGCTGGAGGACTACGACAATCTTCATAACCTGGACAAAATGAATGGTCCAGCAAATGGCCACTAAAGAGTTCAACAGCAAAAATAATGAAGTTAGCTGCTGGAAACAGGCGGTACCGGAGGGATTCGAACCTTGACTAACCCCTCCTAGCCGGTGATCAATAGTACCAAGTTGTGTACCAAAATCCAGATAAAGCGTATGGATTTGGACGTTGGTGTCTGTAGCGTCACAAACTGTGGTGGATGAGGCAGGAGCCTACCACAGCGCCACGGTCTCAAGTGGCGAGACTGAGAACCTCTGCAGCTGTTGCTTTAAAAACTGTGAAAACTTCTTACCAATTGAGAATGATTATTATCATTTACATTTTTTTGTAAATCTCGACTTTCATGTTACAGGTTTGAAGTGCGAGGAAATTCCTGTGTGCATCGTTCATAACTTTCTTGTCATTAATGACGTTGCTGTTGTTTTTGTATATCGCAATAAAGCAATAAATATGTAAATGTATAAATATGTATATATATATTGCCAGTAATGATGCTTATGCCTAAATGCCAAAATTATTTCTGCAGAGAAATTTAAAATGTACCCAGAACAACAACATGCAAAATGCATAGCATTCACGTATGCATAACATTCACGTATACAAAGCATCCACTTATACACGTTTTAATCTTGTATACATCTATAATCACATCTCGCATGAAGACATTCCTATAATTAGTCTGCCGGTTCTATTAATTCACCACAAGGTACAAAATACAGTGTCCTAACCTAACCAGACAGACAGGTGGGAGGACGTGGACGTTTGGATGACGTTACTTGTCATAGCACTGTGTACGTCGCGGACCTTAACGTACACAGTGAGACGCATTAGTTGTGAGGCGGCGTAAGTTGCCTCGTGTTGAACTTTCTCGTGTCGCCCGTGTTGGAGAGTGAGAGTCCCAGCTCTCACTCTCAGCCTTAGTGATTTTACGGGATGTCACAGGGGAGGAGAGGGCTAGTCTGACCCCATTGGATTGGGGGTCGGTCCGTATACCCCCTTCACAAAGCCGGTAGATATGAAATGTGAAACTCATACTCCGCAGAGTTTAGCATTTGTTTACAAATCTTGATGAATTCAGAGATTGACTTGCAAAACATATGTTCTGGCGACAGATTTTCATCCCGGGGTGCAGCATTTTGGTTACAGTGAGGCAGGAAGGGCGTGTATGAGCAGAGAGGGAGGGAGGCGACAAGGAGAAGGGCGTTTGTGGGTTAGGAGGGTAGAAGCGGGGAATGGGTGTGTATAGGCAGGGAAGGAGGAGATGGCGTTGGCTTCAAATGGCGTTTGAGAGCCGGGAGAGAGGTGACTGGGGAAGTTGCGTGTGTGGGCAAAGAAGAGACGAGGTGTAGGACGTGTGTGGGCATAGAGACGGCGAGTATATGGGAAGATATGGGGAAGGGTTTGTGGGGGGGAGAGGGTATAGTGAAGGTGTGTCGGGTGACATGGAGAGGGTGTATGGGGTGACACTGTATTGTGACCTGTATATGTGAGTGTGATGCGTGGCTGTGAGCATGACCTGGAGCTGTGAGAGTGAACTCTGACCTTGAGATGCTACTTTAGGTTCTGAACCGTGTTAATTGGCTTTGGGCTACACCATTGAGTTGTAACAACTGACTCCACTGAGGTCTTCATCCACAGTAATACATCAATCTAAATCTTGTGTCAACCCTTACGCCCTGGTGGCTCTTGCTCACAAAGGTTCAGCTCTCACTCCACGCAGCAGACAGCTGATGTATCAGGAGAGTCACGCTTGGTCCAGACATTGTGGCGTTTCTTGGTAAACCACTTGTCTAGAAATCTTCTTGTGTGTTTATAATTGTTCTCTTGCTCCTCTTCCCTAGAAGGTATGTCCAGCACTCCCACCAGTAACAGGTAGAAACCAGGTTGGTAGCGGACCTTCTCAAGAGAGTCCGTGATCTTCACTTATGTTTTCTCCAGCCCTCGGTCAACACGCGCGCGCGCACGCACACACACAGTTGAGAGGCGGGACCAAAGAGCCAAAGCTCAACCCCCGAAAACACAACTAGGTGAGTACACATTGAGGGTATAGTGTTTGCTTCCACATTGTGGAAGCAAACACTATGCATGGATTTAAAACTAGGTATGATAGGGAAGAACTGGAGTCATTGTTTTGAACAACCGGTGGCTAGAAAGGCGGGATCCAAGAGCCAACGCTCGATCTTGCAGGCTTAAATAGGCGAGTACCAACACATATATACCTATCTTTGTTATTATCCTAGTATGTCAAACTTTCTTTCAAGGTGCTTAGCAATGCTCAAAGAACAAGACCCTGCGAGAAAATCCACAGCAGCCATGACGAGGATTCGAACCAGTGCTGGGTATTCACAGACACTCTAGACGACTAGGACACATGAAAAAGAATTGCAACCCTGGGGGTGAACCCTCGAAGATTCCCGAGGCTTCCACTGAAGCCGAACCGAGGTTTCACAAAATTTCTCCCATACACTCTGGCTCTGTCGCAGGAATTCTACCTCTGGCGCCCCTTTCAATATAGAGAAATCACAGAATGGTGATATATCAATGAGATTTTTCTTGAATATCAATCACGAGGCATCTTCATATATCAGTGAGGATCCTATGCATTTTCTCATGATATATCATGATACTGTACTGTGATTTTTCTATGTATTGAAAGAATGGTGGTAACGATCTGTCATATAACGCTTTGAAACTACTGACAGTTTTGGCCTCCACCACCTTCTCACTTAACTTGTTCCAGTGGTCTGCTTCTCTGTTTGCCAGAATGAATTCTCTTATATTTCTTCGGCAGCTGTGTTTAGTTTAAATCTATAACCTCTGGTTCTTGAAGTTCCAGATCTCAGGAATTCTTCCATATCAGTTTTATAAAGATTCCTGTTACTATTTTGTACATGATCATATCACCTCTTCTATCTTCTAGTTTTGGCATATTTAGTGTCTAAGCTCTCCTCGTAGCTCGTCTTTAAGTTCCGGGAGCCATTTAGTTGCATGTCTTTGCACTTTTTCTAGTTTGTTGATGTGCAGCATAAGATATGGGCACCATACAACCGCTGCATATTCCAGCTTTGGTCTAACAAAATCCGTGAACAATTTAAGTATTTCACCGTCTACGTATTTAAAGGCAGTTCTGAAATTGGAAAGTGTAGCATAGGCTCCTGGCACGATGTTCTTTGTGGTCCACAAGTGATAGTTTTCCACCTAGAACCACCCCTAATCTTTTTCTTGATCAGAATTTTATCAAATGGTGCTTGATGTAGGTGGTTTGAGTGCCTCGAATGAGAGGAAGCGGTGTGTACTGGTGGTATGCACGTGCCTCGATGTGTAGTACTAACGGGTACTGGTGGTCTGAGGTACTGGTGGTCTGAGAGAGAGGAAGCAGCGTGTACTGGTGTGTGAGAGGAAGCAGCGTGTACTAACAGTTTGAGTGTCTCAGGTGAGAAGTAATCAATCCCCATACAGTTAAGCTCTTCAATTGTAAATTCTGTGAACGAGGTCAAATGTTACAAATATAGCCTTAAACTCTGTGAAAGTAAACGACTGATATTTATCACGTGTAGAACTTGCAGAAAAACACCAGATAATTCATCTTAATTTTTTTATATACAGTTCACAATAAATTACATAAAATATACAAAGAGGACACCACATGTTGCTTTATATACTAATGAGCTCAGCCTATGGCCTTTTTTTCCTTTATGGAACACAAGTGTGGCTAAAATAGTCAGTTTTTAAGTACATTACAGTTAGAAGTGCCAAGACAGTGCCTTTACATGCACTGTTTATTATTCACATTTTACAGAAAACAAGAATTGGAAAAAAAAGTTAATGTAATAACTTTTTGTTTGAAGACCTGAAATAGAAAGAGTAATATAACATTTATGAATCACACACAGTACTGTATTATGCATGAACTGTCTTGAGCTAATATGAGAAAGGAGGATGACCAGGAGTTTGTCCAATGTGCAGATCTCTGACATACATATTTACCAAAGGTACAAAGCTACCCCTGGCTCCCACCTCTTACACTTTCTCCTTGGCAGACGTTTAGTCTCAAATTTTCCATTTCCAAGCAAGAACAATGTATTCTGGAGGTATACAGTGTAATAAGCACTGGCAGTGCAAAAAAAAAAACATTTACAGCATCATTGTAAATACAAATCTTAAAACCATAAAGATTTCAAAGTTCCATCAAACAAATAAATATTGTTTATATATATATAAGTATTGTATATACAGTACATTATACTGTGTAATATGTATATATATATATATATATATATATATATATATATATATATATATATATATATATATATATATATATATATATATATATATACATACACAGTATATTGGACAAAATCATTAGTTCAATAGAATTCATACTTTCACCTGGAAATGGTCAATATGTACAAAACCTCTCCAAAATAATACAAATATCTCACTTATCAGATCTACCAACTAAATAAAAATCGGTTAAAGCATTACCATCTGCCAAGTTGAGCCTGAGATGGCACTTAATAAAGCTCACTTTACCTTTGATATAAACTAAGCAATGAACCCTATGGACACCCAAATGAAAATATATTAAACAGTGATGATATTTCAAGAAACAATATGTTTCCTTTCTTTAACATTATCAATTCCACTTTAGTTTTGGGCCGAACATATCCAGTGGACATAAGAGATATAGCACGTACCATTCAAGAAAAGTCCCTGCCTCAAAAGACATCAATTGACATGTGTAGTGGAAAACTATCTTCTGTACTTAAGGTACAATGTAGTTGCTTACACATTGAGAATTCTTAACATAAATTACATCCACAGAAATTTAAAGACCAATTAAAATAGAATTAATTGCACGGTGGCTTGGTCAAGTTCTTAAAACAACAAAATTCAAATTCCATTCTCAAAGTCCACTTTTCATGAATAAATCACTACTTTCCTTATCCACTTTACTTTGTTACTAAATTGATGCTCATCAGTTCACTGTGTATTAAAAATGCAATACCTTTTTATATTACCTGTGATGTAATATTGCTAGTCAATAACAAGTATATTGTACACAAATCTAACTCTTGTGATCACAGGGGCCAAATTCTTACGCCATTACCCGGAGGAACGACACATAATAGCTGATAAAATGGCTGAAGCTTAAACTCACATTGACCTTATAATTTGTTGCTCCAATTCATTGGCATTTAGCTAGTTTTGAATGCTACCACTCAAGCACTGTATAGGAATTGAAGCCCAGCATAACAAATATTTACTCAAGCTCAAATACAGTATAATTTGCATCACTGAAATCTTTCCTCTGCTCTTATCAAAATAAACTAATATTTGATTGTGCGCAAAAAATCAATGCTACAAGTTGCAAGACCGAATGCAATAACTGTACTGGCTATTCCAAGACCTCCAAATATTTATTAACAAGGACTTCTTGATGCAAGCCTAAACTATTTGTGCTTGTATTATTAAAAACATGGAACAAATAATTGATCTGAAGAAACTTCATGATACACAATAAGAAAAGAAAATCAAGAAATCAAATTAAATTAACCTAACAAGTCCATTTGGCACCGAGATTTATTTGTAACTTGTCTTCAGGTCTTGCGTACTTACTACCCTACAATAACAAGGCCCAAGTTACAGCCACAAACCATGAAAAAACTCAACTTACTATGCATGACAAATTTATCCTTAATGGACTGACTAAGTGCACTGAGCTGTCTTTGTCCAACAAAACAAAACAAACAAAAAAGTATACACACATATATAGGAAAAAAGATGAATGCTTAGAAAAAAGGAGGAATGTAAGAACACTTGCAACAATGAAAGCCACAACACTGCAAGTAGAAGATAAATGGCTATATTCTCAATATTCTGATTCAGATTAAACACATTTCATGCCGAGTGATCAGGATAAACAACAGAAGATAACATTCCGTTGCAACGGGCTTACAAAAAAAAAATATATATATACTGTATACTGTATATTCAAAACGGCTAATCCTATTAACTATAGTAATTATGAAGAAAACTTTAAATTATGATTTACCATACATTATAAAAAAGTTAACTCATTATAAACCTGAATTGGCAAATCATACCACTGTCACTCTGACTGTCGAGCCTAACCACAGCCTAAGAAAACCCGCAGCTTTCTACGAGAAATGTGTCGCACAAAACCAGACTTCAAAACAAAGCCAGTCAATACTACACCATTGTAACGTGTCATGCAACTCTCAACCTTAAGATTGTACTATGACAATCCTATTTCCAGTATTCATTACAAGATAACAACTGTCAGCAATGCAGCACTAATGACGACTAACAACTGTAATATACCACAATGAACTCCGAATAGCAGATTAAAGTTTCCATGCAACCAAAACCATGGGATAACCTTATTTGTACATACATCTGAGAAATACACAAAAACTTAAATTCCACTAGTGTTTATTAAATAAATAAAACAATAATATCAATAATAATAATAATAATAGATAACAATGACAATAATAATAAATACACAACAATGAAAATTAATAAAGGATAATCAGTGAAATTTAATGGATTAGAAGGATGGTCACATACAATCACTACTACACAGTAACATTTTAAATCACAAACATGAGAGCTATAATTTACATGTAATATTTTTTTAATTTTATTTAGTAAGATAAAAAAAAACACAAAAACAAAAAATTGAAGAAGGTTCCAACTAAATTAAATTAAGAGCCATTCAACAAATCATGTACAAAGGTCTGTACATATATTCCGGCCGAGTGCGGTAAACCAACTAAATCATGTAATGAAGGCCACCGCCAAAACTCTACCATACATGGAAGTAGAAATTATGGCACATCTATCGTGATAGAATTTTTGTTTCTGAATCTTGATTCACTAGCATTGCCTGCTTGCTGCTTATATCGAAAATATATTTTATATCAAGTGACTGCCCTGCAGCATACCTTATGTACAAGAAAAAACAAACTTGCTACTATTTATAACTAAGTGTTCATGACTGTGAAAGTAATGACATGATGATGATGATTAATTAAAGTCTATATTCATGTACATAAAAATGTTTAAAGATAATGAAGGTAAAATTAAAACATTGAAACAAGATTAATAGAGATGACAAGAGGGTAAATTCCCAGGTGTCTATTTTGTACCATAATGTTTTTACTACATTATATCTACATTCTGTGTCATGAAACAACAATTACCACAAGTAATTGACAGAACATTAATTAACTTGTGATTTACACAGATCACCGTAATTACAGTCATCCAAGTAATACTGGCTAAATTTTTCTTATACATTGTCAAATTATTTTAATTATCACAAGTGCATCATTTGCATCAATTCATACAATTTACATGTCAAGTGGCACCTTTAATTGAATGAATTTGCAATATTCTCTCAATATACTTTTGATATTGCTGTTCTCCGTGGCTAATATAGATCAGCAGGCCAATGAAAGATGACTAACAAAAAGGCCTTCAAATGAAGCCGTTTATATTCAACAAGAAAAATCCATTTAAGTTGCGGATAAAGATTAGTCAGACCTTTCACCATCTACAGAGATTATTAGCCAAGGTGTGCCACAGTAGACTAGTTTAAAATCACTAAATCATGCTTGGAAGTCCAAAGTTCCTATATCTTTACACATTCCCACCACTCACAATGTTATAAGCTTTGACAGAATTTATAACTGTTTAAAACAAAGAATAAAATGGCACTCGCATATGTTTAAGCTTTAAAAAATTTATTATACGATTACGTTCTTGCACGACAAGAACAACAGTTCACATACGGGCAAATATATCAACCAATTAATTCTCAATCATAAGTAGTATTCAGATTTGTGACCCTTACTGTGCTTTACATATATTATAAAAGCTTCCATTTCTATGCATTGCTTACATTTAATTTTCAGTTAGATACATGGAATGTTTTTCTTCTTTTATGGCCAACAAGCAGTGTTCAGATAAGTCTTGTAGACTTGAGCTCTCGAGCAATTTATTTTCATAATTAAGATCAGTATGTGGTTAAATTTTCAATGTTTCCTGCATAGTTACTATCACTACAACAACACACACATCTTCAACAAGGACTAATTACCTTACTCGTATACACATAACTTTACTTCTTATCACTGCAACTTCAAAATATAATTAAATTTGTTGTCAAAGCTTTTAGCTAATAAAACACTATATTTTTCTAACATTAATCACACCTAATATTGAATTTTGAATTCTTAATTAATGGAAATTGTAATGAAAGTAGTAACTTGAAATAGTCGTCTGTATATAACAGGCCTTTTAGGGTTAAAACAGTTCAATCTGCTCAGACATTTAAATTTAGAGAAAGCATCCAGAAGCAGCTTATTCATTTCGTTTACATATTACAAGTTAAATGGACTTCCTGCAATAGATGTTTTACACACAACTGAGTAAATTACTTGGAAAGGAATACCTGTATGCTTGTGAAACCTTTATATAATTTAAAATGAAGAAGCATGTATATATTCCCATTTTATTAGAGGCATATGGCGGCATTTTCTTCACAAGCTAGTTCAATGTTCCTCCAAGACTGCTCAGCCTGTAGGTTCCATACTGGCGAGATGCTAAACTAGATTATCACAGCCATGATTGCTTGTTCTAGATTTAGTGACTGGACAGTGGCCCATTAATCTCAAGCCCCAAGCCTTTCCATCAATTATCACAGGAAAGGAACAGGATTATCATTTCATACATACCTACAAATTTTAGTAAGTGAAAGCAATGAAAAGATTTATGAGATTCAAGCAATTATTAACAAATAAATAATAATTAAATACTTATGATCTTGCAATAAATACGGGTCATCAGGGTCTCAATAATGGGAGGATACCATATTATTACAAATCAATTGTTATGAGAGGAATAAGTCATCCTTCAACATGTGTCAAGAAAATATGCAAATGCCATGCTCTTTTTTTACTCTAATTCTAATGCTGTATCAGAAGATTAACAACAAAATGTGCTAAACGTTCATTATCTGCCCCACACAGTTACTTAATGAGTTTTACCAATCACTGACCATTAGACAAAAGGACAATAAGTATGCTGAAGACGTTAAGAAATATCTATATATCCAGTGCTATCTTTTTAAAAAGATTATTTCAGCAAATATGATGTCTCAATGTTATTGAGGGATTTAATTGCATATTTCATGCCTGTCTAATAAAGACATAATTTCTTATGATGCCAAAATAATACCACAGTTTTTTTTTTTTGTTTTTACATATTAAATTGATACTGTATAATATATTCAAGTCTCATATTAGACTAAAACTAATTTGGGCACTGCACTACATATTAAAATTATTTAATTACCGGTATTTGTTGGCTAATAATAGCAAAAATGGAACAAAAAACCAAGGTGAATCCTTAATGCTCTTCTATACCAATCTACTACTGCATGTCCCATTTGGATAACAGCTTAAAACACTTTCCTGGATACCTGAGGGGCCACTGTTGAACTCTAGAACATAACACCTTAGCCTCAACTTACCATTTCTAATACAGTATTTCTAGCTCGAGGAGATCTGGTGGTAGATTTAGCATAGAATAACTCGTTATATCTTATTTATGTACCAAGCCGTGCATGCATACCTTTATGCATGCAGTCATTTATCACATCTTGAGGATAATCAGGACCATATACACTTAGGTAAACATCATAGCAACAAGAATTCTGGAATTACTTATACTATGAAAAAACATGTTAAAGTAAACGTGTACATAAACGTAAACAATACGAGAATATGATCAAACTCAATATCCAGAACCCACACTGTGACACCTGTGCTAAAACAATAGAGGCTAAACAGCTCTCTTAAGAGTGTGCAAATTCATTCCATCAGTTCACCTTCGCAAGCAATAACCTCAACTGCATGTTTAACCAAGCTAACTTAGATACTTTGAGCAGTTAAGCTCCAGATGATCATTATTATGCCAATATAAGAATGAAATAATCTTTCCTGTATGCAAAAAATACCTAAACAATTCCAACTACACCAGCAAGAGCTAAACCACTGAAAAAATAATTAGGTAAATTTAAATTTGCAATTATGAAAGGATAACAGATGAATTCTACTGATGGTCACCCAAATCTCATTTGGAATATTGCCTGAAGACAAGTTTTCTTTTAAAATATATATCCCATATTTCACAATCTCCAACTCTCATAAAATAAGGAATTATCAAAAGTGCCAAGCCTGGAAGACTATTTAGCACTGTCCATGCCACGTAACGTTAAAAGTATTACTAGATATCAGCATGCGAGCAAAAAGATACAAGATGTGTAATGTCAAAGGTATCTGACTCGCTAAGATTTTGATCAAGGACTCGAAGTGGAAGCCTCTCAAAAAATTAACAAACCTATCCATCCAATTCAAGAGCACAAAACTATAAATTAAGACTCGCAAAATAATTACATGTCTTGGAGGACAGTTATGGTAATAAAAGATTTATCCACATTCCTTTATGATAGAACACATGGAGTAGTTTGCTGTGATTTTCAGCAGTAATGCAGTACCAGTAACTCACCATTCTTAAAAGAAACTACGTGAATTTTGAGAGGGTTTCAATCAATCGCTATTGGCAGCTCTAAAAACATTAACCAATATTCTTTGAATAACAAATCGGAATACAAGCCACGAAATTTTATCGTTAACATTACCAACATTCGCAAAGTTCATAGATATTATCAATACAGTATATCCCAGAGTGACATCACTTTAATGGAGTTTAAGGTGCCACAGGCTCGGAGCAATATCCAGAGCAATGTGAGTAAAGTTTCAGACAGAAAAGGGTGACCTTTCATCAGGAGTTACATCTGCAGAATTTTCCATCAAATTCTGTACGAAATTACTAAAGCAAAACTGATGCCTTGATTTAAAAGATAAAATTAATCTGTAAAATTTATATGTCCACAAAAATTCAGTTATAGATCTGCTGGTCTTTTCAATCATTGTGATGTTATTTGCTATGAAAAAGTGACTTAAAAAAAGCAGGCCTCAACACATGCATGCAATTGTTTTGTTTAATTCTACCAACAGAACTCCTACTTCCGTAGCTAACAGGTGTTACTTAGATATACAACACTGAGCAACTTCTATTACAAATGACAAATACAAAGCAAACTACATCAACTTCATAGGTGGGGAAAGGGGGGTATTAAATAAATATTTTCAAGTTAAAGGATACACTCGGGACCTAATTGCACATACACAATACATTAAACTAAACACTTCAAACCTATTAAGTGCCTCTTTGATCTAAGTTACCTTAATATATTTCAACAGTAAAGCTGTTACCCTTACAGGCTCTCTTAAAAAATAATCTTTGCTAGAGGTGAAACTCAATGAACAAGGTCTTCATTACAGTTTTAAATCAATAAATGGTATTTTCTAATGATCTGAAACAATAAGCAAGACAGTATCAAACATACTTCTTCCTTCATACAGTGTATTTAACTAGATAAAAGACAAATTTAAAGCCATACCAAAACTTAATATTGGTTTTCACGTTAAAAATCTGAACTCTGCATAGCTTGCAGAATGTTACATTCTATCCAACACCATATTTTATACTCGTACAAAAATAGTTTCCTGTGGAGGATCACACTCCTTTCAATGGCTTTGTCTGGTATGGTTTAAATCTGAATCTAGGGCCAAAATTCGCAGACACTGGATGTATGAATTTTGTAACTGGCCAAGTTGAAAGAATTAAGTTAAATAATACTGGCCATATTATGGAGTTTTGACTAAAGAATGCTCCACAACTTTCAGAGACACGTTCCAGAAAGCACACCCTAGTCTTTGGTTGAGAAGCTAAGATGGGCAGAAAGACAAGCTGGATGAGAAATTGCAGAGCCACTGGTTACTATCATGTTGGACAAATGCATCATGGTAGCCTATCACTGTTACCATCACCAGAAGACAAGATCCTCATCATTCCTTGTCCACCATGTCAACACTCCCATCATCATCATCATCATCATCATCCTGTAAAATGAAAAGAAAACCTTAATTGTGTACTAGTCAGTCAACTGCACATTAACCCTGAGTGCCATCTTCAGCCTTGCATATGGCAGCACATTTCTGTAGCTAGCTATTCTTGCAACACTTATTACTGCACTGTTATCTTAAGAGGTGGACTTTTCCTTATATTGTGCTTCTCTTCCTACATCTGTAACAAAAGTCTTTTACCTGTATGTATGTATAAAAACAAAGATGAACTGTTCATCTTTGATGAACAAATCATCAAAGATGATGATTTGTTTACTGAACAGTAAACAAATCCACAAGGGCTGTGACGAGGGTTCGAACCTACGTCCGAGAGGATCCCAGACGCTGCCTTAATCGACCGACCTACGACATGGTTACAAATTTTCATTTGATGCATCACGCTATTGTGATTTGTCTGTGTAACTGAACAGTATTTCTGAAGATTAATTAAACCTTCGACTGTAAATGGGAATTTCAGAAAAGGACTGAGATAAGCAAATATTCTACAGAAAATGTAAACGATTATTTTTCCTTTGCCAAATACCAAACAAGACTATTGATTTCCACAAGACACCCAACTATACAGTGGGCACCCATCCAATACTGTAAAGCTGTGGATGGGTTACAGCAACTGTGTACATGTATGGCAATGGTATAATGCAGGGCTGTCCAATAAGCAAGCCCATAAGTGGTTAAGCTGTAGTCTGTGGAGGTACTGTATTTTAATATTCAGATGAAATAGTGTCAAGTGAAATGAAATGACTCTTTCTGAGTAGATCATTCAGTTGCTCCCCAAGCCTGAGCCAGAAGGGTCCACCAGGTTCAAATGGACTAGCTTGGCTCTGCCGTGTTGTTGTTAGTATGTCATGTCTGTTAACAGGCGTGGCTTTCAGAATCATTAAATGAATTTGTTGTTATTATCTACAGTATGTTTTGTAACTTTGTGTGCATTTCAGTTTGCTGTTTCACAATGTTTCGTGTTTGATAGCTGCCAACACACCCACACCCGTTAAATCTACTATTTTCTTAAAAAGTATGGGAAGAGGGTTCCCCATGCTTTTGTGAGGCTTGTTTACCCTATAAGAATGACTGGAAAGTTATGGATTTTCCCTGTATGCAAGAAGCTGATCGTGGTTCTTTGCAGCTTTTCAGAATAAAACTTTTCTTTGGCAATGACATTCATTCCTGTAAGTCAGTTTGCCTGTTGGTTTCAGTTTTGTTCCTTCAGATACGTAACACCTGTCATTACTGGACAAGAATGTTAGCCATGCCTCCCAATAGGATTGAAGCTTACTAGACTGCTGCCTGTTTAAGAACTCGGGCTTCTCATTTTAAGCGTTAGCTGTCAACAGAAGCTACAGTGAAGCTTCACTTTAACAGGAAAGTCTCTTTTGTTTTATGAAGATGATAGTGATACCTTAATTGCTGCCACTCATGCCAACTCTTAATTCTTCCACTTGGGGTTCTCCTTTTCAACATCTTGCTTAATTATGCCTTATGGTGCCACCTTGTTTGGCTTTTGGCAGCAGCTGAGGGTGTCTCTACAGTCGTTTTTTCAAGTGCTTCAGCTGAAGTCTGGTCTTTAGCACAGGCACTGATTATATTTTTCTCAGACTCCTGGATGTGGTAGGGATGCCAATGTGTCGGCTTTGTCGATGGATGCCTGTTCACCCACTTCCCTGCCCACCCACCTGTTTACCCACCTGCCAATCCATCCACCCACCTGTTCACCTGCCTGCCTGCTCGCCCACCCAACCACCGGTTCACCCACCTACCTGCCTGCTCACCCCACCCACCAACCTGTTCACCCACATGCCTACATGCCCACTTACCCACTTGTCAATCCACCCACCCACCTGTTCACCCACCTGCCTGAACGCCCACCCACCCACCCACCTGCCTGCTCGAACCTGTTCACCCACCAAGCCCATCTACCTGCCATCCACTCATCCAAAACCCACCTGCCGGAACCCACCTATCCCTGCCTGCCCACCCATTTTCTCTGCCCACCTACCAGCTAGGCAGCTAACCACCCACCCAGCCCCACACAGTAATTAGTGCGTGTCAATTCTAATCATGAGTGTGGTATAAAAATTGTTGGAAATGGTCCCTTTTTGACTCAGTGGTAAAAAAGTACTATTATCCGGAACACGTGATAATCCGGCTGGGGGTCCTTCCCATATAGTCCAGATGATCGAGTGGAGACAGTATATGGAACCGATATATGGGAAGAAAGAGGAAATAACTGCAGACTCATTCAGCAGATAAAACCAGAATTGCCATAGATACCTCATCTATCAAAGTTCCGTGGTGTATATCGGCAATTTCAGGATCAAGATTATATCCCAGTTTGCAAATTTCAGATTCCTCAATTATAATGCAAAGTAAATAATGATTCTTGAAATGTGCAAAGGTCACATTATGACAGTGTTAAGTATTTTATTAGCTGAAGTATAGGATTCCTGACCAATGACTTTAGTTGCTGAAATAAAATGACAAACATTATATCATCAAAGCTGATTATGAAATGAGCCCTGAAGATAATCTTGCAACAATGATGTAATCTCAACTACAATGCAAAAACAAAAACCATTACCACTGCACGTTCACACTTTCATAGAGAGAGAGAGACGCATCATGCACAGCAGCACCCCACTACTCCACGAGACTCGGTGTGTTGTGCCCGGTGAGAGTCATTATATACCAACATGCCCAAACATTCACCCCTCCTCCTCCATGAATATGTTTCCTACTACTTCTAGTGTGCTGCTAAAACTCCGTCCCCTACGTCATCATATTCTCACTCGCCAGATCTGCCCTGCTACATCCCTACCCATTATTCCCACCAAAACTGCAACCTTTAAGGATAATACAGCACACTACACTTGACATTCTTCAATAGCACCAGACTTTTGAAGCGCCTAATTCTAACATGGGGAAGTGTACATACCAAATTATACAAACTGGGATGCTATACTGAACTAAATAATGAAATACAGAAGAGATTTTTATAAAAAAGAAATATAAGCAAAATACCCTAACTATAAATACTGTACTAATTTCTACATAACAATGGATATATCACACCATTCAGAGTTAAACAAAATTGTCTATTTTAAACTCTTCCAAATTAACTGAGAAATGCATTAACTGATTGATTGGTTAAAATACCTCTGTCGCCGTAACAATGAGGTCATTGGCGCAGATGCATTAACACTGCACACTAATTCTTCTTACGTGTTCAAGAAAGAGGCAACAGTTGATATTCATACTTCTGAGATGATAAGCCAACAGCCTAGTGGATTTATAAATATAGAGACATTAAGTATGGAACTAGTAAGTGAGGAGTTAATAACTGTATGCTCTTCACACCCTCTAAAGCCTAACACTTGTATTGCCAGATTGATTAATACTCTTGTTAGGATCTTCTGAAAAATCAGACTTTTTAAACTTTTAGTAAATGCTCACCTGTACATGCCCTTGTCCAGAAGAAATTATTGTTGATGCATCCAGCGAGGCATTAAGACCTGCAGAAACTTCAACGGTGTTTTCTAGACCAGGTTCTAGTTTGGGGACTTGCACAATTGGTGTCATCACTTGTAGAGGTTGGCCATCAGATCCTTGGATGTTGGCCACCACAGTTTGATACACTGGTAATGGCACTGTTATCATCCCTGATACTGGATACGAGCCCGACACATTAACTGGAACTGATCAAATTAAAGGAGATATAGTTAGGTCTTAAACATTTTCCATTATTCTCAAAATACAACTTACAAAGTAGAGAACTAAAAGAGCCAGCATTGAATGTAATGAAGCACCTCTTTCTGAAGGGACCAACAGATGCTTCCTGAAACTAGCAACATGGAGATAGAAACTTTCTGCAGTTTCCTTAATTCTTTAGCTCTTATTGATACATACATTCATTGATACTGTATGTATGTATGAATGAATGTATATATGTATCAGTGAATGCTTGACACACTAGTGTTATAGATCAGGGAGATACTGATAGATTCAAAAAGGTGTTTCATTACATTCACGGCTCGATTTATTTACATTTTCCTTGAAACACGCGATAAAAATAAAAAATACACAGCGGCCCTTTAAACAAATTTACAAAACTGATGTGAGACTAGATATACAGAATTTTATATATTAAAGAAAGTATATGGATTTTTTTAAAGTTTTACCTTTTCACCATATCTTTAACTCTAATTTTAGAAACTCGTAAAAAAAAAAATTCAAATATTGCAAGATTAATTAATGCACTATAAGGAGTAAAGATAATTAAATAATGTCTTTCAATGCAGATTATATTTTGATCCTCACAGTGCTGGTGAGGATCCTATTGGCAGAATCTATGGTATTAATGAGAAACAAATTTCCCTACTCTTAGAAGCTCTGAACATACTTAAAATTCTTAATGACACAAAACAGTACCATAACAAGTACTACCAAGCTTTATATAGACCTAAACCCCAGAGGAAATCCTGGGAAAAATAAAGCATATGATATCCTGCTGCAGTGATAGATCCATTAAATGTACTCCCCAAAGATGGCTAAGTGATAGCTCTAAAAATCTAAAATGGCAAAACCTATTAGGATCTATTATTAAACAAAAATTTACTTTCTTCATGGAAATTAGTGATCTACATATACATTATGATTTAAATAGAACATGTTTCTCGCTTTCCATATGTATTTTTGTTTAGAAATAACATGTCCAGCCATGACTAGCAACTGCCATGATAATATGACCAAGAGAGTATCACAAAAAAAGGATAACAGAACAAACTAAGCAGGCTATTAACTTACTTTGTGATCCATCTTCTCCTGTTAGTAATATGGTCCCTTCATGGGCAAGAGTCCCTTCAGACACCTGGTTAAGGTCAATGGCTACCGAGCCACCAGATCCTCCACTCTCCCCATCCAGCGACTCCCCATTCTGTGTTGTGATCTGTGGGATCAACAACCTCATCCTTTTTAACACTGCTCAGTTAGTTATTTGCACCCAGGAGGAGTAACCATGCAGGAAAATGTAAGTGTGGCAAGCAGGGAAGGAGCTAACTTACAAATGGATACAATAGCATTAAAGAAATATGTAAACTAAAGGAGAAAAAGAAGCTGAAAATTAAAAAAAAAAACTGTAAAAGTCACATGGATTCCCGAGTCAAAAGCTAAATAGTTATCCCTGGGACTGGATTCACTCGCCAGTCCCTAGATGACTCGTCTCCTCGCCTTGACATAACTTTGCAAACTGTATTGCCATGTAGATAAAGGGAGCGAGACACTGCAGAAGCTAATTCCATCCACCACCAAGTGACCGCTCAATAAGACAGTCATGAAGAAATCACTCCAAATCCCTTTACAAGTGATTGTTATAATACCCAAGCATCCCTTTACAAGTGATTGTTATAATACCCAAACATCCCTTTACAAGTGATTGTTATAATACCCAAGCATCCCTTTACAAGTGATTGTTATAATACCCAAGCATCCCTTTACAAGTGATTGTTATAATACCCAAGCATCCCTTTACAAGTGATTGTTATAATACCCAAGCATCCCTTTACAAGTGATTGTTATAATACCCAAGCATCCCTTTACAAGTGATTGTTATAATACCCAAGCAACCCAATCATTGCTATGTTATCAGTAAGTACTTAAACTAGAAGCTACACCGTCTAACCCAGTTGGCAGCACCAGCCATCACAACAGTCGCAGGTTCAGTTAGTGTGCATTAATAGCCTGATATTCCTTTTATGTTCACTTGTCTGCTCTACAGGCCTATTAAGTTCAACTGACTGGCTGCTCCTTGAGATAATTATCCTCCAATTATAATTTACAGAAGTGAATGAATATGAAATATAAATCAAGAATGTTAAAGTAAAATAATCATTACATTGACAAAATGCATAATATGATGAGTCAAACACTGCTTATACAGTGAGTAAGGGTTTCTTGGCATCATATTCTGAACTTTTTTATTTTTAAATAAAAATAATAATTGACCAGTTGGGTTAACATGCAATTTAAAGCCTCCTACAAACAAAATCTTGGCATATTACATGGATAAAACGACACTGGCTATGGATTTTTTTAAATAATAATTGATCAAACATTTTTTTAACACAATGTAGAAAAAAAAGTAACGTGCAACTATTAAAATAATATATTAAATAATATTAACTCCAGCCCTGGGGTTAGAAAACAAAAGCAAACATCAAATGCATGCACTTAAATAAGTAATATACATCTAAAATCAATTAAACAGATAGTTACATACATTATCATATAAGTAAAATACTGCTGCACAAAATATTTTGAGCCATAATTTAGGCATGGTGATGTAGCAGCGTGATGTGATCACAACCTCAGCTTCTACGCTAACTTTGTGTTGGTTACACTGGTTGGTTGGTACCTGCTTGATACCTGGTTGATGGGGTTCTGGGAGTTCTTCTACTCCCCAAGCCCGGCCCGAGGCCAGGCTCGACTTGTGAGAGTTTGGTCCACCAGGCTGAACCACTTTGGTCCACCAGGCTGAACAGTGTTATTGAAATATTCTCTAGCACCAGTCACTAACATGATGGGCCTTCACTGCTTCACTTCTCACTCTCATTCAACCAATAAGAACACAAGCAGTTAGCAAACTGGAACAGCAACTCCTATTTATACCCAATCAAACCCACTCGTATATGAGTGGGTTTGCTCCCTATGTATTTCTCCAAGCTATTTGACAATGAAGAAGAAAACAAAGGGGTGACCAAGGAGGGAAGGGAGTAGACAATTGACTTGATAATGGTCCAGGACAGACTGAAACATCGTCCCTCCATCTTCTAGTGTGGTGGTCATCAAGGAAGTAGAAGCTCTAGAAAACACAAACCTGAACAATCAATTAGGATCAAGAGGCCACAAAAGCGGGCAGCACCACAATCAGTGACTCACAATCAATGAATATATTGCATATTATTGTTTTTACCATGCTCATTGTAGGATGACAGAAACCTCGGCTTCTAGCCAGTGAGACACGTGACTGTCAGTGAGAAAGCTATTTATTCTGTTGAGGTTGAAAACAAACTTGTATGTGGGGTACATGTGGCTCTCAAATCCAATAAGTGCAGACCGCACACTTAATTAAGTCACTAAAACTCCATAGTGTATCAGCTCAGAGATTGTAATATGCATAACACAAATTCACTAGTGTAATTTAAAATGCAGTATACAAAGTTATCAGTGGTTTATCACTGAATCTGTGTTATCTAAAACTGAAGAGCGTGAGGTTTGCCTGTAGATATTTCCCTTCTCGGTGAATTTGGAGACCAAAATCTGCAGCTGAGCCAAGTCTTCCCCATATTTTCTGTAGATTTTCACTTCCATCTCACATTTGGCTTCCAAACCCAAAAAAACACATTTGGCTTTAGAGATATTCCAATTGGAATAGCTAATAAATCAGGCTTTGAGTGAATATGTAAAGCTCTTGTCTGAGCAGAACAATGAGCTCCTCTCCCTTCCCTCGAGTCATTAATTCCTCTGCTCACCATTCTCATTTCCTGCTCACTGCAGGAAAAAGCCAGACTGTTTAAGCACAAAATATAAACATTTGGAAAAGTAGAGTTTATGAATGATAAAAAACCCAAGTAAGAGGGAGAAAATGTGAAAATAATATTAACTGAAAGAACACTGTAAAACACACGGTGCAGCAACCTGTAAAACGATCCGACTAGTAACAAAGATAAATCTGTTTCCATCTAAATTTTGCATCACCATCACCAAGCATACGTAGCTGAAGTTGTGAACACACCAAAATACAACACAACCATGATTATATGAAGTTTGCAAATCCCCAGATACACTAATCCTACATGTTTAATCATTATATGATCAAGAAAAACCATGGCATATTCTAAACACAATACTTATTCATTAGTCAAAGAATAAATTACAAGGTAAGGATATAGTGCTCCCTAAAATTCAAATCATATTGTTCTATATCCACTTCGAATTTTCAAATAATTCCCCAATTTAAGAGGGGAATATTTATCACCAAATTTTCTAGTTTTCTTATAACTTCTTTCAGCTAGACTGTCAAATATCTTTTCATCACTGCGTACATTTTATTCACAAACCATATGATATACTGTACTTCCTTTACTTTCTGGGAAGGCTTCCAAGGTGGTGCCCTATTGCTAGCCACTCTAAATAGCTCCACACTTGTATCAAATTGCACCAAGGACATCTAGGTGTCCTAGGGTTGACTAGGCACCAATCCTTAACTGAAGCCTCAGTTAAGGCTGAGTGAATGGGTACCCAACAGTGAATGGGTACTTGGTTGCTAAACAATTTGGCGGGTCGTATTCCAGGGAAAATTACGATTAAGGACCTGCCTGAAATGCTATGCATGCTAGTGGTTTTACAAGAATGTAAGAACTTTTGTATATACAGTATAAATAATAATAATAATAATAATAATAATAATAATACAAAGATAAAACCAAGACCTTGTGAGTCATTAATAGCTGACCAGAGACCAAAGGTCAAAATCTGATCCCATCAGAGAGGTGCAGAGCAGAGGATACTAATCACTTTGAGGAGAACGCTGCCAGAACAACCTGTCCTCTTAAAAAGAACGTCGTTTTTCGCTCGTATGTGTCACAAAGGCCAAAAATTGTTATACAGTACTAGAAAATGGAAGCGGCTCGCAAAAGTGACGTACTGTCCCGTTTTCTGATTTGGGTCCTCTGGTTTAGTCTGTTAGGTTAGGAGAGGACACTTTAAATTATCCGTTTTCTTGACGTTTTAAAACCATAGAAGGACGGGCTGGCCAGAAGGGTAGTGAGAAAACGGACAACAGTGGGGCAAAGCAAATAAAAACTGCAAACCCAAAACTGCAAAACCAAATCGAGCAGTTCGGTCATTTCACCATTAGTACCACCTCCCCACCACCAGATGACAGCACTAGAAGATGGCAACTCAGGTGGTGAACTTCAGCCATTTGCTTGGTGCTACCTTGTGTAGTGCTCCAAGCCTTTGCGACAAATGAAGAACCTTCAGGTTTTTGCTCTGCTTCCTGTGTAAGTAACGAGGAAATACAAAAAATATCCTGTTTTTCTGGCCCAGCTGGTGTCTGGTGCCAGGCCTTTTCTCTCTCCTCCTGACATAGTTCCAGGCTGTTTTTTCTATCACTGCCCTACTTGGTGCATTTGGGAATTTGGGTTCCATTTCTGGAGATTGCCCCATACTTGGCTCCGGCAGTCACTTTAGTAGACGTTTTCCAGTCTCTGAGCCATAGCCTTCAGTTCTGGGGGGTTTATGTCTTTGCTTGTAGGGGATCTGGACTGGAGGGAGCCTGTAGAGGGTCCATGAGTGACTTTCTCACTGCTTTGTCTGTGGTGCCTTATGTGGGAGGGTTTTTAATTAAAAACTAAATTAATAACATTTTATTAATACATACAAACAATAAATCCTTTTATGTTCTGCTCAGGGGTTACTAAGCCGCTCTCTGTTGCTGTTTGGGCTCGTTCTTAGGCTACTTCCCTAGTATGTTTCTAGGGGATGACCAGTTCCTGGGTTTCATCATATTTCTCACAGGTTCTTGTCAGCTTGCCTGCTCTCAGCATTTATGCAGGTGGTTTCCTTCCAGGGTTCAGGTTCCTATTGGGTTTGGAGTCCCAACCTTGCCCTGGTTAGTGGGCATCTTATTTCTTAAGGGGAAGCTTGGTGAGCTGTTTGCAGTCCCCAACTGTTCTTTTTTGTGCTTCCTGTTTTATAGTAGGGGCTGCAGCAGTTGTATCCTAGCTATTCACATTTCAATTAGTTTGCTTGCGAGCTCTTCTCACTCCTGTTTTGAGCGAGGAGAGTTTGGATCCACTTCCCCATTTGTCCACTTCAATTTTCAGGCAGTTTATGTTTTTTGCTTTCTTGGCAACAGCTGTGCCTTAGCAGCCTCTCCACCATGGTTTTATTCCATACACAATAGGTTCTCTCCCTTCTGTGTGTGGGGGGAGGGGATTATCTTTCATGGTTTGGTCAATCTTTTCCTGTCAGGGTAGGTGTCCATTGAGGCCTGTTTGCAGTTCATGCTTTGACGATGCTTTGGGGTGCCAAGTGGCTCGGTTTCTAGTCTTGACCTTACGATACTTGGGTTTTCTGGGCGTTTTCCTTGGGCCTGCAGGGGTAATGGCACCTTTCCCTTCCCCCTTCTCTTTCATGCAGTTTGCCGAGCTGGCTTAACCGAGCTGGTATGTTGGTTAGGCACTGGGGGGTTCAGGTTTTCCTGTGATCAAAGGGTTCCCATTCTGTTCCCTTCCCTGAGTGGGTCTCACCAACTCTGCAGTTTGTTCATCCTCTTTGGTTGCATCCTTTTTATCTTTGTCTCCTTGCATTATCTTTGCAATGTTCCTCTTGGACTTGTAGGTAGCTTCTTGATTTGTTTTTCCTAGCTTTGCAGGCCATCCTTTGACTCATTCCATTTGTATCAGATATCAGGATCTGGATCTGGTTCAGGTCCAGGCTAGTATCAGGACCTGGTTCAGTTAACATCAGGATCTTCTCATTTGTCATTTTGGGTCCTTTCCTTTGGTTCTGGCCCCTTGGACTTCAACTCACCTTGATTCAGCACAAGACTTAAGGGGCCTGAGCCACCAGCTTCCAGTGCTGCCGCTTGGTGATGGGGAGGTGGTAATAACAATGAAATGACCTAACTGCTCACGTTTTGTTTGTTATTTTGTTAACTTTTGCCTTGCTGTCATCTCGGTCTCGTTCTACTTTCTGGTTGTTATTTCCTCAAAGTGATCCAGTATCCTTGCTCTCTCTCTCTCTGCCTCTGAGGGGACCAAGTTTTGGCCATAGGTCTGTGGTCTGAGTAAATTTTAAGTAATTTATCTTTTATGTATTTTGCAATCTTTTTTTATATTACCATTTTTACAGCCTACATTTTAAGCTAGATTTTGAGTTTATTTTAAAGATATCAGTCAACTCTTTAAGTATTTGATTTTTTTAGTAGCAAGAAAATCTTGTAATAATGGTGGGTTGTCTACTAGTATATTATTTTATATTTTTTTAATTGCTTTGAAGACATAAAACAATCGGATTAACTAAACACAAATCATTGGAAATTATTTGCAAACAAGTTATATAATTAAAACCGATATTGTTGAAAAATTCTGACAGGAAAATTATAACATTTTTGGCAGGAAAATTATAACATTTTTGGCAGGAAAATTAAAATCTCAAAAACATAAGGTTTTCCTATTTCAGTTTGTTGGTTCCATGCAATTTTGATGAAATTTTCACACAATACACAACCCAAAAAGCTTTACATTTGTGTTTGTGGCTTATTTATAAAAATAAATTTTGGGCAGACAAAATTCAGAACACCAAATTCATTATTTTTTTTTATTAGGAAACAAATTAGAAATTTCCTCTTTATTAGGAAACAAATTAGAAATTTCCTCTTTATTAGGAAACAAATTAGAAATTTCCTCTAACACAAGTTTAGAACTGTGTCTTGTCTTTACAATGATACCATCAAAATGACTTCAGTAATATTTGTAAATCTGAAATTTATTTTAATAAGTATTTTTGTTTACTAAAAATTTAAGTTAACAGATAATAATCATACTTATGTTTTAAGGCTAAATTTCAAAGAAATGCAAAGTCTGAAAATATCATTCTTGAGTAAAATTTACTTGGACCTCTTATTAACTCACAAGGGTCTGGTGTGATCTGATAGGTGAGAATGTCAGAGTGGTGAGGACCACTTGAACCCACCATAAAAGAGACATTTCATTCAACGCTGGATTTTCATGTCGGAAATAATACTGTAAGTACAAATGCCATATATTTCTGTCATCCACTTTCCTCCCTGGCCACGAACATGCTTCTCTAATAACTCTGCCGTCTTATATTTGGTAAAGAAGTTCATGTTACCCTTGTTTGATGTACCGATACTATTCTCACTGCATGAGTACCTTCAACTCACAAATAATAACATATTACAAGAACACCCAGTGAAAATGCTCGAGTAACAAGGGGTTAGACTGTACTCGCACAAAAATCTGCATGCCTTGGAAAAAATAGCATAGACTCGGTCATTTAATTTATAGGCGAGTACTAGTTCGGTAAAACATTTTTATAATACAAATGTATTGTTTTGAACAATATTTATAAATAAAAAAGTAAGATTATCAAAAACAGGAAAAGAAATATGATTTGATGGAAATTACGTTACATGAAGAACTGAGGTTACAGTTTCATCCCAGTCACCTTTGGCTTTCAGATTTTCTTGAGAAATCCAGAATTCAAAAAGGGAAAATCTGGTAGGTGGATATTATTCTTTGTCTTGAGAGATCTGTTATATGTTTGAATTTTTCAAGAGAGCACTATATTGCTTCTGTAAAGCTCACTATGTTCACCAAACAAATGGCAGTCTATGAAGTTAAAATAAAAATATATATTTTTATATACTGTATATAAAATATATATATATTACAGGATAATGTACATACACACACACTGCATACATATATGCCATACCTAATAGTAAAAACCTTACTTCTTAACCTAGTAAGCAAGGTCCAATTTGCTTAACAGGCAGATCAATTTTGATTAATTTCAAATATTTCTTTCAACATTAGTAATATTGTTAGGAATGAACCAATGTATATCACATTAAAAACCTGAATTACTGATTAAGTTATGTTAGTTTAGGGTTATGTTTGGTGAAATTTCTGAGTTTTTTGACTTGAAAACAAAATATAAAATCTTACTCGTATATAATGCAATGAAAAAATGTGTCTGTCCATAGGAGAAAATGTTTAAAAAATTTTATATTTCACAAAATTTGGTTTGTAAGACAACTCGGTGCTCTTTGTATGCGAGGAGCATACCTGGAGAATTTGTCATATACTGTACTGTAATTCAAGTCATGTAAGAATTTGTTATACATTTCTTTGAATCTACTGATGGTTTTGGCCTCCACTACTTTCTCACTTATTAATTAGTTCCAACCATCTACCACTCTGTAAAAGAAAACTTTCTAATATTTTTGGGCATCATGCATGTGAGTATATATACAGTATATGTGTGTATGAAAATTATATACATTATATATATTAGTTTACATTACTGAGACTAATTAACTTGTTAGTTAGGCTTTGTCGGCAAGTAAGTGCAACAGCATCTTTTGAATATATTCATATCAATAATCATATATTTCAAACGCATGATTACTTTTAACTTACAGACGAATATTGCCAACTTACATGGGCAATTCCTTGAACATGCGCAGTAGTTCCATCAGGTAACTGAATTACAGGGTTACTAGGATCCACTTGGACAATAGACACAGTGCCATCTGGGTTACTGATGGTCTGCACTACTGGGCCAGAGTACACTGAGCTGGTTTGGCCTCCAACCTGCAATATGTTTTTCTAATTTATTATCATGAATGTAAAACACACACAAACAAAATATGATGTCAACACAGCCTTCAAGAATTTCTAAGCAACATTTAATGTGACTGAAGTAAGTAATTATCAAAAGAAGGCACCAAACCGGGAAGGCTATGTAGCACCATCTAATGTGCGGAATAATAATGTGACTGAAACTTCACAGTAAGCAAGGAAAGAAGCAAACAAAAGGATGGGAAGAAGGATTGTACACATGATTTCAATGGCCAGAAACTTCTGTGTTACATGAACACACATACATCTTTATTGCTTCATTTCCCCTTTTTATGGGGTGGGAAGGCCTCAGCCCACAGGGTAATGGTGGACAATCTAGTGAATGTTGTTACAGAAAAAATAACTCATCCACTTGAAATAAAATTAATTTTATATGGCATCACTGATACATGCACCGATACTTTACAGTAGTCCTCCACAGCAGCACCTCACTTCTTCAAAAGATTAAGTATATTGTCAAATCAGATAAATATATACATTTGCTCCCTCTTAAACCACCTCCACCTAGCCTCGTCCCTTACCATATGAAGTGTGTTGTACACTCATTCCCAACTTGTACACAGCTTCCTATGCCTTTGTCCTAGGCATTTTCTTCTTCAACATTCCAAACCATTTCATTACACTCAAATGTATAGTTAACAGACTTTTGCAATACACATCATAAAAGTGTCAGGTATAGCAAAAAGTGCTATACCTGTTTATTCTCCAAACACTATACAATCTTCACAGCTTATTAATTTCTCCTGCTCTAACTCCACATGATCATGTTAAAACCATACACTAATGCTAGCACATGCAGACCTCTGGTTGCATCTATATTATTTTTCTTATCAGGACTTTGAATAAACCAGTCAATTCCTACCTTGACTTGTTAAATTGTAATTTTATTACACAAATTCCTTTGTAATTAATTAGTCATCCCAGATTTTTAAACTGATTGACCACTTCCAGCACTTCAACATTCAATTTTTTTTCAGACAATTAACACTTTCGCGCTTTCCAGTAGACGTGAGTCGGCACCAATATTATTAAGCACACCGCACTCGTGCCCCTCGGGGGCGTCACGAGCAAAAATATTTGTATAAAATCCATTTATTATCCGATCAACTTGGGAATAGTATACAAATGTTTGCCATGAAATTTACGTTTTCTCTAATAGCCAAACAGCTTATAAAAGAAAACGGCGTGGCAGTGAATCATCGTGGTAAAACAATTGTATTATTGACACGACGCGTGTAATCGACGTAGTTTTTATATATGTTGCAGGTCGAACGCATCCTTATGTGACCTTTAATACTTATGTTCTTATAGAACATTCTATTGCGAGCACATTGGTACAAAAATGAAATACATACATCGACAAATAATGTCAGGACAGTGAATTGAATATACAAAGCGAGTTTCGCCGATATGCTGCCGCGGGTAACACTTCGGCCACTTCCCACACTGTTTTGGGTGGGCTACGACATTGAATCTATATTTATATGCATATGTCCGTGTAGAGAATTTTATTGCGATTCCAATGATACCACAATTAGCGATGTAGGACAACTGTAGGCTTCGCAACCATTAAGAGAGTGGAAACATTTTGTTGCTGTTTGGCGCTCTTGGCGAGTGATCTGAATAGTTTTTTATTTGGTGTTGATAGTCCTTATGCTTGGGCGGCATTTTATAGGTATGCTCTTATAGACAATTTCATTGCGAACACAGTGATACCAAATTTAAATACGTGCGCCTTCAATTATTGTCAGGACAGTAAAAAGAGTGTACACTTTTTCGGTCTTACAGCGTAGGCGCGCGGAGCGCCGAAAGCATCTAGGGTATTATTTTTTTTTGAGCGCCGAGAGTGCGAAAGTGTTAATTTCTAGCCATAACCATAACTTGCTTATCATTCACATTAGCCCCCCCCACCCCCCACCCCGAGTATGTCACATTCACATTCGAGTACGTTTAAGTTCACTTGATCCGAACCCATACAGATTGATGGTAGACAGTGTGCATTTAGGCGTAAATGTAAATTTATTGTACAGTACTGTATGTTGCGCACACACAATCTAAACATTTATTTATATACATTTATAAACCATTACTATACAAAAATAAAGACTGGTTTGTACCTGATTTTTCTCATCCTCTTCATTAAAAGCCGGTAAAAGGTCATCCCGCCCGTGATATTTGTAACAGTTGACAACAATTTGACGAAGTGCAGTTGTCCAAGAAACCTGCATAATGGACAATCTTTTTAAAATCTTTCTTTGAAATACAGCATAGTTGTACAAGAGTAACATTACTAGTAGCATCATGTGAAAAGATTAAAATAAGAAACCGAATGACCTTACTCCTAAGAGAAGAGAAGCATCTGAAGTTTACTTCTGTCATTACATAATTTGTTAAGAAAAGAATCTATAGACATAAGACTGCTGCTAATTTAGGGGAACTTGACTACATTTGATATTTGTATTTTTCATAACATCTTGGCAAATATGATGTTTAACATTTAACTACTACTGATGATATATACAACAAACTTGAAAAATGCACTGATAATGTGTGCACTAACAAATATAAGGCATTGAGTGGTATGAAACTAAGTGGCCACTCAATTGCTTCTCCAGTCATCAGGCACCCAGGGACACTGCAAAGATGACATCCTCCCCCTGCATTTTGCATTGACATTCATCTTACCAAAACAAATTACTTTTCCAACAGTTTTGCCATGTATTTGGGAAGGGATAACTGGTATTCTCAATCCACCACATGAGCACAAAAGAACAGAAATAAACTCCTCTACATCCCTTTCAAACATTAATTAGACACAACAAAAACAATTAATTATCTATCCTCTTGCAAACTATTGTACAGTAAATTACTAGTTATTGAATTACCCACCAGTTCTAGAAGGAGGCCTGGTCGAGGGCCGGGCCGCGGGGTCGCTAAGTCCCGAAAACACCTCGGGTAACCTCTAGGTAAGGTAACCACATGGCTACCACCAGGTACATGTGTCAGGTGTAAAACTGTCTGAGGAGCTGGCTGTTTCCACTTAAACCAGGCCATCCAAGCATACATAGAGATTAAAGACTTTAAGGTTGTTAATAGGAGCAATTAAGTAGGCATTCAGAAAGGTGCATTTTGCATTACTTGATGCACTTTTTCTGAGCAAAATACCCCAGGTTATTCTCCAATGCACAGTTAGCAGCAACACATGCACAAAAATGAAGAACTTGCATGAGCTAGATCCACACACTGAATGTTCTTGTAACCACAAACATCATTTGAATGTGCTGTTAAGTACTGTTTTCCATTCTTTTGCATGCTAGCAGGTGCTTTCTTTGGTGGTGGTTTTAGAATACTCTCCATTGTCTCCCCTTCCCAGACATGTTGCAAGACTATTTGAAAAGCTCGTCAAGGGGAAGTGAAAATCGACAAGTTCGGGTGTCTGCTATGTTATGGGTAAACTTTGATAGCCAAGGAAGCAACTGAAAAAACCTCGATCAGAAAATACCTGACCATTCATAAAGTAAAACTAACAGCATTAATAATTGCACTTATAACTTTTAATAGATGTTATTTTCTTAACTTTTCTACTCAAATGCTCCTGAAGGCAAAATTACTGAAGGTCTCACTGGACAGAATCACAACAATTGAGGCAGGGTGGTCCTTGACATCACTTCCTTCTGGATGCCATGCAATGTAGTTTTCAATTTTATAATAGGTGTTCTTTTGTCAGTCCAATATGTAGTGAAAGGTCTCCCGCCTTCTCAACAATCTTAAGAACAACAGGACCAAGAACAGTCCTCCTGTTCTTAAGCTTGTTAGAGCCTTCTTTCACAGGCTGGTAAAGTGCCACCCTGCCCTGACTCTCATGATCCCGTCCAATGGTGCCTTCAGTAATATTGCCGTTAGAAGCGTGCGAGTATCTTGCTTAAACAAGGTTTTTCATGTACACTCAAAACCAAAATTTTACAATTAGAAAAAATACATTCCCAAGATTATTTTACCTTTACCTTCTGTTTTTGGTCATCTGATCTAGCATCCATCCTCACATTTGCCCACGGAACATCTTTCGGCCACCAAGGCGGTCTCGTCGATTCTTTTCCCCAACCAGGTTTGCCTCTCCCTAAATAATTTAATACATAATTAAACACTTGTCTCATCCAGTATGATAACTATACTTAGATAATTACTTTTATGCACACACACACACAAAAGACACAAGAACAAATAAACAAATACAAAACTAAAAGCAAATATAAAAACACACACACACGATTAAAGCTAAGGAAACAAAGGTGCCGAAAAATATTAGACAGTTCTCTTTTTGCAAACAATGGTAGATGGATGGAACTAGTCACATATGACGGCAGTGGATGCCAACACTATCAGTAATATCAAAGCACCATATAACAGAGTACTGGGAAGATGGGACACCGTAAGCATAGCTCATCCTGTAATTATGCACAGGTACAGTGCATCTACAATTTGATGAAGTATATGGGACCAACCACGATACGCTGCAACCAGAGATTAGTTGCAATCCCAGATGTTTTTAGTTAATTTTTTTTTTTTTTTTTGAGAAGACAAGAACAGTACAATGATATGACAGTTTCTCCTAATGTTTCCCTCGTCTATGAATAGCATTAAAAATGTCAGTGGAGCCATATTAAACTTTACCATTTACACCGTAATATTTCCTACACTTTACGGACAAATTTAACAGAAAAATATTAATTTCACTATCATATGATGAGTGAAGAGAACCTGACTGTAAAGAGATTTAACCCTTGGTGCCATTATAAGGAATCAGCTCCTTATTTCTTGTTTTTAAAGGTAAGGCAAGACTTCACAATGGTATAAACGATCCAGGCCCATCAACTCTATCCCTGCATCCTAAGCAAATCCAGCCATCACCTGCATCACCAAACACCTGTTCAGTAAGGCAGGCGAGTAAATCCAACCTGCAAACTTACAACAGAGATTTGCCAAATCGAGACTGCACTGTAGTTACATACATACACATTGTATTATATTACATCGAGAATCACATGTTGAATGGTTATTCATAAATTAAGAATTCTGATATGATAATTCTGATTCCAATTCTGATAAGCTGTATTACTTTGAAATTTTAACTTTAAACTAAATATAAACATATCTATATATATATATATACCTGTGGAATACTTCAACATTAGTGGAATAAACGCTCTTAATTGTGCTTGAGTCATTTTTTCAACAGGAGTTGGGATTCCGTCAATAACAAGTGGCGGTAGTTCATGAAGGGATGGATCGTCTTGAGGAGGGGGAGGGGCTTGTTGTGCTAATGCACTTTCCAGTTCCGTCATTAACATTTGCCGTAACGTTTTCATCTGTTGAGTTAGAAAATATATAATAAAAATGTAACATCGTAGAGATAAACTTCTAAATTTTACCGTAACTCATTTTAAACATCAACTTGATAAAAATGTTGGAATTCTAGTATAAACATGACTGCAGAACAAATATTAACTTACCACATCCTCTAGAGGTTTGGCTCCAAAACATTTGAAATTATTTCCCGATTTGCTAGGCGTTGCAACAACCACTACCGCCTGCTGCCCAACTCTTGTCGAGTATTCGTCAATTGTTGCCTACAAAAAAAATATGATGGTCACCTTCACAAGACAATAAATAGAACAACCAACAAAGTACAACTGAGAGAAAATGTAGGGGCACTGAAACTGTAATGTGATTGACGTTCAGAAAGGCCACCAACTGAGGGACAATTAGAGGAAAACTGAGACCCAAAGCTGAACTGTCAACATGAGATCCACACATTTACATGACCCACAAAGCTCTCCAATATAAATGGCACAGTGAGCAGTATTTGGACCAGCTGAAAGAGGTAGAGCAAGTCCCACCTCTTCAAATCAAGAGGTAGAGCATCCAATTGCCTCCCTGTTGGAGAACAGCACCAAGTACAGTGAAGTTGATGGTTCCACACAAACGTAAACAGCATTTTCTGCCACATTCAGAATATTCAATACAAATACTTGCCAGTAATATAAAAATATATATTTTTAAAGAGAAACTATAAAATTCATTTGGGCAAGTACTGTTTAAGCAAGTGCTCTTTGGCATAGCCTCATCAAATGGCCAGAATTTGAGCATAACCAGGAGGCCGTCGACTAGGAGGCCTGATCGACGACCGGGCCGCGGGGACGCTAAGCCCCAGGAGCACCTCAAGGTAACCTCAAGGTAACCCTTGGTGGTCCAGAACATGGTGTCTGCTTGGCCAAGCTGTCATGGCAGACCAGCCTTCCTCAGCGCACAATATACCAATATTCATTTTTTTGTTTTGCAGCGTTTGGTACTACTCTAAATATAGTAAATGAAAAAGCACTGAATATAATGAAATGCTTCTTTGTTTTGGGTTTCTTGGTACTGTATCTCCCATTTAACTTAGTGGTAACATTTGAAAAACAGCCCCACTGTGCCAGAGAATGCTGAACTAGCCTGACTGTGTTTATTCCTGTCCTTGGGAAGAAGGCCATTAGCTAGGGGATCAAACCAAGTGGTATAGTTCAGAAATAAGAATGTTTGAAGGAAAGGAATCTTTGCATCTACTTATTTAAATACTGTAGAGCTAAACAATCTATTGAATAAAAATAAAAATTATTTCTAGCCATCAATCAGCATTTAATAATATTTTATGCTATGTAACATCAATAAGCATATTTACATCTAATAAATTATAAACATCAGTTGATAAAACATTTAGCTGCACCTGTAAACAAGAGCAAAACCTCACCTTTAACTTTCTTAAAAGTCGAGTCTGTTGTCTTTTACGTATAGACGGGTTGAGCTCAAAACTATGGTGTCGTTTACGTTTCTTAGCCGAGGCGATGGCAGCAGCCGCAGCCACTCCAACAGGTCCTGTACCATGCAAGGGAGAAACAACAAATAAAAGCCCTGTCCTCTCCTTGGTGGAGGGAACGGGAGTTGGGCAAGTTCTTGGCAATACTCTAAGGTAACTTCAATGACATATTGACACTGAGCTTCAAAGTGGATTTAAATGAAGTGGAAGATACAAATAAATAACAGATGAAAAATCACATAAATTGAATGAAGAATTTAAATAATAAGTAAAATGACAAAAATGCAATTGTTCATGCTAACTCAAAATCACCATCAACTGCAACAAATTAACCAAGAGTCTATATATAAAAACTAACAAAGCAAATGTGAAGAAAATGCCTTCTTCCCTCCACAAATAAAAAATAATAAAAATGTAACATGCATTTAAAAACAAAAAATATTTACATTTTATTCACAAAAAAGAAAAAAAAAAACACAATTATCCAAGTTAATCAAACATAAGCTGTGAATCATAAAATAAGATACAAGTAAAAAGAAACAATTACCACCCAATGGTTGTTAGAAAGACAACACCATGCAGAGCTCTTGAGATTCCTTCAATTGCCCTTCCCTTCACCAACTTCTGCATGAAGGTGCATGAGAGAAGTCGAGTTAACCACGACGCTTTCCAAGGGTTTTAATACGTACTATTCAGACACAATATGAGCAATAATAATCAACAATGACATCACAAATGAAGATTAGTAGGGCATTTAATTTGTGAAATTCATCTTCAAATCTGTGCTGTCACTGGCTCAACTGGTAACGTTTAGGTGGAAGAAATCCAAATTCAGTTTGTTAAATTTGTAAGCACTTTAAATGTGCTCAAATAATACAAAATTTGGTCAGTAAAGGCTGTGGGATGTGGATATTCCGGGTTACTAACTTACCTTGGTATGCATTTGACTGATTTGATTACTAACTATATCTGTATTTTAACATTAAGAATTTCAAAAGTGAAACAGAAATACACCTCTGAAAATCTTGGGCACTTAAATCTTTGATACAATTAAGATTTTTATGGCAAATACGAACAGTAATGATAAACAAGACCCGTAAAGACCCTGTACTCTTATGTCACGTTCCAGTCGACTGACAATTTGTTTAAATTATATCTACGGTATCAGATATGAGTGGGATAAGTTATAAAATTGTGAGTAACCGAGATGTATAGAATGTGACAATTGTCATTCTCAATACTAGAACCCCAGATAGATCTCATTATTTACACTCAATACTGTAAATATGACACAAACACCACCACCATAAAAAAAAAAATTTGACCCTAACAAGTACTGTAGTCTGTGAAGTTACATAAAAGGGTTAAACAAAAAGGAAATTTAATCACTTATTATGATCAGTATTATTTTTCTACATCAGTTAATGATACTATAATGCAAAACTCAAAAAACAATGCCTCAATATAAAAAGACAAAGACTGAGGAATTTTATCGTGATAAAAAACCTGACTTGTACAGAGCATAATATAATGCAGACACAAAATCTAGAGACTATGAGATGTAAAAGACCTACTCAAATAATATATAATGTGAGCAATGTTATGTTGCTAAATATGTTTGGAACCGAGATTAAAATGACATTGCTATACACGAGAACCCTCCCTAAAAGAAGCTGGAATGTAATTACTGTATAATACCTGTAGATACTATTTATTCCCACATATGTACTTTATGAGACAATGCAAATGAAAAATGATGTGTAATACATACTATAAGATAAAACTCTATGAACATCAAGAGGCCAAAGCAATTTAATATACTTAAAACAAATTATTGCAATCCCATATCCTGCTTTCATGGCAAGATAACACCTACAGGGAAAGGAAGGAAAAGTATCACAAGGTCAAAGAAAACTGATGTATGGAGAGAAATGTAACCTAAATAATCAGCATCATGGCAAACTGTACCACACACTACCAAAATATTCGCTCTAGCTTATCAACAATTTTATCCTTTACTCATTGTACCAATCCACCTTCTTAGCTTTCCTCTCCTTGTACTGTACTGTATAAGGTAAAAGTCGCCTGTCTTCAGAACCTAATACAGTAGTGTATTTAGTTTGTATTTGTTGTCCAAGTAGTTGCATATTTTAGTGCATTATACCTTTCTGCTGGATTTTCCATCAATAATGTGCTGATGTAGGGGGAGCCGGTCAGCCGAGCGGACAGCACGCTGGACTTGTGATCCTGTGGTCCTGGGTTCGATCCCAGGCGCCGGCGAGAAACAATGGGCAGAGTTTCTTTCACCCTATGCCCGTTACCTAGCAGTAAAATAAGTACCTGGGTGTTAGTCAGCTGTCACGGGCTGCTTCCTGGGGGTGGAGGCCTTGTCGAGGACCGGGCCGCGGGGACACTAAAAAGCCCCGAAATCATCTCAAGATAACCTCAAGATAGATCTTGCATCCCCACTTCCATGACACTACTGAAGGGACCAGATCCTGGCCTTGCTTCCCAGTTGGGGTGTTCATGGGGGCACCCAAACCTGGAGGACACCTTGTGGGTAGCTTGGGAATACACGAAGAGGAAGTCTCCCAGGAAAATATATGAAAATCACTCAAGTTTTCCAGTTACAGAGAAAAACGGTGTGAAAAAAATATTAAAGCTAAAAATTAAAAAGGTTCAAGGTTGAAAATAATAGCATTTGAACTGTCTTAAGCTTTCAGTTCAGTTTTGATAATATGCAATTGCATATCAATACAAGCAGAGCTTTTCAGGACTGATGAAAAACCCTCAACCAATCTGTAGCCGAACTAACAAGCAGATTATTTGTTCCTGACTGACCTGCAGAAGTAGCACAGGTTACCATCAACAGAGATTATTTGGCGATGACAGACTGAGAACTTGAAGAAAAAAAGTGAATCCACCCCACAAGAAATGGGTCTACCCTATCTCCTCCCACCTCTGTATACGTACTGTACAGCAAAGTGTGTACTGTATTCCATTTTTGTTTTTCATAATATATGGTATATAGTACTGTATAGTACCTGGTTTTTGGGTATAACAGTTAAGGCACTTGTACCCACAAGCAAAAGTAAAACATCACGGATATGGTCCTTGATCAAATCAGTCAGACGTAAATTTCTCTCATTAATTTTCAATATCCACATCAAACAGCATTACTGACCTTGCAGATTTTGACTCTTAGAAGTTCATTTTTGTAAACGATGGAAAATTCTGAAAAATTTAAGAACATTTTTAGAACAAAAGTTACCACCTGAGCTATAGGCAACAAGGATTTACATAGAACTTGTAAAATTCAAACACCCTAGCAGATACAGTACAGTATTTCATTAATATAATTACAATATAACATTATGAAAATTATGCAAGAGTATAAAATATTTTCATGATATAAAATTCAACTAAAAAAACTATAATGTTATGTTAAGATCATAACCTGCAAACTGATGTGAATGTGATCCTTGCCACAAATGGATTTATGTATAAAATATAAACCCTCTAGGTTTGATCAAGGGCAATTCAAACTTCTCTCGTGCACACATCATGGGTTTTCTATTGGTTCCCTCCACCACCAACAAAACGCATCGTTTCCTTCGCCTCACCTGACCACCCACCTGCCGCCGCTAACTGGGCGGTCACGTCGTCTTCTCCTGGTAATGAACCTTCATCATCATCAAAACTTCCAGGGGAAGACGGAACGTCGTCGTCATCGTCATCACTGGTTCCCGTAATATGTGTTGTAACATTATCCCCCGGTCCTCCCCCTCCCCCTCCATCTTCACTTAATGGGTCACCTGACCCCCCACTGCCAGTAATGCCAGCCAGTCCAGAGGCCCCAACACTGTTCATCACCAGCTGTAAGCCAACAAAACCACCGTGGAGTTATGGAGTACAGCTAAAATAATTATATTTTAGGATTTTGAATGCATTCACTAACAATCATAATTCTACTGACCTGCTGTCCCCCTGCCAATGCCACGCGCCATCCTCGTAAGGCTGATGCATCAACACTGTTCATCACCAGCTGAAAATAAACAATTATATATGTAATATTTTCAGAGACCAACTTATAAAACCACAGCATTAGTTATAAATACCACCTCAGAGCAAAAACAAGTCATTGTTAAGCACAATGAAATACTCCATTCTGAGATAGTTCTTCAGATTTTTCTGTAGATATGATCTTCACTTAACTCCATGCCCTTTAATTATGGGACCAAACAATTTAAAGATTATTTTTGTCCTCATGAGACATGCAAAGTCCCTCAAGGCCTGGCATGTTAGCAGCAACCTGGAAGGATTCAGTACAAAGGCATGGGAGCGCTACTGTGGGGCTGCTCAGATATGGTCATTTTATTACGTTCAGTGCTCTATCAACATTACATAATTAAAACCAATAAAAACAAAAACAAAATCAGTAATAAGTTTTCTTGGTTAAATATCACAAACGTTTTAAAACTGAATTGTTCTACTTATACATTTATTATTCAATTCAGTAAATAACAATCATTATAAGAATATTCTGAGCTAAATAAAATCAAATTTTTGTATTTTTTAATTTCCTCAACCTCAGCTGAGGAAAACGAAGAGTCTTTAATTTGGCAAAAGAAAAAATTAGTACAGTATAAAATGAATTAAGACTTACATACGAGGAACCTGAGTCAGAGCCTGACATTCCAAGGCTCCTGTGTTATGATGATGGTGAAGATGAGGGTGTTCACGAGTCTGACACGGCTCCGGTGGTGCCTATCAACATGGACACTGTTATAAGTAGGAGACCTGCAGCTGCTGTCTCTTATAACCACTCAGGAGTGGCCATGCTCATACTAAACTCACACACAAAGTAATAATACATTACTCAAGGAAAATACATTTACGGTATCAAGATTTATCATTAGGGTTATACAAAGCCATAGAAGGTATGGTTGTGCCAACTACTATATCAAGTATAGTATAGTACTCTACCTTAATACCAGTATAGCAAATAATTCAAATTATTAAATTAAACATTTCTACTCAAAGTTTCAATATGTTTTACACAATGGTTTTACAAGATTGCTAATTCAAAAAGTATTACACCAAAATCTGTGAATATCAATTTAAAAAAAAAAGGGTATAGGGCCTATTTTGGTTTCAGTACATTGAAAATGTTGAAATAAAGCAATTACAGTACTGTATATGGAAGATACTCTGATCTAAATAACAATAATACTAACTTTTAACAATCAATATCTTACAAACCTTTTCTTGTAATAAAGATAGATCCGAGTTGTCTACGCAAATCCTTCACCATACACCTATACATTCCTCCATCAATATACAGTACTATTTTCCTTTATTTGGCCTCAATTTTGTTTTTTCACCAAACTTATGTCATCCTAAACACCTCACTGGAAGTAAACAAAAAAGAAAATCAGTAATTCTCTTAATAAGCTTGTACTCTCCTGAATATAGCAGCTATTATTGTCAATGCTTAATTATCTCATATCAAGGTTTATTTACTACTACATATCCTTTCTCTCAATTCTATATCAGTTTCTTGAACAGTAAACTTTAATTGTTGGCCTTATGCATTGACAACTTGTACAACAATGAAAATACAGTATAAGAATTGTTGAAAACTACTGTAATTACAGTAATGTGGTGGATATACAGTAGTATAGTATTAAATGTGATACTGTACAGTATTTTAGTTTACAGATGCTGTACAGAACATAATTAGTACATTTACAAAAATCCCCTTACAGTTGATACTATCTACACTGTATAACTTATATGCATTTTTTTTTAACAAATAATTTTTTTCATTTGGTCTTTTGTACAGTATGACTAAAAATTCTTGTATGTATATTCCTGAATATTATATTAAATTAGTGCTTATAAAACTATCAATTTATAATATAAAAAAGTAAAATTTTATTCCATAAGAAAAATACTGTATAATAAAATAATTTAGTTGGTATGAATATTATTATGTTAAAATACTGCATATTATTAAGTTAAAATACTGCAATCCCATATTGCAATTCACAAAATACAGAACAAAATTTTATATTGAAGGCTAAAATGATAAATAGACATTCCAGTGCCGCAAGCCAGCCATATTGACCTGGTGACCACACAACAGCCTGACATGCAAGCCCAACTACAATCATTGACTTGAGAAATCAATGAATCTAATCAATACCTCTACTAGCCTTCTGAACCCTTACTGACTGCTATGTATAAGCCACTAATATTTCATTACTTTTAATTATAAAAAGCACAGTAGAATAGAGCAGTGGGCTATACAATATAAAATATAATACAGAACTAAAGACAATTGTACTTTAACAGATTTGAGGGTCATGTATACTAAACTATATTAAGTACAAAATATACATTAAATCATTATTCATAATCAAAACATAACTATGAACACTAATATGTTAAAATATAACTGGTAAAGCTTGCAATCTACTGGTAAAATTATAGCCATTGGTTTTAAGGATGTAGAACTCCAGTACAGTAAAACCTACACCTCTTGTAAGAATCCTCTATATGAAATCCTCTATATGAAAAATGAAACCTCTAGAAAGTATTTATCATTAAGGTTACAGTATACCATTCGACTTCCTTATCACCTTGATTACTGGTGCAAAGTCAAGATTACACTTGCCACACTGGAATGACATACCGCCTACACTTAATTAGCCAGACAAGCAATATGGGTGTGTGTGGGGTCAAGATATGCCAGCCAGCCAGGCCAAGCAGCATGACGCACGAGGACTGTCATAATGCAAACATTTAAAAGGACTCTGGGACAGTGAAGGGTAATTTTAACCCTCCTTAAAATAGCCCAGAGGCGCCCTCTCCCACTTCCTGCCCAACACACGAGGCTATATTAACACAGTACGAAAGGAAGAAATTCTAAGAATATATTCTAGTAGCTTTATTTTAAGTTTCTAACTATCCAAGAGAGCATTTCTCCCACCAGTGTAGTACTGGTGATAGAAATGGTGATGTTATAAGTGCGGGCAAGACATCGTATCTCTTGTACCACGACTTATGCTCCGTCTCCAGCCATTCTCTCGCCTAATTTATCAACTAGGCTGGTGTATGCCTTGTTCATGACTATGTGCGCCGAGGTGGCATGCCAAGGGGTCCATTCAGTGACATTTGGCGCAAGATGGGCGGGGGTACGGGACTGAGCAGGCCCAAATGAGCAAATTTTGGACACAGTCCTCCCTCGGCTGCGTACGCACATATTACCTGCGTCCTGCACTCAATTTCGGCCCACACTCACTCCTCTCGACAGCTTCGGGTTTTCTCTCACCTCACTAGTCTATTTCCAGGTAATTAGTAATCCTCGTGACTGCAGGTAGAGCACCAGGAACCAGGGAACGGCACTGTTAAATTTCTTGGTGAATTGTTTGTGGCAAGAGGGAAAAATATTGATTTTCTCCATGGCTTGCAGCCCTCCCTCGACCCCCTGCCATATTGAGTCTGCGCAGAACAAAGCTTAGCAGAAGATATTTGCGGCGGGAACACAAACGCTGGCTCTCCCGCCCTCCTCGAGGCTAGTCTACCTTCTACCACCTCTCAACTGGCCGATTCTGGAGGGGAAAGGGTTCAAAACTCACCCGAAAAGTGGTAGAAAGGTGAGGAAGGCGGCGAGAAAGGAGGACAGAACGCCGTATCTAGCAAACAGTGATTTTGAACGATGGTGGCCAGCGCCATCTGTCGGGCCGACCCCCGCCTCCCTCCCTCACCTCTCACTGTACCTCACACTGTACCTACACGTGGTTCATATACCTCCTCTACTCATATATATATATACTGTGGGTTGCAGCTACACCGGGAGTGGAAGGGTGGTGGTTGCATGAGGTGGGGGGAGTGTGATGCTTGTGAGGGGTGGCGCAGACGACGCCCTCACCTTTCCTCGTAGTTACCTCACCTCTCATTACAAGCCCTCGATTCTCCTCACAGTTCCCTCTCCTCCTCACAGTTCCCTCTTCTCCTCACAGTTCCCTCTTCTCCTCACAGTTCCCTCTTCTCCTCACAGTTCCCTATTCTCACAGTTCCCTCTTCTCCTCACAAGCCCTCACCTCTCACAAGCCCTCACCTCTCCTCCCAGTTCCCTCACCTCTCCTCACACTTGCCTCACCTCTCCTTACAAGCCCTCACCTCTCCCAAGCCCTCACCTCTCCTCACACTTCCCTCACCTCTCTTCACAGTTCCCTCACCTCTCCTCACACTTCCCTCACGCCTCACCAACACTACTATCTCTCCACAGTTCCACTATCAAGGCTCTCTTAACTTACTACCAGCCACTGCGGAAGTGTTCACAGGAAGCGTAAACGAGATATATATATTTTTGTATATATAAGATAGTATGAACTGTCATGAAGCAAAAGTTTACCACATAGTCAGTATTGGTTAATGAGTCAAAGTGTCCAACTTTGCCATTGGTGGACCTGATATGCATGTGGTGCTGTTATATAGGTTCAATAGCTAGAGTATGTAAGAATATAATTCTTGTCATGTCAAAACCTAAAAATTCTGTCTTAGGCAATACTGCTCTGTTCAAATCTCTCAATATATTAAATACTTTTACACAAGGTTGTGTTATTTACACTTAAAAGCAATTATTTCTCAGTACTTTGATTTGAAACTGCCAAGTTGTATGTAACAGAAGCCAGGAACAGCACATGAGAAGTAAATCTGATATTTCAGACTAAATTTATGCAAGCATGTCATGGTAAATAAAGGACTCCAATACTGTACATTCAACTCTTATTGCACAACAAATATTTTTAATAAAGTAAAATAATAAAGGCCCTAATTTCTTGATCCTAGTACAGGTATTCCACTATGCTCTCCTAGTACAGTACTTTACTGTCTAGGAAACCCCAAAAACAATATAGTTTATCACCACCTTGCTCTATTAATGTAAATAACAGTAATTGTTAACTAAATTTTATCTCATATATGTCACTAATTTTAATTCTTTTAAGTAAAATTGTATAGTTTTCTACCCTGTCAATTCCTGACATTTTTATAGGTTGTGATCATGTCTTCTGTAAGTCTTCCATCTTCCAGTGTCATGAAATTTAGTTCCCTTAGTCTCTCCTCGTAGCTCATACCCCTTAGCTTGGGTACTAGTCTGGTGGCAAACCTCTGAACCTTCTCCAATTTAATCTTGTGCTTAATGAGATATGGACTCCATGCTGGAGCTGCATACTCCAGGATTGGTGTGATGTGTGTGGTATACAAGGTTCTGAATGTTTCCTTACTCAAGTTTCTAAAGGCCATTCTTATGTTGGCCAACCTGGCATATGCCACTGATGATATCCCTTTGATATGGGCTTCAGGGGACAGGTCTGGCTTGATATCAACCCCTAGATCTCTTTTTCTCAGATTCTTGAAGAATTTAATCTCTCAAATGGTACCTTGTATCTGGCCTCCTGTTCCCTACACCAATCTTCATTACTGGTTAAACTCTATCTAACAACCATTTGTTTGATCATTCCTTCAGTTTGTTCAGGTCATCTTGAAGCCACATGCTGTCCTACTGTCTTAAACCTTCTCATAATTTTTGCATCATCGGCAAACAGTAAACACAGCAGTCCTCTATTACGTAGTGGTAAAGCACTTGCCCAGCGCTTCTTGAACACTTTGGCCTGGGTTCGTATCCTGGCCAGGGAGGATTAACTGGATGCCAATCCTTACCTGTAGCCTCTATTCACCCAGCAGTGAATGAGTACCTGATTGTTAAATGATTTGGTGGATCATATTCCAGGGAAAAATTAGGATTAAGGACTACCCAAAATGCTATGCATGCTAGTGGCTTTACAAGACTGTAAGAACTCTTGTATACTGTATATAAATTAAATAAAAATTAAGAGGAAATGAGTCTATACCCTCTGGAAGATCATTTACGTATCTCGGAAACAGGATAGGTATGAGTATAGAACCCTGTGGGACTCCGCTGGTGATTCGCCCCATTCTGAAGTCTCTCCGCTCACAGTAACACACTGCTTCCTATTTCTTAGGTACTCTCTTATCCACTGGAGCACCCTACCAGTTACTCTTACGTGTTTCTTCAACGTATGCACCAGCCTCTTATGGAGTACTGTGTCAAAGGCTTTCCAGCAGTCCAAGAGAGTGCAGTCTGTCCATCCTTCTCTTTCTTACCTAATCTCTGTCACCTGGTCATAGAATTCTATTACACCTGTTTGGGGCATTGTGGGATATATATATTTCATGTGTACAGTATAAATAAATAGATACAGTACATATACTAAACTATATGTATGTATAATTTTATTTTTACAGAGATAAGCTACTATGTATCGCCCTTCATTAAATAATGGCATGCGTCTGTACAGCACGAAAGCAAGAAAGAAAAGAGAAATAATCGATCGTATTATACGTGTAGACCATGCTGGGGAACTGGGAGCTGATCGCATTTATGCTGGACAAATGGCAGTGCTTGGTATGTTGCAATGTAACCTTACATTTTCGGTTTAGGGGAAACAGTAATTTGTAAGTACTGTACTGTACTGTAATGAAATGCTTATGTTATAAACAGTAAATATATACAGTATTTGTTATTGGCTGTCAACCTTTATATCTTATGGGTTTTTGAGTTGTATAGCCTTCCTGAACATTTTGCCATAATTGTAATTCACACACATCCACACCAACAAGAGCTATAGATTGACGATGATAAACACATGCAAGGACTATATACATGACTGCACACACATACACAAAGGAACTTTGTCATAATCCAAACACTGATTCAAATAATAATAATTCATTGTGTCGGCAGACAGGAAGCCAGAGTGTATTCATGCACGTTTGGCTTTTATCAAGGTCCCCCCCCCCCTTTCCACCCCAGGCCAAATTACTAACCCCGCCCACCAGGATGCAACCCCCACAACACGCCCACTAACTCCTAAGTACCTACTAACTGCTAGGTGAACAGAGGCGAACTGAAATGCAAGGAAATGTGTCCAACCATTTCTGTCCCGCCCGGGATTCGAACCCGGGTGGGATAGATTATATATACTATGTGTGTATATAATATACAGTATATATATATATATATAATATATATATTTATTATAATAATAATATAATATATAAATTTTTAATCAGGTAAATCTAGTGTGGGGCCAGTCATCCAACACATGTGGGATCAGGAAAAGGAGCATAAAGCAAAGTTTGAAGAATTGATACCAAAATACAGAGTTCGTCCCACTGTTCTCGTCCCAATCTGGAATGTGGCTGGTTTTGCTCTTGGTGCAGGTGAGTCTTTTCACTGTAACTTACATTACTTTTAAGGTTCTTCTGCACAGTACTAATTCATTACGCTTTGCGTAATGCCCGAAACGCTTTGCGTAATAGTGGCTTTAGGCATTGTATGTACTAGCTCTTATCTATAAAGCCAACAAACTTTGTAAAATCTCTTTATGTATGTACCTTTGCCTAAATAAAAATTATTATTATTTATTATTATTATTATTATTATTATTATAAAAATTATTATTATTATTATTATTATAATTTCTCATAATAGTTGTCTGAATGAATGACATTCCAAAATCAAGGAACTTAAGATAAATTCAATACCCTAGAGTCACTTTTTTTTTTTTTTTTTTTTTTTTTTTTTTTTTTTTTTTTGCCAAGTACAGTTTAATTAAAAAGTGTAAAGACTGAATATGGAGATGTAAAGGAAGTGGTAAAAATAAGACTGAAGAATGGGAGATGAATTGCACCTGTGACAAAACAGTCCACAAAGTGTTATTGTACAATATTAAAATTACTTGTTTAGAAAGATGCAATTTAAATGCTTTTGCAACTTCGAATCAATTAACAATTATCTTTAATTCAGGGACTGCATTAATGGGAAAAGAGGCAGCAATGGCGTGCACTGTAGCAGTAGAATCGGTCATCACAGATCACTATAACTCACAGCTACGAGAACTAATTTCTTTAGGAGAAGAAGAAAACAAGGAACTGATTGAAGCCATAAAGAAGTTCCGAGATGATGAAATGGACCACCACGACACCGGCCTGGAAAATGATGCACAATTAGCACCAGCATACAGTGCTCTAACTACTGTAATTAAGACTGGTTGTAGAGCAGCTGTGTGGATATCTGAACGCATTTAGCACTTGCTTAAATCATGTAAATTATGTATATTTTGTATCAAACTTGTTCTCATTCAGTTCTGTATTTATCAAGGGTATTTTTATAAAATATATTCAGAAGCACAGTTTCATCTTCACCTTTTTGGTAATGTCTGTCTTGTAGTTGTATGTTGAAAAATACTCATAGTAAGAATTCAAGTGGATCACATAAAATAGTGTACAACACTCGCACTTAACCCCTTGGACAAATCCACAAGGGCCGTGACAAGGATTCAAACCTGTGTCCGGGAGCATCCCAGACACTGCCTTAACCGTCAAGGGGTTAAGACTGTCTTAACCCCTTGGCTTTGGGCCTCCTCTTGAATTATTATTTTCATTAAATTCTTTTGCCAGTTCTGGTCTAGCTTTTACCCCATCAGTAAGCTTGATATGGAGGACTACCAGGTGCCCCAATGTACCTGCCGACGGGCCCTGCTGGGGGTCCAACAAGACCCTATCACCACATGAAGATGGAGAGAAGACTAACTTGTTGGGTGTGTGTAAGAGAAAGCCTGTACAGAAAAATCTTTAACTGTGGCTCAAGTATCAGATTCAGGTGAGGCATGTGAGCAAAAGCTTTTATTGGGGTGTAGGGGAGAAGAATTAGTAGACAAAGACTTTGCTTAAATGCCAGCAAGTAAGTAGTTATCAGGTGCCAAGCCTAGAAGACCATTTAGCACCATCTGTATCACAAATAAATAAATTATATATATACACAGTATATATAAATTTATTCTGTCTTGTCTTAATCAGTTTCTTTTTTTTTTTATTGTATATAGACAGACTGGGAAAGGGGTATCCCTGGCTGCACCCGGGTCTCTCCCGTCCCTTCTCCATCACACTTCAACCCGTCCTCAGACCAAGTCCATTCCATCAAGCGGTCGATGCATTCATCAATTTTAACATCCTATTCATTCAAAATAGGAATTTTCTCATATAAATTAACTGTTATCTATTAGCATGCTGTGCATATTTAGGCATTGGTGTTTAGGTTTTGTTGGAGATTATTTGTAGTATATAGATACTGTACACACATGCACACACACACACATGGTGTGATCTAGTACTGTATGTCTATCAGAGTATGGTACCTGGATCTGTCTACTTATTCCCCTTCTCCCCCAGAAAATGTGTTAAGAACCACCGAAACAATTTTGTCTTAAGAAATTATGACAAACAACTCCAAATGAATCACATGACATATTTCATGCTAGAGTCAATGAAAATGGCCAAGGGGCATTTATAATTGCTAATATTTCTTAAAGAATTTAATTTAGGCCGATTGTGGTAGACCTATGTCCATCCCATATGCCAGACTATTTTTCCCTGCAAATTTGGGTGACGTTAGCCCCAAGTGTCTGGCCTCTGACTCTGGAGACAGGGAGGTTTTCTCTTATAGGTATTGATATATAGATGATATTGTTGGACATCTATCACTATCAGGTGTGCATTGGTATTACTCTATGGCCATAAGAAGTGTCAACGAAGCCAAGGAGTACCAAGACTACTACTGTACTGTACCAAGTACAGTACAGTACTGTACCAAGAGGTGTACACTCTTAATAATGACCACTTGAATTATATAAGGTCATAAACATGACATTAGGTTTAATACCATAAGTATTAGACTTGATGTTGTTGTGGTTCCCTCAATTCTTGTGTCTGGCTGTCTCCTGTAATGTACTGATCTTTTGAAATCCTTTTTCTCTCTCTTCTCATTACACTTGCTAGGATGAAGTGCCAAGAGTAATGTTTTGGTTATTTCTATGTAGTGAAGGAAGAGGAAAAAAGAGTGGGGTGGGGGGGGAGACAGACTGGGGGTAGAATATTAAATAGGTTGTTTTATAAAGCCCTTACAGGTAAAATATCATGTACTGTATAGCTCTTTCAATATATCACAAATTATTATTAGAGATTCTTATATCTCATACCTGTGCAGACGAGGAGTCACAATAACGTGGCTGAAATACGTTGACCAAACCACACACTAGAAAGTGAAGGGACAACGACGTTTCGGTCCGTCCTGGATCAAATAGACTTGAAAATGGTCCAGGACGGACCGAAACATCGTCGTCCCTTCACTTTCTAGTGTGTGGTTTGGTCAACATTTCATACCTCTCACGATCATCCTTTGAATTTTTCCTGGTGACAATTTTAATTCTGATCTATTCTGTTCACACTACCAAAATAATTAGTGAAGCAATTATTGGAAATCTCCTTTTGTCTTGTAATAATGTGGTGGCAATCTCTCTGATTGTATGTCAGAGGGTGGTTCCTACGAGAGGTTATTGATGCTCTTTTAATTTAACTTTTTATTTGTTTGCTTAAAATATATATAAAGCATTTTGTGGTTACTATTTACAGTGTCATTTTTAGTAAGAATGACTGGATAAAATAACATTTAGGAATGAAGTGCTGCTGATTTGAGGTTTCAAAATTTTACCGTTTCTACATTTTGTTAGTCTTGTAACTCTTAACAAAATTAAGCACTGGCAGTGTACATATGGTGTGTTTCCTGGCATTGAAAAAGTTAATAGAATAGTGTCCCCCACCTCTGTTTCTCCCCCTACTGTGTGATAAACACTCGGGGCTGTGAATTCAATCAATTTAAAGAAAAGTAGACTACAGTATAGAATTGATAAAAGCTTTAATCATTGCATAAATAAAGTTTTATAGATCATACATAACAAAACTAAATTTGTCTGAAGAGCATCTATACTAAATTTATACATTTTATCCAATAAAAGTATGACATTTTAAAATATTTTTGAAAACATTTGAAATTCTGAAATTTGACAAGAGGCATCATCACAGAGGGAAAGAAATTGTTGTAAGAAAATTAGTGGAAATGGAATAAGTTAATTTAAATCCTTAGGGGTATGATACTCTCAACTTGGGCAAACTCTTAACATCAGTAATGGCTGGTGCTCCAAAATCCTGATATCAGAATATTGTATGGAAGGGTGCTAATCCTATCTGTATATATGAATTTGAAATGGTGGTGTATTAAAGCAGTAGAAAATGATGATCTTAAAAGCATGCATAACCTTAGTAGAGTAGAATAAAGAATAAAATATGTGGGATGTGAATAGCACACCTTGGGATTGAAAGTATAGTAGGTACTAAGGAGGTTAGCACATGTTGAAAGAACGGATTGTGACTCTTGAAGTGTAAATTCAAGTAAATTTAAGGTTGAGCAAAGGTAGTCATGATGATGGGTTAACTTGGTATGAACAATTCATTGTAAATAGAGGAAATAAAGCTATGCGACAGTGAAGGGGAAGTAAATAATTTACATGGCTCACAAAGAGCAATATACACAATCTTTCTTAATTTGGTAATACCAAAGTGCTACATAGTGCAAGTTGCTGATAAAAAAACTGTTTTGGTAATGCGAAGATTCATACACTGAGAACCATAAGGTATCTACAGCACACTCCAATTCCGCACCAATTCACTTAAACTCTTTAGAAATGTTTTAAAAATAAATATTCCCAACCTAAACCATTCTACAGAGCAGCAAATAAACAGATAACACTAGAAACTTGCCCTGGTGTCAGAGTACATTTTGAAATTGGTGCACTTGGTCATTGAATGTTGCTTGCGGTCAAGCATACAATTGAAATTTCAATTACACTGCTCCCTTCAAAATCCAGACTGCCACATAATGGATCCCTTTAAATAATGGAGAAAATCTGCTCACTGAGTTTACTCCAAAATTCTGATTTCAATAGAGAAAAATATTGATGTACAGTATTACAATTTCAGTCGAATCAATGTTTTTCTTTTTCCTTAGTGTTATTTATTTATTGTAAATATTAAAAATAATGCAATTACATTAGAAAAATTTTATTAAACTTGTGCTGAAACTATAAATTGTCCAAACTAATTTGTTTATTTGAAGTTTTTGTAAAACATCGAGACTTGCTGTAAGGGCGCACATACCTACTGCATTTTTCCCATTGACCCCTCTCGTTACTCAAGCATTTTCACTAGCTTTTCTTCTAATACGTCGCCATTTGCAAGTTGAAGCCATTTAGTGCAATAGTAGTATGGGTACAACAGACAATGATAAGAATAAAGCCAAGATATTAGAAAAATGTGATCGTAGCGGGGGAGGAAAGTTGCTGGCTTGACACTGGTACTAGTTTAGGATCAAAACCCACACCTGTGCATTTGTGAAATTTATGCAAGGAATTTACACCAAGTCTTTCACGCTCTCGTGAGAGCTTTGTCAAGGTCCGAGTGTGCCATTAGGACGAGACTTACATCTCTGGATCAGAGATGTAAGTCTCGTCCTAATGACACACTCAGACCTTTACAAAGCTCTCAGGAGAGTGCGAATGATATTGTGTAAATTCCATACAAAAATTTCACAAATACACAGGTGTGGGTTTCAATCCTGTTATTATGTCTGCAAGAAGACATTATTACCATTACTAACTGGTATTATTAGTTCTATTTGTCAAAAATACAAAGGAAAATTATATAATTTTAGGACAAAAAATTATGCAGTGGTAGAAAGAAAAATGACAAAAACATTGAAACTTTCTAAACATGAGAATTTGGATGACGCTGATTACTAATGACTTGAGCAGCACTGTAGCTTGGGGCTGGTCATTGGTGGAGAACACTGTTGCTAAAAAGAATGAGCATTTGCAACTGTAGAATACTTTTAACAAGTGTTATGACAGAGGCAGCAGAATGCAGGTATTGACTCTACTATGAGTTAAACAAAAAGAGCAAGTATTTGGATATCTGGATCAAGACTGAAATGAAAATGATTCAAATTTTGGAGGTTGCAGTGTACAATATTTATGAAATCAACTACATAGGCCTACACTTCCCAATAGTTGTTGAAACTTGCTTTTTACCATCTTACAGAAATCTCTAATTTTTGAGTCAGTACACAATAATGTTATTAGTGTGCAGTATCTTAATAAAAATTTAAAATGTGAAAACCAGAGGGTATCCATACTGAGAGGATGCCTAATTAATGATAGGTACACTAAATTTTAAAAGTCAACAATGGTTTAACACTTTACATGATATTTCATCACAATGTACTCGTCAACAAATTATAAGACTGTTGCTATACTCGCTGTTTCAGCTCTTTACTGATCGTGCCTCGTAGCAATTTATATGAAATTGCTGTCACTTGTGTAACATACTTCATAAAAATAAAATCAAGCCTCAAACCAACAGATTTTTTTTCTCTGTTAATTTTCATACATAGTTAAACAATTTTTGTAACTGGATATAACTTGAGTTGTTTCTTGTGGCTGACAATGTCTGTGATAAAGTTATCACCCGATAAATTACTGTCTGTAGAGTCTTCATTTGGTCCCAGCAACTGCACAACAGTAGACTTTCCTGTAAACAAAGTTATTTATAATACTGTATATAAAATATGCAAATGTATCATGATACTATACAAGGATTGATATCCACCTAACATTCAATACTACTAAATGTGCTGTGATTGCTTTTAATTCTCAGAAGTTGTTTTGTTGAGATCCCCAGCCTAAAATTATGAGGCAGAAGGATTCCAGTACTGTATAGTACAGTATTCTGGAAAGCATTTGAGGCATATTATATCCTCAAACAGCCCACTTGCACATTTTCTTTATACTATTTATGACCTGAATGTCATAACAAATGTTATCAGTGAACCTGGTAATCTTCATACCTGGTCAAAAATAGTTAATTAACAATGTTTAAGCTTGTATAACTGTGAACTATTGGACCTACAAAATGCTGAATTAACTACAAAATTAAACAAGCTTAATTGTGAACAAAGGAAATGTTCTACACACATCTTGGGTGCCCATCCTTGCACTAATTGCAATCTCCTACCAGGTCTGATGTCAGATGTGCAACAAGGGAAGACTGAAGTGACTAGTCAGAGAACCAAAAGGTATAATACTGCCATCCTTTGGCAGTCAATGCAGGCAGTCAGGCAAGCCAACTGATAGTGAGAGCCCTCCTTTGGAGGTCATCTTTTGCCTGAAAGTTCTTCATTAACTCCCTAGCACCTATAATGACCTTGCTGGAATCACTAGAAAAGTAACCTAGGCTGCTGGTCCCAGAAAATCATCTGGCCTCACTGCATAAATCTGCCCCATGAATGTAACAGATCTTCACACAAGAATTAACCGAATGAGATAGCTCAGAGAAAAATAAGAAAAAATCAAGAGTACTCGTACATATTCTTTGCACGGTAAATAGTTTAGTCACAGCACGTTTTACTATTTAAATAATAAACCCTGCAAAATACTTTCGTGAAGTGACAGATGAGAGAATGAAAAATTAGGCTCATGTACTATGTAGGACTCAAAATTTGTAGTCATTTAATATTTAATGTATAAATACTGACCCATGAGGTTCTCCAGTGATGGTGGAGATCCCTCCTGAGGATTTGCTGCACCAACAACCTGCACACTCAGCTTCTTATATCCGGGGTTGTCTTTATGTGACGATATGTGCTTTATACACTCCATGACAGACTTGTGTGTAATATTTGGAATCAACTCAATCTGAAAGAAATGGATTCATAATTAGTCTTAATTAAATATTTTAGCATTACAGTAATGTAATTATATATAACACTTTAAATACAACAGAAATGTTTTGACTGCAGACAATCAAAGGAAGTATCACTTGTCCTTATGCCAGGAAAGTAGTTATCACCGTATGTTGATTTACGGGGTAATACAGTTATCACACATTGATTCTAGATTTTAATGTCTGGTTTTTACACATGATGATAATATGAATGCACATTAATAGCTCTATATGGATGTATACAATTTGTATACTGATTATGTTCATGTGGTTTTCACAACTCTATATAGCTCCAAATGAAGTATACCATAAGAATAAAGGAATAACAAAGTATTGACCCATACATGGCAGCTATTTACACCCAAGCCCTATATCTACAAATTGAAATGTATGTCCGTCAGAGATTAGAGGCCAGCTTTACCCAATTTTCCCCATTTGCAGCTCTACCCCCTTATTTGTAATGTCTGAATTTGTGTACCAAGATTTTTTATATTACTCATTTCTACTGTGCTGCTTAAGTGTGGCAGCTTCCTATATTACCTTTCCTATTTACGTGAGCTTCCAGTGTCAAAATTCTACCTTCTTCTAAATCCTATTTTTCTTTTTTATTCCTGTAGTTTCCTCCACATTATGGTACAGATTTCTTTTTATATTTTAGGGGTGCATGGATGGGGATTGTTGTGCCTAATGTGTTAGTTACTTGGTGATTGCTTGAGTTAAGATTTGTCAGTCTCCATTTTCCAAATATGTGACTAGACTAATTGAAGAGTTACTGATCATGGTTGAGTGAAAAAGTCATTCAGGGCCAGGTGGGCAAAATGTACTTCTGTATGACCATACAAGCCATTGGTTTATGAGAGCAACTGAGGCACTTTAGCTCTGAAAAAGTAATATCAAAGTCTTGCTTTGCAGGAAAATAGCTAGGGATGACCCGACTGATCGAGCGACGCGCCCATCGACTATGCCATGACATAACTCCCATACAGAAATACAAAATTTAAAAAACACAAACATATCACAAATACCTGTCTTTTTAATCTGTTAAATACATATTCTTCATTAACAATTTCACTCCAATTCCTGTCTACTTCTTCTCTCAAGGTTAAATCAATGGTCTGTTTCATGCTGGTGAGTGTCTCCTTCAGTTCTGCTAACTCATCCTGCTTCATATTGCTGAGAGTATCCATAAACTCCTGCAGGAAAGCTTCAATCCTCTCATCAATGTGGGACACACTGTATTCAGGAGAAAATTTATATATGTATTTTAGGCAATGGAGCTAAATGATAAATAAGATGTAAATGATAAATAAGATGCAAACATCGTGATTCCTAGAGAATAATTTATTTCATACTTCTTTATTTCAAAGATATTAATTTAATTAATGACTACTTCAACTTTCCCCAGTGCCAATTATAGATGCACTGACAATATCCATCAACACCTGAAGGCCAGCCCCTCCCAAGCCTGCACACAAACATAACCCACTTGACTAACAGATGCTGTAGGAGTTGTAGAAAAAACAATAACAATCAGAGGTACTATAAGAGCATGTTATGAGAATAGCATCACTATCCAATTCAATGAATATTAAACTTTTACAGTAAATACTGCGGAATCAAAGGCATCAGTCTTCAAAAAGATATTAAAGAGATTCCTGTTGAGTGTGCCTGGCTAGGCAAACTGAGATGGCTACTTAGGACTGGCTATTCAAGCAGTCACATAATCCTAGTACCAACAGCCTGGATGATCAAGTAATTTGGCTTCAAGCCAAACTTAAAATAGAAAAACCCTCAGATTGGTCACACACATACTACAAAGATAATATAAATATATTGAAAGAGTTACAATACATTTGCCATAAATTAACCTCAACTCTCTTGACATTTTCAATATTAATAGACATCAGTTACATGTTATTTGAAGCTTAACAAGTAAAGGCAGAAGCCTGTCACGAACACTTTTAATAACTTGTGCACAAAACTGAAAACAAGTCGGGAATAAATCATCATTATATTCATTATACCCCAGAAAGATAAAACAAAAAAGGCTTTGAGCTATTGTAAAAAAAATTCTTTTTGGACACTTTTGGCCGTTTTATCAAATAAAATCCTTCTGTATCTTTGGACAAGTATTGTGTAATTAGACTGAATAAAACAAACAGCATGGTGTCACACAAAACTTTTAAGCATCCTTTCAGGGTTATATTGTGCCTAATTACTAGAAAATATTGAATTCAGCCCAGAAATAAATTTCAAAACATCTTTCCATAAAAATCCAAGCCTTCCAAGCTCACTCTTGTGATAAATGCCAAGGAAGCGAGGAACAAACCCTACGATTTGTCTAAAGGTAACCAAGACCCCTACCTTGAAAACCCCAGGTGAACCCCTCTCCCTTGACACTGATGGAGAGGAGCCAGGGGGCCAGATTCACGAAGTAGTTACGCAAGTACTTACAAACGTGTACATCTTTTCTCAATCTTTGATGCCTTTGTTTACATATATACATATAAACAGTTTACAAGCATGAAAACTTGCCAATCAACTGTTGTTATTGTTACAAACAGCCTCCTGGTGCTTCGGAGCTCATTAACTGTTTAATATTTGTAAACAAAGCCGCCAAAGACTGAGAAAAGATGTACAGGTTAGTAAGTGTTTGCGTAACTGCTTTGCGAATCTGGCCCCAGGGTCGGAGTCCGACCCTACACCACAGCTCCAGGCAGAGAAAGAACGTTAACCACAGAAGCCACCCTATACCCAAAAAAGTGGACAAATAATCACTTCATTTAGCATAACAATCTTAAACATATACCAGCCAACCATAATGTTTTTGAACACAATTTTTGTTAAACATTTGAATTACACTATCTCAAGATCAGTTGAGATTCCAATCCAATTCAATTCAATGTAGCTTCTTGTGAATGCACAACTAACCTGAACTTATTAGCCTGGGTGTTGACTGTAACAGACAGCCCAAGAATCCCAAAGGTAATGTGATTTGTGCAGAAAACATGGTAGCCAAGCTGCTCTCTTGTTCTTAAAACATCAAACACTGGTTCATCCATCACCATCTATAGACAAATAAATACAAATGGATAACATAATAAAGAAAAATAATGCTAAATATTTTTAGTTTTAACTACATACTTCATATTTTAAGTGGTAAAGCTTTAATTTGTGACACAATGACTCAATGAATGTGTATGTTTGATATGTGGTCCACTCTATGAGGTGGGTTGTCTCTAGTAATTCCCTCAATTTATTAGCCCTCTAAATATTGAAAGACATTTAAAGAAACTAGAAACATTTATACAGAGATTGTCCCATGCAGGTTTGACTAAGACATAAGTGAAGGAATCAGTACTATCTCAGCAAACAGAAGTGGGAAAATAGAAACAAAAAGAGATATGAGAGACAGCAAGGCAAAAATAAAAAGGAAAAACAAATTTATAAAAAAAAAAAAAAAAAAAAAAAAACACTAAGGGTGAGAGGAAGGCAGTGAACATGGACTGTGAATTGTAGATGCTTCCACTACCCCTTGATTCAAGCTCATTCTACTTGTTTACCATTCTGTTAAATCTGTTAGATCTCTTAAACTCTGAATATGTTTTAGGTGAGGAAAGCAGAAGCAATGAAACAAACAAACCCCGGGAACAAGCACCGAGATATACCACATAGCAGCTCTGCAATCTGAGCCAAATAACCATGCACAGGAGAAATAATGCCAGTACATTTATGGGTAACCAACCCAAACTCTCCTTACTATTTTTATAAAAATTACCCTCATAACAAAGTGATGCAGCAGTCTACCCCACAATTTCCTCACCACTTGTATTAAATATATTTGTGTACTTACTTGTATGAACTCCAGTAAGACTTCCAACATCGGAGTGCCCTCTTTATACTGGTAATAATTAATCACCGAACTATTAGTGTCTGCCGGGTTGATACCATTCACTCTGGCTACCCAGCATCCATTCAACAGTTCCAATGTACGTAGCTAGAAAGAAATCTTCCAATAAAGCCTACTTCATGTTTAAGTTATGAAAATCAAGAATATTGTGACTAAAGCACCTAAGATAGTGTCAGTATTAACCTTATGCAACAAAATATAGACAAAAGTTGATTAAGCTTCACTTTATGCAACTTATGAATGTATTAAGTAGTATGCTTCATGACCAGCATATCTGCTAAGAATGGCATTAAGTGGCACGTAAACAAATTTTGAGATAAATTATAGTATATTTTTCTTACTGTACAGTTAAGATAATATTATTGAATTACATAATAAAGAGGTGATTGTTGTACACAATAGTTTATTACAGACTCCAACACATTTTTCTGGAAAACATATTATAGTTAAGCAAAACAGTCCTTGGTTACTAGGCCTAGTAGTAAGGTTGTGGCTATCGGATACTACATACAATACATACATGGATGCATGTACACATGTACAAAGATAGTACACACACACACACACACACACGTATGGTGTGGTGTGTATGAGCTGGAGGAGGCAGAAGTCACACTGCAGCAAGCTCCTGGAAATATCGAATTACCTAAGTATTGGGCACAGGTTGAGGGCTACAGTGGTGTCCCAGGTTACATAAAGGTTCAGGGAAGAGTAAAAGCAAATAAAATACAATAAACAAGTAAAAGTGAGTGAAAATAGCCGAGTGGAAAAGTTTGTTTTGGTCTAGAACAAAAACAAAGATGGCCGCCGCCACCACCCCCACTGAGAATGTACACACACCAACAGATGATGGTTTCAAAGGATTCTCACCACAAGATATAAGGAAAGGAGGTGTTCTTGGCAGGTTAGAGATAATTGAGGATATGCAAAAGAAGTATGAAGAAAAAGTGCTTAAATTGGAAGAGGACAATGGAGCTCTTTGGAGTGAGCTTTGCACTCTAAAAGGGAGTATGCTTCAACAAGGTAAGATTATTACTGCATTAACAGACAAGGTAACAAATCAGGAGGAGCAAATCAAGGAACTAGTGAAAGAAAATGAGGCATGGAAAGTGAAGTGTGGTGACTTTGAAGAAATAAACAAGAAGATAGACTCATATGGTGAACAACTCCAAGCAAGCCTAAGGGCTAACATAGAGTTAGGTAAGGATCTCCAACTGGAAACTTCACTGACAACTCACATAGAGGAGGTGAATAAAGAACTAGAAAAGTATAAAGAAGAAATAAAAGCGACATATGCTGAAGTTGTAAAAGAGAAAGAGACTATCAAAGAAGTGTGTTCGGAAGTCAAAACCAGAAATGACCAACAAGAAGCAGAAATTAGGCAAGCAATTAGGAAAGAACTGGTTACCAACAGTAAACTGGTACAAAACACTGCAGATAGAACTAAGTCCATAATCATTTTTGGATGTTTAGAGAAGGAAATTTCATCTAGGGTGGACCGAGCGGCAGAAGAGATGAAAATCATAGAGAAAATAGTAGGTTTAGGAGAAGGCTCAAAGGAAAATGTCAGTGATTTTAGAAGAATAGGAAAATATGAGAAAGAAAAGAACCGCCCCTTAAGGGTGACGTTTAATGGAGTGAAAAACATGATGGAAGTGCTAAGAAATGCCAGGAAACTGCAGAGTGATGAGGTTGGCAAATTTTGGTCAATAAGACAAGACCTCTCCAAGGAAGACAGAGAAAAGCTGAAAATGAACCTAATTGAGGCAAAACGTCTAAATGGGGATAGAAATGAAGAAGACAGAAATTCTTTTTTTTACAAAGTGACAGGGACTGGAAAGCTTGTGAAATGGTACATAAAAACAAAGCAACAAGATCAGTAGTGGAAGGGGGAGTAAAGAGCAAAGGAAAAGGGAACATGTTCCTGAAAATTGTATATACCAACATAGATGGAGTGAGGTCAAAAACTTTGGAGTTGCAAGATATAATCCAGCTTAGGGTCCCAGATATTGTTGCATTATCAGAGACGAAACTTGAAGGAAATATAATAAATGAAGTCATATTCCCAAGAGGCTACTCAGTTTGGAGACGTGACAGGAAAACTAGGAAGGGAGGAGGAGTGGCTGTACTGGTGAAAAAACACCTGAAGGTAAAAGAGTTAATATTTGAAAACCCTCGAGATATTGACATAATGGCATTGCAGGTCTGGAATCAGGATGATAAGCTGATAATTGTAAATACCTACAGCCCACCAGCAAGCAACACATGGACAAAGGAAGAACTGGATGACAAACGAGAGGGCCTCATAATGGTCATGAGAGATATTATTGTACAAGCAGATAAAGATAAATCACGACTGTTGATACTGGGGGACTTCAACTTTAGAGCAATAGACTGGGAGGCCTATGAAGCAAGAACGGAGGACTTTTGGACATGCAGATTTGTGAACCTCATTCTGGAGACATTCTTGTATCAACACATAAAGCAAGCCACAAGAATGAGGGAAGGAGATGTACCGTCAGTACTGGATCTAGTATTCACCAGGAAAGAAGAAGAGATTTTTGACATCCAGTACCTTCCTCCCTTGGGAAAGAGTGATCACGTCCTGTTAGACATTAAATATGCTTTAAGATATCATCTAGAAGAAAATGGGGACATTGAAACAGTTGATAAACTCGATTTAAGGAGAGGCAACTATGGGGAACTTCGAAATTTTTTTAATGAGTGTAATTGGACAGAATTGTTGCTAGGCAGGGAAGTAAATGAAATGTATGCCAAATTTTTAAAACTATACGAGGAAGGCACACAAACATTCATACCAAAACAGAGATGCAGGGCCAGAAAACAGGATTGGTTCGACAGAAATTGTGAGAGGGCAAGAGACCAAAAGACACAAAAATGGAATCAGTATAGGAAGAGGCCAAACCCCCAAACATACCAGCGATACAAAGATGCGAGAAACAACTATACAGCAGTAAGGAGAGAGGCAGAAAGAAATTTTGAAAAAGGGATAGCAGATAAATGTAAAACAGAACCGGGCCTATTCTACAAATTCATAAACAACAAATTGCAGGTAAAGGATAATATCCAGAGGTTGAAAATGGGAAACAGATTCACGGAAAATGAAAAGGAAATGTGCGAAACATTAAATGAAAAGTTCCAAAGTGTGTTTGTACAAAATGAAATCTTCAGAGAACCAGACACAATAAGAATTCCAGAGAACAACATAGAGCGGATAGAGGTGTCTAGAGATGAAGTGGAAAATATGCTAAAGGAGCTCGGGAAGAACAAAGCAGCTGGCCCAGATGGCGTTTCACCATGGGTTCTGAGAGAATGTGCATCTGAGCTCAGCATTCCACTTCACCTGATCTTTCAGGCATCCCTGTGTACAGGAATCGTAGCAGACGTGTGGAAACAGGCTAACATAGTTCCAATCTACAAAAGTGGCAGCAGGGAAGACCCCCTCAATTATAGACCTGTATCATTGACAAGTGTAATAGTGAAAGTATTGGAAAAGCTAATCAAAACTAAATGGGTAGAACACCTGGAGAGAAATGATATAATATCAGACAGACAGTATGGTTTTCGATCTGGAAGATCCTGTGTATCGAATTTACTCAGTTTCTATGATCGAGCCACAGAGATATTACAGGAAAGAGATGGTTGGGTTGACTGCATCTATCTGGACCTAAAAAAGGCTTTCGACAGAGTTCCACATAAGAGGTTGTTCTGGAAACTGGAAAATATTGGAGGGGTGACAGGTAAGCTTCTATCATGGATGAAAAATTTTCTGACTGATAGAAAAATGAGGGCAGTAATCAGAGGCAATGTATCGGAATGGAGAAATGTCACAAGTGGAGTACCACAGGGTTCAGTTCTTGCACCAGTGATGTTTATTGTGTACATAAATGATCTACCAGTTGGTATACAGAATTATATGAACATGTTTGCTGATGATGCTAAGATAATAGGAAGGATAAGAAATTTAGATGATTGTCATGCCCTTCAAGAAGACCTGGACAAAATAAGTATATGGAGCACCACCTGGCAAATGGAATTTAATGTTAATAAATGTCATGTTATGGAATGTGGAATAGGAGAACATAGACCCCATACAACCTATATATTATGTGAGAAATCTTTAAAGAATTCTGATAAAGAAAGAGATCTAGGGGTGGTTCTAGATAGAAAACTATCACCTGAGGACCACATAAAGAATATTGTGCAAGGAGCCTATGCGATGCTTTCTAACTTCAGAATTGCATTTAAATACATGGATGGCGATATACTAAAGAAATTGTTCATGACTTTTGTTAGGCCAAAGCTAGAATATGCAGTTGTTGTGTGGTGCCCATATCTTAAGAAGCACATCAACAAACTGGAAAAGGTGCAAAGACATGCTACGAAGTGGCTCCCAGAACTGAAGGGCAAGAGCTACGAGGAGAGGTTGGAAGCATTGAACATGCCAAAACTAGAAGACAGAAGAAAAAGAGGTGATATGATCACTACATACAAAATAGTAACAGGGATTGATAAAATCGACAGGGAGGATTTCCTGAGACCTGGCACTTCAAGAACAAGAGGTCATAGATTTAAACTAGCTAAACACAGATGCCGAAGAAATATAAGAAAATTCACCTTCGCAAATAGAGTGGTAGACGGTTGGAACAAGTTAAGTGAGAAGGTGGTGGAGGCCAAGACCGTCAGTAGTTTCAAAGCGTTATATGACAAAGAGTGCTGGGAAGACGGGACACCACGAGCGTAGCTCTCATCCTGTAACTACACTTAGGTAATTACACTTAGGTAATTACACTTTTGTTGATCAAAATATATAGGGTAGGGTATATATTCATGCTGGGAATAATTCAACACACACTCAGCAGCATGAGCGAATCTGAATAATATTTTAATAACCGCGATAAAATTCTTGTTAAGCTATATTAAATACACAATATGTAGTCACATGAAAGTCACAATACACATGAAAATATTAATTAAAACTTATATAAATGGTTCTCTCCACATGACAGATAAGTTATACCTCCATACTAACATTTCCTCACCTCTGACAACTCTCCCTTCTTCTCGAGGAAATGTATGCCACTGGTGCCCCAAACAACTAGCGTTATTTAACTGTTTCTGAAGTCGTATTATAAAAAGCCATAAAGTAAAAACAAATTCCTCTAAATGATATGATTATGTAAGAACAAGAACCAGTGTTACAATAGGACATCAACTTACCTGCACCAGCATTCGCAGATGACTGGTTGGAAACAGCTTGGCCACAAAATCTTTGAGAAGATCCTTACTTGTTACATTCAGCATCTCCAACAATTTCTGGTGGCTTGTCCAGTGCACTTTTTGAATAATAGACAAGCGAATATCTCTATAACAAAAGAGAAAAGGATTTAGAGCAGATTTTACAAAGTGTGTATTAGTGAATGATTATCAAACTGCAGGTACACCAGCAGTTATACTCGTGGTATTCTGTTTACCTTATCTATAGGTTTTGCCTAAGGTTTCCTGTGATTTTAGCTAATAATGTCTCTTGTTGGTGTAAATTCCTGCTAATGGCTTATGGCTGCTTTACCTGCTGAAGGTTTTGTTTTACTCTACCTTTGTTATCAGCTCATGACTAATGGCTCCTTGTTCTACAAGCTCATGGTTTTATTGAGTATTTCCTGTCCACTGTCTCATTTTGTATGTGCTTATAACATCTAATTTTTTTTTAATTTTTTTTATTTATTTTTATTTGCTTCCATAGTGAAAATGCAAAGTGGTTCAATCTTTCTTCATAGTTTATATTTCCTACTTATCCATGTGCGAGACATCCAGCTTTAGGGTCACTGCCTCCTAACTATTATGTACCTGGTGCCAGATTGCTGCCAAATTTCACAACTTCCATAATTTTCTTTTTGTACTTTATGGAGCAAGGATCCCATGCTGTTGTTACCTACTTTAGTACAGTGTCGTGTAGAGCTTAACAAATCAAAACTTAGGCAAGCAGCAATAGTCCAATCTGACCAGCTACATAGTAAATTTTAGTCTCAGGCAGCTAAGTAACTGTTAATTGTTGACCAGACCACACACTAGAAGGTGACGGGACGACAACGTTTCGGTCCATCCTGGACCATTCTCAAGTCAATTGTGATGAGGAAGTAGAGACAGGCAATAAATAGGCGAGAGAGTGCCGAGGAGCAAAGTAAGGTGTAGTAGAGGGGATAGTAATAATAATAAGAGCTGCAGAGAGCCTATTGGCCCATACGAGGCAGCTCCTATTGTAACCACCAAATGAGAAGGAGATAGGAATAAGAAGAGGATAGCAAGGTTACTTAGCTGATGTTACTAATAAGCTATGAATGTTTGAATCACCAGAATAACAAGTGCCAAGTGAACTTACTTGCGAACAACGCCTGGTTTGAGAATAGCATTATGGTAGGATTTCATTTGCTGTTGTTTGATTTCCTGGAATGTTTTCTCATTAAGATTATCTTTAAAACTTTCCATGTGATGTAAAAGAAGATCCAGTAATTGCTGCAGGAGAAATACAAAAATTAATAGCATATTTACTTACAAAATAGTGTATATTTTAATATATATTGTATATTTATGTATATTGTGTGTGTGTGTATTGTATTATATATATGTTGTACCTAGTAGCCAGAACACACTTCTCAGCCTACTATGCAAGGCCCAATTTGCCTAATAAGCCAAGTTTTCCTGAATTAATATATTTTCTCTAATTTTTTTCTTATGAAATGATAAAGCTACCCATATCATTATGTACGAGGTCAATTTTTTTTTTATTGGAGTTAAAATTAACGTAGATATATGACCGAACCTAACCAACCCTACCTAACCTAAACTAACCTATCTTTATAGGTTAGGCTAGGTAGCCGAAAAAGTTAGGTTAGGTAGGTTAGGTAGTCGAAAAACAATTAGTTCATGAAAACTTGGCTTATTAGGCAAATCGTGCTTTGCATAGTAGGCTGAGAAGTGCGTTGTGGCTACTAGGTACGACATATATATATATATATATATTTATTTTGGTAGCAGTCTTTCTTGTACACATAATGGTAAGAATTAAAAAAACCAGCGTTGAATGTAATGAAACGCCATTTTCTGGGAGAGTCCCGGAGGCTCCCCGGAGCTATCCCAGGCTGATATGCTAATGTCAGACTTTGGCATCAGTCATGTGTATGGAGTTCTTAGGCCTACCGGGGACCACGGCCAGAACCGGGCCCCCTCAGAGAGGCAAGGGGAGCAATGGCCTATAGAAGCCCCCGTGTAGTTGGAAGCATTCTATGTCTGCCATCGACCGGAACAGGCACCCAGAAAGGTAAGCGCCCCAAAACAAACCCCTATTCTGGTTAAAATTGCTACCTAAAACCGAACTAGTGGATAGAACTCCCCAACCGAAAACAAGCAAACTAGTGTGACGTCACACACTGCCGCGCCGCTGTCTGCGCAGCTCCCCCCTCCCCGGGAGGGGGAAGGGGGAGCCCCAGACCCCCCGCGCCGGCTACCCACACCTCAGTTCTTGAGGCTGGATGTCAAAAACGCGAAAAACCGCCGACCAGAGGGAGGGAGGGATGCCGGGGAGCCTCCGGGACTCACCCAGAAAATGGCGTTTCATTACATTCAACGCTGGTTTTCTGGGGGGAGCCCCGTCGGCTCCCCGGAGCTAACTACCCACAGACAGAAAAAGAGGGACCCGGGAGGCGGTCGTCGCTCACCCCTCAACTCGAAGCCGAGACAACTGGCTGCAACCGCCGACCCAAAGCAACACAGGCCCGACGAGGCCCAGGGACATTCACAAGGTAACGAGCAGCCAGGACCCTGTTCGACCGCCAAAATCCCCGCGCCCGAATATCAGACCAAGACATATTCCCAAAGACGGCAGCAAGAGCCGCGAACTTACGAACGTCATGGGCACGGGGATAGACCGCAGGCTGGCTGGACCTAATAACCCTGCGGACGACCTGAGAGACTCGAACCCGCGAACAGGGAAGAAGGGAAACCGGATCAACCCACAGCGCGTCCCCGGACACAGAAGCTGTGGCGCGCAAATAACGGCGAAGCGCCGCAACCGGACACAAAACATGATGCACCCCCGGCCTGACCAACCAAGCATCAACCACCCATGGACCCCTCCGGAACGCAGCAGTCTCATTCTTCGCCAGAAAAGAAGGAGACGGCTGCAAACGAACAAAACTATCACCACGACCAAAAGAGCAGAAACCCCTGCGCCGGAGGAGAGCATGAAGCTCCCCTACCCGACCCCCAGAGGCCAAAGCCAACAAGAAAAGTGCCTTGGAAAAACAATCCTGGACCGAAGGGGCCACAACGAAACGAGGAGATGAAAGGAAAGCGAGCACTCTGTCCAAAGACCAGGACGGCTCAGGCGACGCATGAGCAGGCCGGAGGTGAAACAATGCACGAGACAGCTTGCGAAACGGCGCAGACGTAACATCGATACCGAAAGCAAGCTGAAGCGGCTCCGCCAGCGCCGCACAATACGAAGCGACAGTGTTAGGCATAAGATGACGGTCCTGAAACAACCACGAGAGGAAGGACAAGACCACCCGAACAGACAAGGAGCTAACACGACGAAGACGCAAAAAGAAACGGAAGGACCGCCAGGAAACTTCATATTGCCGCCGAGAAGAAGCCCTCAGGTGGGACACCATCAAGGAGGCCGCCTGATCACCATAGAGATGATGATAGACTCGAGTCAAAAAAACCATACGCGAAGACTCGAGGAGAAGATCGAACCAGCTACGTGACGTACCGGCCCGATCTGCTGAAAGAGGCGGAGCCGCGGGAAAACCCTCGGGTTCGGACACCGAGCAACCAGCGCCTGAAACCAAGGCTGGGCCGGCCACCAAGGGGCCAGAAGGACAACTCTCCCCCGGTAAGTCTCTAAGCGAGTCAGGACCTGGAGCAACAGCCGAACCGGGGGAAAGAGGTACAGGAACCCCCACCTCGACCAGTCTAGCCGAAAGGCATCGACCCCGACGGCCACGCAATCGGGGAAGGGCGCCGCATAAACGGGAAGACGCGAAGAGGTCCACTTCGGGGCGCCCGAACGTCTGGCAAAGCCAACGGAAGGACTCGTCGTCGACCATCCACTCCGTGGAGAGGGGAACGAAGCGAGACAGGGCGTCGGCCAAGATGTTGGACACGCCCCGTACATGAACCGCCAGGAGAGCCAAACCCCGAGAACTCAGCAGACGAGTCACCCGAAGCGACCAACCCCAAAGAGACAAGGACCGCATCGAACCCCCGCGGTTCAGGCAATGAACCACCGGAGAGCAGTCCGAATGGAGCCGAATCGTCGATCCGCGGGCCACCCGAATCCTCCCCAGAGCAAACCACACTGCCGCGAACTCCCGCACCGTACTGTGAGCTCGACGGAAGGACGGATCCCAACGCCCCTGGCCGGCCTGGTGAGCACTGGTAACAAAACCCCAGCCGAGAGACGACACATCCGTGTACACATCGAGCGAGGGCTCGGGTAGGCGCCAAGGCACTGAACCCCGAATAACCCGAAGAGGAAGCCGGTGACGCAGCAACCGACGCAAGTCCCCCGGGGGTCGAACTCTGCGATCGCGAGAGAGGCGGAAGGGGGAACCCCGAAGGAACCAGAACAGCCGTCGAAGCCAAACCCGACCCGGCGGGTAGACCACCATCGCGAAGTTCAGGCTCCCGCACAGCCCCTGGAGCAACCGCCGGGTGACCCGAGGGCCCTCCAGAAACAGACGAAGGCGGGACCGCAGCCGCAGGAGAGACTCTGGAGGGAGAGACAAGGAGGCGGTTCGAGAGTCCCACACGAGACCCAGCCAAGTCCGAACCTGAGAGGGAACCAGATGGGACTTCCTCCAGTTCACCAAGAACCCGAACCCGGCGAGCTGGGAAAGAACCAAATCCCTGGCTAGCAAGCAAGCTGACTGGCTGGGAGCCCAAACCAGCCAGTTGTCGAGGTAGGCCAACACCCGAACACCTAGAAGACGCAAACGAGCCACCACAACCCGTGTAAGGCGTGTGAACACGCGAGGTGCCAGGTTCAACCCGAACGGGAGACAACGAAAGCGGTAACTCAGACGCCCCACTACAAAACCGAGCCAGTCCCTGAACCGCGGATGAATCGGGACATGCCAATAAGCGTCCCGGAGGTCCAGGGACACCATCCAAGCTCCCGGCTCCAAGAGGAGCCGAACCTGAGACAGCGTAGTCATCCGAAAGGAGGGGCAATGAACCCAGGGGTTCAGACGGGACAAGTCCAGAATGAACCGCAGGTCCGCGCAGTCCCGTTTCGGAACCGGAAACAGACGGGAAACCCATCTGAGGGACGACGTCGTTTCGACGACGCCCAAGCGTACCCACTCCAAGACGACTCGACAGAGCGCAGGGGAAGAAGCCTGCCCTGCCAGCCCCGACCCCCCAAAGGGGGGAGGGGCCACCCAACGCCACCGCAGGCCGCGAGACACGACCCGAAAGGCCCACGAATCGTGGGACCAGGCGCGGGCGAACAGCGCAAGCCGCCCCCCCATCGCCCCGTCAAGGGGGCAAACCGCGAAAGGGCCGGCGACCCTTACGAGACCCAGAACCCCGAACACCGCGCCGACCAGACGAGGGAGGGTCCGCAGGAGGAGCCAACCCCAAACCTGACACCAGAGGCCTACCACGACGAGAGGAACCCCAAGCCCTGGCACGACCTTTCCGGGAAGACCCACCCCGGGACCCCCGGAAAACCAACAAGTCCGACATCGGACGACAAGCCGCCGACGCAGCCTGAATAAACTGCGCCACGGCCGACTCCCCAAACAGGAGAGGACAAAAAGGTGAAGAACGCCTAAGAGCCAGAGCCCAAGCAGATTCCACGGAGGAACCCAGCACCACCTGCCGACACGCGAGACGTGAAGCATAGAACAGGGAAACCGCATCCCGCAAAATCGGCGTGAACAGCTTCAACAAGGCAGCCGACGAACGCGCAGCCGAGGACAAGGTGCCGGACCCCGGGACGGACCCAAGCGTCCCCACATCCTCCACGAGCCAATCCGAAGACAGCTCCAGGAGGGAAAAGAACCGCAAGGCCGAACACAAAAGGCCCCGGGCGTGCAAGTCCTCCGCCACGAGCGCCGCTGAAAGGGAGGGAACCTGCACATGGAGCTGAATAACGCCCACATCGCGGGGAAGGGCAGGGGCAAACAAGCACTCATTCAGGTACTCAAGTTCACCCCCCAGGAAAACCTGAAGCACCGTGGAAGCTTCCCGCCACTCCAGCGTGCGGGAACGACAGAAGGAATGCCAGGAATCCAGACCAAACAAGGGGCAGTCTGCTAGCCAGGACGACTCCGGAACCTCGTAACGGAGCCAGAAAGGGAACGAAGTCCCAAACCTGAACGTGGACGGATCCATTTCCGAAGCATAATCCGGGTCACGCAGGAGGTAAGCTGCAAAGGCCGCTCGCACCACACCAGGTTGGATACGATAAGCCGAAAACCTCCGGAAGGACGGAACCGACGTACCCGGGGGAACACGGAACCGAACCCGGGGAGGGGCCGACACCAAATCCAACTCGTACGCAGAGGGGGGAAAAGAAAACCCCACTCCTTGTAACAATAAGCCCCGCTCAGTGGGAAGAAAAACCCAGGCGGGGTCCAGCGGGGCCCAAGGCCCCCAAGTCAGCCCCTCCCCAGCCTCGAGGTCCGTCACCACAGGACCCGAGGCCGAGTCCTCTCCCCAAGCCCCGACCCCACAAGACAAGGACGGAGCAGCCGGAAAAGCTGGAGGAAGGGGGGCCCACTGGTCAGACCCTGAAGCTTCGGCCGGGAGACAAGACTCGAATGCCTCTGCCGCCCCCCCGGAAGGGGCAACCCCCGAAGCTGCCCGAGTCTCGAGATCAAGTAACCCCTGCTCCGACCCCGAAACCCTCAGACGCTTCGGGGCCGGAAGCAGGGGCGGGGGACCAGAACGAACAGAAGGGGAAGGACGAGGAGGTGCGGACTGAACCAGGATCGAAGCGACCCCCACCCCCAAGTCCGGGTCTCGAAAAGCAAAGCGGGGCAGCCCCGGGGCATCCGGGGAAGCAACCAACCGAGCGCGTTGCAACAGACGAAACCTAGACTGCAACGCACGTGCCGCCTGTACCCGAATAGAATCATCAGAGGATTGGGTAAATTGAGTCACAAGCAAACAGCAACACTCACAGGACTCAGGGTCGAAAGTATCACCGACCCAACAGGCAGCGTGGCAGAGGCAAAAACAATGAGAGTCACCCTGAGACAAGGGGACCGAGCAACCCTCAAACTCGCACACAGCGAGTGGGGACCCCGGGGTCACATCCATCGGACCCACGCGCCCCCTAGGGGATTCCCAGGGTCCTGAGCGTTTACTTTAAGAGGACTCGCGCTCAGGTAGTTCCAGGCAGGGTGCTGCAAACCGGCGCCCAAAACTACCAAGCAAACTTCTAAAGCTGAACCCCAGGGACGTGTACACTCACGGGGACCTAGCAGGGGGTGCCACCGAGGAGAACAGTGGAAGGGCAAAAACAAACTGAATAAAATGACAGAACCCCCCACCAGGCAAAAACAAAAAGAAAAACAAAACCCCGCAAGAGGACAGCGAACCCCAAGGAACAGAGCCGGCCGCGATGTCGGGAAATACAAGCTGAGCAGCACCCTGCGCCCCTACCAGTGCAAACTGCCTCTTACCTGCCGGTAACAAGGGAGAACAGAACACCCAAGAGCCCAACAGGCGGCCGAAAAACCGAAAGGTAAAACGGACCAGCAGAGGCAGACCCCGAGGAGCCTGTGGAAGGTGGCCCCAAGCCCCAAGGGCAGTACAGGCATACCTCAGTTTAAGAGTTTAATTGGTTCCTGGAGACGCCTCGTATTCCGAAAACTCGCATTCCGAAGCTAATTTCCCCCATAAGAAATAAAGGGAAATGAATTAATCCGTTCCTGACTACCCCAAAAACCCCACATCAAACTAAATTTTTATACCTAATTCATCTAAATAAACCTACAAAACTATGTTCAAATTATTACTTACCTTGCTGTTGAATGCTGTAGGCGTATGGAAGATGGTGAGGAGGTGGGAGGAAGAGAGGAGTTACTGTTTGGAAGAGGAGTCCCCTTCCATTATCACATCAGGCAGTGAGGACTTCACTGGTATGCACACTCTGGCACATTTTGCCTGCATACAACTAGGACTTGCTTGTTTTACTAAGAATTTATCTAATGACACTTGTTTTTCCCTACATTTTAACACTTGTCTGTAGTAAGACATCACAACCACTGTACTTACAGGGCACCTAGGGAAGGCAGCCCTAGGCGCATGCAGCCCGAGTACTGAAGATAACTCCTGGCTCTCGCACCCACAAAACTAACACCACACGCAAAGCACAGTGCAGTAGCGACACCGGAGCCAGAGCACACGACCATCGCCTATAGCATCAGCCTCAAGAACTGAGGTGTGGGTAGCCGGCGCGGGGGGATCTGGGGCTCCCCCTTCCCCCTCCCGGGGAGGGGAGAGCTGCGCAGACAGCGGCGCGGCAGTGTGTGACATCACACTAGTTTGCTTGTTTTCGGTTGGGGAGTTCTATCCAATAGTTTGGTTTTAGGTAGCAATTTTAACCAGAATAGGGGTTTGTTTTGGGGCGCTTACCTTTCTGGGTGCCTGTTCCGGTCGATGGCAGACATAGAATGCTTCCAACTACACGGGGGCTTCTATAGGCCATTGCTCCCCTTGCCTCTCTGAGGGGGCCCGGTTCTGGCCGTGGTCCCCGGTAGGCCTAAGAACTCCATACACATGACTGATGCCAAAGTCTGACATTAGCATATCAGCCTGGGATAGCTCCGGGGAGCCGACGAGGCTCCCCCCAGAAAAAGCAATTGGAAACAATATAACAATATATTGAAAATAAAGAAAATCACTCGGCCTATTAGGCCAATCGGACCTTGCATAGTAGGCCCAAATTCACCAAAACTAAATTCACATTACAATACTACAGATATGAACAATATTTTCCACCTAAAAATATATTTCACCATAGTTATACAGTACAGTTCTTTAATAACCTTAGATAAAGGCCGACAATATTATTAAGAGGGGTTTGTTTATGCTTAACATATTATTCACATTGTAGCAAAACATTGGACAACATATACTTGATGACAAATATTAACATACCAAAGCAGGCAAAGCCCTCTTGAGCCCGAATGGCCACCAATTCAAGCAAACGAGACAAAGATCTGCTACAGTAACACATTAACTCAATTTTTATTCACTACTTTACTTGGACATTTCATGCTTCTTGCACTTCTGCCTTGCTAATTAATCTGATCCCTGCTCCCAGGCTCATCTCTCGCTGCTGCTGCTATGGTAGGTTATCAGGTTCATCCAGCCTCGTGCTAGACTCGAAGCCTGTGCTTTATTTACGTATGCCACCATCGTAACTTTCATCACAGCATATCATGTTCAGTTATTTTGGCAAAGTCTCTAAGGAGTTGACTCACACCTTAGCCACTTGATTCTCATGAAAACTTATATTTATATAGTATGTGTGTATATCACGAAAATAAACACGTGATTAAGAATGTGACAATGTCAGACCACGGAGGAAAAATGAAACAGGAAATTTCCTTAAGTACTTTCGTATATTAAATACATCTTCAGAAGGTCATTTTACAGATCGAGTGATGGGTATAAATAGGCAGGAGAGAGTGGTGAAGTAAGGTGAGGTACAATACTTGGACAACGCAGACGGCCCATTGGCCCATCAGATGCACCCAATTGGCCCATCCGATGTAGCCCAATGGCCCATGTGATACAGCAGACATGCAAGCATAATACATATGTAATTATAACATATTTATGTTATAATTACCTATGTATTATGCTTGTATGTCTGCTGTATCAGATGGGCCATTGGGCTACATCGGATGGGCCAATTGGGTGCATCTGATGGGCCAATGGGCCGTCTGCGTTGTCCAAGTATTGTACCTCACCTTACTTCACCACTCTCTCCTGCCTATTTATACCCATCACTCGATCTGTAAAATGACCTTCTGAAGATGTATTTAATATACGAAAGTACTTAAGGAAATTTCCTGTTTCATTTTTCCTCCGTGGTCTGACATTATATAGTATGTTCATATTATACTTGGTGTGGTGTGGTTTTAACAGACACGGTGAGTTTCTCAGACGGTCTGTCTCAATTATCAAGTTATGGTATGATTTACAACCCCAAACAACTTCTGTGTTGCTGAGATAGAATAAACTGTGCCATGACTATATATCCTCTCCTCCAAACTCTTGTGCTTGAAAGAAATCATACAATGATTATCCTCCCAATGCACAAGAATTTTAAACTCCACGACTTACCGAAAGCTTTTCATTAAAGCCATTCATCTTAATAACAAGGCCTTTTGGAGTGGCTTTGATGGAATATCGATACTGTGCCATACTAGCTGGATAAACATCCTCCATTACCAGCTGCTCAAACAGGTTCAGGTACAAGTCCAGTAGAGCTGCTCTGAAAAGGATGAAAATAAAATTTATTTTTTTAAATTTAAACTAAATGTTAATTGTTTGTTTTGGGAAAGTGAAAAAGGCATCTCCATATAAAAGTAAAAGTGAAATTATTAATTTGGCTAGGAAGCAAGCCTATATATTGATAAAGACATGAAAGGCAGGTTGACATTTAGCCATGCCTACTAAACATTAGTTTCCCAGTAGACACCAAGATGATATTAATGATATTGAAAAATAGTATATTTGGTTCCTACAACAATTATGGACATAATTCAAGTGTGCTATGTAGCTCATAAACTAATTAATGTATGGTAGTTACTAATATAAATCATTCTAGCACAAAACCCTACAGAATCCCACTTTTCAATACTGTCCAGCCTGAAATATATATATGTCACTTACAATCTGGGAGACTGCAGAGGCAGTTCAGATATTAAATATATATAGCAGTAGGTCCTTGGCAACTTAAACTTCTGATCCTGTCTAAACCATAATTCTCCCCATTCATCTTGACACAACTTTTCAGGATACTCCGGAACTTCTTTCTCTGGCGTCAATAAGTCAAAACTGCTTGGGATGAAATTATTGGGAGCTGGAATGTGCAGTTCTGGATTACTTGGGAGGTTAGCCCACTGCTCTTCCCAATCTTTTGGAATACCTATAAAGAAAATATTTTTGTTTTCAGAGGCCGATATATATAAGCCCTTACATTTAGAGTACAATGATAAATGTAATGAAAAATATAATGGATGCAACTTAAGTCATTCATACCCCATACATATCATTTATTTGTCCATTATTATTACTGCACATAGGTGTTAGTCAGGAGAAAAATTAGAGTGTTGAGTAATATAGTATGAAACGCTCCTTTCTGAGTAGTCTATTTCTGCATGAAGTTATCCAAGGCCTATGGTCCACAGAAGATAAACTTTTTGTCAGGCTATTAACTTGTGCCCTAAAGTGACAAGGAACATTTCGAATGGTCCTGGAAAACCTAGAGGGTAGATAGGCAAAATAAAATTAATTCCACTGATAAGAGTGAGTTTGCTATGTGACCTCAGATTGCTTCTCGTTGCACTAGCTCACGTATGTTCCTTACTTTTGTACATGTTCCAGGTAGGTTATGCTCAGAAATAGGTATCGTGTGATATAAAATGCTTTTTGCTCCTGCTGCCAATGTAGCCAGTGCTGCAACCTTGTGGCGGGCAGATGGCAAGTAGCTGGTGGCATGACACCAGCCACCTGTTGAATTAACCAAGCTTTATTAGCCAAGACTATAACCCAGATTTTATAATGCAGTCATTAGATCAGCTGTAACAGATAGTGAGTACAGGACAGGTGCAGTCATCTCCAGACGAGCATTATAAACCACAAACATGCCAAATAATTAGTCTGAACACTTGTTACTTCAGGGATAACCTTGCAAGTTATAATGCCTAATAACGATCATGTACAGGTATTTATTGAACATTAACAAATTATGTGCACTCCACATGTTCCGTGACATTTTCATTACTTACTCTCATTAACTCTTCTTATTAACACTATTTATTTTCATTATTATTTTATCTTCATTATCTCCTCTTTCATTATTATTTTATCTCTATTTTATCTCTTCTATTAACACTACACATGCTGCTAAATAGTACTTACCTTCTATTGAATATTTGGTTCCAAACCATTTCTCCGTTAGATTACATATGTTCTGGTCTTCAAAAGTCTTGGAACTAATCGTTATGTTGCAGTTTTCAGGACCCAAAGCATCAAGACACATTTTAATAATCTGCAATTAAAACCGATATTAAATACTATGTACTTTTCAGCAGGAATTAAGGGTACTGTTAGTAGCATGGATATAATGGCTGCAAACAGGAAAAAATCATAGCTTTTCTAAATGCCAGTGACAATGATACAGGAAAATATAGGAGTGAGGAACTGCTAGTAAAATTTCGGACTGCCTCCAAGTTAATTAGTATGATGAGATGAATTACTATCAAAAGTTGGCAATAAATTACTGTCAAAGGAAATTTGTATCTCCTGCCTAGATAAATAATGTAAATCTTAGGCAATGTCATTCTTCAACATCAGAGACAAATTGTATAACAAACAACCTCTTCCCTAAAAACTAACCAGTCAAACACACTGTATAATCTCTCTCTTCTATTATCAAACCCCTTGGCATAAATGACTTACCACCTTTCATAAATCTGTATATCACGAACTAAAATTCTCCAATTCATTGATCTCAAGATGGACAATCTACTTGTAAGTTGTAGATCAGGCCTCAAGATTTGTGTGAAAATTGGGTGTTCCAATATTTTGAAAACTCAAGTTCAAACTTGAACCAAATAAATAGAATTGGCCTCGTTATTACCACTACTTCATGTGCCATTTTAAAGAATGGAGACCACTTGCCTCAGAAAAAAAAATTAAAAAGTTATGTAGAAATCAGGAATATAATACTTTGCTTTGCTTTGAACATTTTTCATTTACAGCTGGAGATTCCACAAATATACACATTGTGTGTAAATTACTACAGTATTTCAAGAATATATGACAAGAGAAATGTGACTTGTCAAGGTACATAGCACAAGGAGTAGTATGAAACCTAAGGATGCTATGGGATATCTCGGGCAAGCACACTTACTGTCACTGGCTAGTGCACCCAGCTTAAGACACATCTCACAATTCAAAATAATTGATCCAATGAATTGACTCATTGCCATAAAGCCACATCTGCTAGAGCTAGACAGATCAAATAAAAACACACCTCTTAGGAAAACCTGGTCATTTTTAGACAGTAAGTTTTCCTTACCTGAGGATTATAATTAGTCATAAGAGAGTCTCCTGTAAGATAATCAACTGGGGGAAATATCTGCATTGCTTCAGAAAGATTTTCAACATTTTCAATTGCCGTTTGCTCTTCTGCATAGTCAAAATTCAGTTGCTCCATTTGCTGAATCTCCCTAAAGATTCTTTCGACTGGTCCTGCTTTCTGGATCATCGCTATATACTGGAATACTACACACAGAACCTGCAAATGAAAATATAAATATTCTGTATAACTATTCAACTCGAGTAAGTCAATAAAGCACACAATATAGTAAGCTATGCTGCAATTTGGTAAGCCACTAGACAAATTACCCGTTCTGAGACAGATTCATTATGAACACAACTGTTAATTACTAAATAATAAGTAAACAAATTATAAATAAATAAGAAACCTTTAAATGAAACCCAAAGAAAGAAAGAGTTGGCCAAAGGTAGCCTGCACATTCATATATTACCATTACCCTGTTTCCCATTTTCATGGAATGAGGAGGCATCAGCCACAGAATGAAAATGTGAATATAGTAAAAGAAAGTTGCTCTTATTCCATAATAAAATATTTAAAATGTCACTCACTTTCTATAGACACAACTGGATGAGTAGACAACATAACATCAGTGAAATTAGTCATTTTTCTATCTTTTACATTGTAAATTTGGGCCTTACTTGCCAACATTAATGTTTTAAACTGTTACCTTGTCAACATTCTTGAAGCCTTCATCCGTAAGTTCTATGCTAATGTTCAAAGCTGCATATGTACTGTTGTGTTCAAAGCCTGTCTCATCATTTCCTGAAAACAGCCCAACAGCCCAAACTCTGAAAGATAAAATTTTAAAGCAAGATTTCATTTAAATGGTTTGATCAAGTGTACATCATGTGTCTACAGAGGCTCTGGTCATCATATATGTATCGTGTGTCTCTACAAAAGCTCTAGTCATCATGTGTGCATCTACAGGGGCTATGGTCATAATGTATCATCATGTATGTATCTACAGAAGCTCTGGTCATGTTGACCAAACCACACACTAGCAAGTGAAGGGACAACAACGTTTCGGTCCGTCCTGGACCATTCTCAAGTTGATTGTGAATGGTCCAGGACAGACCGAAATGTCGTCAGATTTCAGCCATGTTATTGAGACTCCTCATCTGCAGCTCTGGTCATCATTTACTGTAAATTGATGCGAGACTTGTCTAACACATATCTTAAGGTTTTGACGGGAAGTTTGGAAAAACAAAATTCCACATACAATGTACATGTACTAGATCCAATCAAAAAGCACACCAAGACATCACCACAAATACAAGCACTATGCCGCAATCTGTTGGTCGTAGGATAAATTTCATTCCTCAAAGGAGCGTGTTTCAGAACACCGCCCTGTCAGAGACATAAAAACACTTCCCTACACGAAACTTTGAATATCTAGTTTCCTGCCCCATACCTAATCAAAGTGGAAAAGAGTACTGATGATGAAAAAATGTTACAGCTGAAGATAATTAATAAAAAATTTTACAACAATCAAAAGTTTGTTATACATAGAGTATTGATTTTACAGAGGATGTTTATATTTGGAGCCCCCTTGAATACTAATTACTTTCACTACTCTTAAGAACATTTAATATGTTACAAGACCAATATTAAAGATAAAGATAACAATAACATGCATGAACCTCAATGTCATTGGGAATGTTTTGTAACTTTGAATTATTATAAATGGAAATTAGAAAGTATAAGATTACAGTATGAAATTATCATGCTGCTGAGTGTATGCAGCAATATAGTTAAAATGTTAAATAACAGAACCCAAGAATATCTCAAATTACAAAATTGCAATAGTGTATTTATATACGCATCATGTGAGTTAGGTCCCTAAATATGAGAGAACAGATTCAAGGGGACGTAAGAAATAATCCACAATATAAAATATGTCTCAAAAATACTGTAAATAACTTGACACAATAAAAATAAAATGACACTAACTTCTTTTTGAGATACGAGAGGATCGAGCCTCGTCCTTCATGTCCAATTAAATGAGACACATAGTGCAGAGGCTTTGTGTGATAGTGCTTGAGAAGAGAAGGCAAGGCATAATTTATATCCACACAATGGTATTCTTTGGTTGGTACCACACGGCGCAAACAGTGAAGTCTCTTCAAGGGAAAGGGAAATTCAAGGTGACTGTAGGTGGGTCTTGCCATGTTATTACAAGGAATCTGCAAGGAAGAAAACTTTGTTAGCTTTAATTCAAATCTAATCAAGTACTTTTTAATTAATGGACATAGATGTTACTTTTATGTACATTATACAAATTACAGTGCATTAGCTTTCATCAAAAGGCAAAGGAGAAATATTAAATTAAAATTACAATTGGCAAGATGACCGGTTGCCTAGTTATAGGTTTACTCAAATGAAAATTAGAGAAAGACAATTTGGAAAGTTATAAAATTAAGTCTTCCTTTTGGGTGTACATCTATTATCACACTTTTAAAATGGATTTTTTAATGGAAAATACAAAGGAGAAATTAAACAACTGGAGCTCTAAATATGAGCTTTGATTTGTACCAGTTATTATGAATATTCAGATTCTGAAGCCATTCTAACATTACAGTATTTTTCAAAGCAAGTGCACAATAAACGGGACATGCACAGTAAACAGGACAACTGATGAGTTGTAATAACTAGATTCAGCAACTTGCCTGACCAGTAAAACTGCCAAAATTGGCTTGTCTAGCAATCAACTGCTGCTCATATTAAGCTATACAGCTAATGAAATGCAGGCATCCAGATACTACTCCCTGGACTGACGAAGGTTTAGCCTATGGCCGGCAAGTAAGTAATTATCAAAGAAGGCACCAAGCCGAGAAGGCTATGTAGCACCTATGGTCGGCAAATAAACCCTTTATTACTAGAGCAATACTCTTTGACCAATGGAGCAAGAATCCCTCGCTTCTGGAGCATGACACCTTTTCTACTAGAGAAAGAATCTCACTGAAGTTCAAGGAACCCCAGTTTTGCAATCTAAGAGCAAGTATCAACACTCACGGCCAAAGACTTAACATGTTCACATCAGTACAACAACTCGTCTAGTGACAACTTTACAAGTTTCTTCGGACAATGGTTGAACACTGGATTGTTATAGTCATTGATATGCATCAGCAAGTCTGGGTGATATAATTACTGTATTACCAAAGCAGCTTAGAAAATTGTAGGCCAGAAAAAATAGAGGGAAAATTAAAATAAGATAAGCATACAGTACCACAAGTGAAATACACAAAATCTGGCAAAAAATATCTTACACCTTTTAGATAGATGTTAACTTCATCAGTATGAAGTCAACAAACCATATAATGAGAAAGTATAATCTCCATGTAATGGAAAGACTTAAGCACCCACCTGAGAAAATATACTGCACACATACTCCTGCAAGCAGTCTAGTGTCAACCGTGCCTGCACTGCTAGTGTCATGTGATGGGCAGAATAATATTTCAGACGTAATTCGTGTAGCTTTTTATGTAGCTCCTCGTCTGGGATATCAATATTTAATGTGGATTCATTACCCCAAGTAAACTTGCCCATAGGATGACCCTCTACAGCAAAACTCCCAAACAGCTGTTCATTTCTATATTCATCATCTGGTAGAGCCATCTGAAATTCTGAAAACTTAATAAGTATCTATCATTACTAGAATTTGTATCTTGCAATTACAATCATCTTATTATAATCTTTAAGAGAAGTATTTTAATTCAATAAATTAAACAACAATTTAGTCAACACACGTAACAGACAACAGGAAAGGAAGATAGCTGCTAAAGCTGAGAAGAGCAATATGTGCCTAAGGTTTAAATGAATGTTAAATAATATTGGAGTGATGTTTTAGAAGTATAGGCCAAACAGCAAAGGCAGGTTTCTATGGTTGAAAGGAATGCGAGAAGAATAACTCAGGAATGGAACAAGGTGGAAGAGACAAAAGATTTCAAGGAAGTCTGGTGAGTTAATCTCTTGATTTCAAGGAAGTCTGGTGAGTTAATCTCTTGCAAAGTAAAGATAAAGGGAAATGACAATGAAGAGTGAAATGAATAAATGTAATAATAGTACACCTAGTAGTAGTAGTATAGAGCTGTGAAGAAGCAATCTTTTTCACACCCACAAACATTCCTTAATGAGTAGTTATCACATTGCAAAAAGCAATGAAGCTTGGTGCAGTGGTTATGAGTCTTACCACTATGCACTGCCTCCCGTTCTCTAGTCATTGCCTCCTTCTTCATGAGCGGGTTGATGAAGAACTGAGCAAACCGGTCCAAACCCTCATGCAGGTAACGTTCCTGAACCTCGAAGTAGAAGGTCGTATGCTCCATATCAGTATGAGCATTATCGTGGCCACCATGTTTCTGTTAAAATACACACAGTGGTTTGAACAGTTAATCTTAAAATGTTCCTTGAAAGACTTGCAAAACCAAGCTATCTAAAAAATTATCTAAATATAATGCTAGGCTATCCTGTTTGGAAAATAAGTTTTTATTTGACTGACCCTTTGACTTTTACATAAAACACAAACTTGAACTCAATTGGTTTCCAATGATGATTTTCTTGTATATACAGTACATGAAAACCTAAAGACAATAGTTTAAACATTGCAGCAGTCTCAAGACTGTCAAACATAAAAGCTTAACTATTTTTTTTTGTTAACAATGCAACAATTTATTAGAATTTATTTCAACATATATGTGTGGTCAGGGGGGGGGGAATATTTAACAAGTATGGAATGATAAAAACGTTTTGGAAATAATTTTCCTGCAAACACCAAATGGCTTGTCATATTTAACACAAATATTAAGTGGTTAAACACAAACATTACAATAATGACAAAGCAAGCACATGACCTGATACTAAATGCCTCACCTTAATGTAATAATCAAAGGCATTCTCCTTTGGATATTTCTCCGACCCCATGAAGACCATGTGTTCCAAAAAGTGCATCAGGCCGGGTATTTCTGCAGGGTCTTCGAAGCTTCCCACTCCTACACTAAGAGATGCTGCTGCCTAAATTGCAAAGAAAAATCACACTTAGATACATTACAATATATTTTCTACACAAAATCTAAAACTAATTTTTTTTTCACAGAAAACAAGGAAAATGTACAAGTGAAAATCAGCTACAGTATTTGACAACAAAAAAGTACCATGTGAATATGCCAACATACCAGATATTTGGTTGAATCTGTACTATTTTTTCCACAATTCTTTCCCTCTGTATCATCCTCTTCGATACCAGCGTCATCTTCCGATTCCTCATCTTCTACCACTTCTTCATCTTCATCATCTTCATCTTCACTGACATCATCATCCTCCTCATCTTCTGAATCGTCTTGATAAGATTAAACATTATCAGAAATATTGTGCACCTTTTACATTACGAGTACAATCCTGTTAACTCATGACTTAACTTACTATTAAAATCAGTGTATGCTTAAGTAAAATGCCTTTTAATTTAACACACTTAAAATACTTAAGATTATTTTAATGTTAGTGTATTGGTGAGTGTAGCATTGGTCTTTCCTTGCTAGATAAGGCCATAATTACATACTCAATGTAAATGACTTTACTTTTTCTAGATTTATATATCTAGAAATCTTACAATTTCCAGGATATTGTAAGTTGGAAGTTGCAGTGCATCACTAATACACCACTGTCCATTAGCAATGTGGAAGGTGCTGTCTGGTAAATATTAATGTCCCTCCAAACAGCTTTTCCTCCGACTCTACTCCTTTTAACCTTGCTTTATACACATTTTCTCTACACCCACAAATCACCTTCATACACAATTTTTCCCCTTCTTATTATGCTGTATATATCACACAAGAAGAATAAGAGAAACTTGAGGCAAGGACAAAAAAGAAAGAACCTGATCCAATGACCAATTCGACTTCAGAGGAATGTGATTACGAATTAAAAAAAAAGGCCCAAGACAATTTAAGGCACAGAGGAGAAAGAAACATCTATCCCTAAAACAAGGAGGAGGCTTTACCTGGGCCAAACAGTAAGATAATATTATTGGACATGAGATAATGCTTCACAAAGAGCCAGAACAAAAAGGATATGACTACTGGCACAGAAACAAAGGACAACCAGTAGAGGAAAGGTAAAGCTGGAAGGACCCCCAAGCCATTTCATACCGACACCTGAAAGGAGGATATAATTGCAACACTAAGGTAGCCACCACCTGGCTCAGTATAGGTTGTGGAACAACCTATATGAGAGCCAGGTTGCTTAATTAAATGTGAAAATTGGGGGACAGATTCAAACCAGCTTGTGAGCTTGAGTTTAAATTTGTAACTTTTATGTTTCTGTTATTTTAGCAGGATTGATACTCTCTCCAAAGGCTCCCAAGTACAGTACACCTTTATGAAACTTTGTGGTCCCTAATGACATTGGTGCCATGTCTTTCTGCATGATTAAAAGTACTGTAATCTTATTGTGCAGTGGATCACTAATTCTGAGAGAAAAATAATAATTGTCAAAAATAAGGTTTTCACAAGCACAAATCCTATCCTAAATAATACAAAACTATATAACAAAATTATTATTTAATGTGTTTGTATGCCACATTCACAAAGATATGCTCTGCTCACCTTCCTCGTCTGCAGATGACACAAGTCTGCCCACATCTGAGATAAGTAAAGCCCTCAAGCCATTTTCAAGCTGAATCACTCTGTAAAAGAAAAAAATATACACAAATATAAATATATAAATACACATTTTAAATTTTAATCAGGTGATTAGTAAATTTTAATCAGTTCAGTTTTTAATTGGTCCTAGACTTTTAGTTTGCTACATTGCTCAGGTACAGTATTATTTTTCTATAACCTACTTCAAAACTAAGGATGAAATTCCTGATTTCAAAGTTGAAAAGAAGAATGAGAAACAGTGTTTGTCTGTTGAACTATTACTTATGTCCGAAAAATATAGGTGCTAATGATTTACAACTAATAAGATCAGATACGATCAGATAAAATAATCTGGGAGGGTTTAATTTGTGTTTCTAATTTTCGGGATTAACATTGTCATCCTATGCTGGAAGCATTCTAGTGAATTTACAGTACTATACTGCACAGTATATCCATTCACTATCATTTCTAGTGAAGTGATAGTTTATAATATTAATTTTCATATTAGAAAATCCCTATCTTGAATGAACAGCATGTTAAGTGATGAATATCTCTTTGGGGTTGACTGCTGGATTGAATGAACGTGGCCTGAGGAGAGTAGGCAAGTAATTATGCAAAGAAGGCACCAAGCCGAGGAGATTATGTAGGAGAGATCGTATGTGAAGCCAACCTACCTGTATTCCTTTTTGTCAATTGGAGACTTTGATGGAGTTGTGAGAACCTGGAAGTTATAGTGTGTGGCCTGCGTGTTGAGTGGTACTGGTGACGAGGGTGTAGGGCCGCTCTCGCCGCCCATACCGCCCACGCCGCCCATACTGCCCGTACCACCTACGCCGCCCACGCCGCCCGTGCCACCCTCAGTACTGCTGGCGTATCCTCTCATCCTTGGTGGTCGAGGTCCTGATATCCTGGGCTTCTTCACACCTCGGCCGCTAGCTACAGACAACAGCCTCTTTGGTGACATGAAATGTTTTTCAAGCGTTAGGATTCTTATGATCATACAACATGCCACAGTAATACTACGTCGATGGTGTATTACATCTTACTCATTAATGCCTCAAACATAGTATAACTGATTAGAAATATCGCGATCAATTTAAATCAAGATAATGTTGAGAATTTTGAGTTAATACGAAAATAAGTAACAGCGGTGCGACCAGCAGCTCCCAGGCGCACATGTCAACACGGCTGGTTCAGTCACTTCCTCTCCCACACCTGATCTAACCTTCTGCCCGCTTTCCTTATACACTTACGTACTTGTATATATATGGCGAATTCCATTAACTGACCAAATGCAAACTGTCAATAAAATTATTCGCACACCCTCTGTCACTATGCGATGAGGTGCCAAAATATACGTGAATTTAGAGACAGCTCATTAACAAATGTTCCAGAAATGTGTAAACTATTTATTTTATTTTGTATGTATTTATTTATATATATATATATACAAGAGTTATTACAGTCTTGTAAAGCCACTAGTAAGCATAGTGTTTCGGACAGGTCCTTAATTTTAATTTTCCATTCACTGCTGGGTGAACAGAAGCTACAGTTCTCACTCCCCAGCCGGGATACGAACCCAGGCTATATGTATATGTGTATTTATAAGTATATATATATAGTGTATAATAAGTATATGTGGTTTATCGGTCAACTGGTATATAGAAGCACAACCAAACACGATTACACTTTCTGCCCGAAACGCTTTGCGTAATAGTGGCTTTAGGCATTGTATGTACTAGCTCTATCTATAAAGCCAACAAACTTTGTAAAATCTCTTTATGTATGTACCTTTGCCTAAATAAAAATTATTATTATTATTATTATTATTATTATTATTAAACAAATCCACAAGGGCCGTGATCAGGGTTCGAACCTACGTCCGAGAGGATCCCAGACACGCCTTAATCGACTGAGCGGCCCTTGTGGATTTGTTTATTTGATGCATCACACTATTGAGATGTCTGTGTGTGTAACGATTACACTTAAATAACAGACTCGCCCCATTGGAAGGCGCGGGGTGCAGTAGTATACATTCAATAGTATTACGTACGTAGATTGACCAGACCACACACTAGAAGTTGAAGGGACGAAGACGTTTCGGTCCGTCCTGGACCATTCTCAAGTCGACAATCGACTTGAGAATGGTCCAGGACGGACCGAAACGTCGTCGTCCCTTCAACTTCTAGTGTGTGGTCTGGTCAACATACTTCAGCCACGTTATTGTGACTCATCGCCTGCATTACGTACGTACCTTTACAAGTAGAATGTTAGGCTGTGTCGTTCCCTGGCCCACTGTTTACCACTACTGCCGGAGAGATACTAAGGTCCTTAGGAGGTCATAAGGTTAGAGGTCAGGTTGGCATCCAGATTGATTGATAAAGATTAAGCCACCCAAGAGGTGGCACGGGCATGAATAGCCCGTAAGGCATCCAGATGGGGCTGTGGGGGCATTCGGGGAGGGCCTATCCCAGAGGCTTAAGGGGGATGTCATTGGCCGGCATTAGGGGAGGTGGGATGTGTAGACTATCAGGTGAAGTAACGAGAATTGGTCGAGATTTTGACAGAATTAGAGGGATGGGAGTGAAAGATAATTGGAGAATGAGATAACGAGAAAAAATGATGGAGAATGTGGGACAATGAGAGAGAATGGGAGAGGATAAGTGAATGAGAGAAAAATTCAGAGAATTAGACAATGAGAGAGAAAGGTAGATCAATAAGAGAGCATGAGAGAAAGAAAGAGAATGAGAGAACAAGAAAGAATGATAGAAAAAGAGAGTGAGAGATAATGGAAGAACGAGAGAGAATGGGAGAATGAGAAAGTGAGAGAAAATGAGGGAATTAGAGGATGAGAGATAATGGGAGAAAGTGGAAGAATGAGAGATAGACCGAGCTTGGAACAATGAATCAAATGAGAAAAAAATTCAAGTTCTTAAACGCCAGTAAATGTCACTATCACTTTCACTAAACTTAAACTGGTCAGCGAAGTTTCGGGGCTTAGCGTCCCCCGCGGCCCGGTCCTCAACCAGGCTTCTTTTTTTGGTTACATATCCCCAGGAAGCAGCCCGTAGCAGCTGTTTAACTCCCAGGTACCTATTTACTGATAGGTGAACAGGGGGGCATCAGGGTGAAAGAAACTCTGCTCATCTGTTTCCACCTCTGCCGGGATCGAACCCGGAACCTTAGGACTACGAATACCGAACTCTGTCCATTCAGCCGTCAGGCCCCCTACTAGGGGTTTTGAAACTGTGGGCTATGTGTAGCTATAGCGTGGGGCAGGTGGGAGAAAGCTCTTTGCAACAGATAGAGCTGTCAAAGTTAGTTCATTGCCCGCTAGTCCGCTAAAAATAACGAGTCATTAGATTCTTAGAAACATCTAAGGAGAACGTTAATATTTACAGCAGGCAACGGTGAGGATGTCACTTGAATAGACATTACCCGGGATGAAGTATTCAAGTTCAAGTTCAAGTATGTTTATTGGGACAAGATAGAAATACATCTCATAGGGATTGAGTAGCTTAGGCTATTTCTACCCCCCCCCCCCCCCACTATGAAGTATTAGCGGAAATTAAGAAATCTCCCGCCTCCCCTTACCCTTTGGGGAGGATTACCTTGCCCTGCGGTTATTTTGTGGTTACCCTGCAGTTACCCAGTTCGCGGGCACTTAATGGAGCGCCGCCCTGCTCATTATTGTCTGAACCAGGGTTGCCAGACTGGGCTACAAGTAGCGAATTGGGCTACTTTTGAGAGCCCCACGATCCCAAATTTTTAATTTCGCTACTTGCGACTTTTTGGGCTAGTTTAAACGCAAGTTGGGCTACTTTGGGCTATTAATATTAAGAAACTCAATGATGATTATTTATTTATTTATTTATTTATTTATGCATATACAAGAATGTACATAAGGAATGTGAGGATACAAATATGGTAATTACAGTCTTGTAAAGCCACTAGCACGCGCAGCGTTTCGGGCAGGTCCTTAATCTAAGAAAATTTTAAGGAGGTAAATACTTGCAAAATTATAGATGATAACAGATTACATGAAATGAAAAAAAAGATGAGATGCTTTTTTGATTTATGCTTTATGATTTATTCTTTAAGATTTATGCTTTAATAATATAATCTGTACAAATCACAGCCGAGTCCAACAGCCTGATTGACTAGACCACTTACCGCAGGAGAGCCCTGGTCAGAGACCGGCCCCTGGGGACGTTGATCCTAGGAACCTTTGAAAGAAAAAGTAACCGCAAGGCCAGGTAATCCTCCCCAGGGGGCAATAGATTTCCCAACCTTAATTGTTAATAATACTTCATCCCAAAAGCTGCACCTGGTTCCACAGATCTTCATTAAGGGGAGAAAGTTATCTAGAAATTTACAGATTGATAAATGATTGGAAAGATCCCTTACAGTTAATACCTTTGTCAGGAAGACGATGGTTGGCAAGGAGTGGTAGTGTAAAGCGGCCGTTAGATCAGTGGGGTTCTCTAACAACTCATTACCAAATAGCTTCTTCCTCTTGTGATAAATATGTTGCAAGGCAACTATTTTCAATGTACGCTGATCCCTCCAATAAGCTATATTTCACATGTCTCAAACCAATCATAAATGATTTTGAAAGGATGAATTTACTTTATCAAAAGATGAAGCAGATCAGTATAGCCTTCACACTGTCTTAGAAAACTTCACTCTTGGAATACTCAGAAGAATCTTTCGTCCTCATCATGCAAAGCTTCATGTTAATTTGGACTACAATTCTATGTATCTGCCCCTGGAGAAAGTTGACTTTAGTTACGAATTTTCAACATTGGCATATTTTCGGTGTAACAAGTAGTAATTTGAAAATGAAAATAGGTGCAGAGAGTCAGAATTCGGCTCAAAAATCACGCTCAGGAGTCAAATTTCCGACATTTCAGATATTTTGAAAACTGCAGGGGGGTTTGGGCAAAATATGACCCATCGCCGTTTTCAGTAATTGGCATATTTTCGGTATAAAAAGTCGCAATTTGAAAATGAAAATAGGTGCAGAGAGTCCGAATTCGGCTCAAAAATCACGCTCAGGAGTCAAATTTCAGACATTTCAGATATTTTGAAAACTGCAGGGGGGTTTGGGCAAAATATGACCCATCGCCGTTTTCAATACTTGGCATATTTTCGGTATAAAAAGTCGTAATTTGAAAATGAAAATAGGCGCAGAGTCAGAATTCGGCTCAAAAATCACGCTCAGGCGTCAAATTTCCGACATTTCAGATATTTTGAAAACTGTAGGGGGGTTTGGGCAAAATATGACCCCATCGCCGTTTTCAGTAATTGGCATATTTTCGGTATAAAAAGTCGTAATTTGAAAATGAAAATAGGCGCAGAGTCAGAATTCGGCTCAAAAATCACACTCATGAGTCAAATTTCCGACATTTCAGATATTTTATAAACTGCAAAGGGGTTTGGGCAAAATTTGACCCTTCGCCGTTTTCAGTAATTGGCATATTTTCGGTATAAAATGTCGTAATTTGAAAATGAAAATAGGTGCAGAGAGTCAGAATTCGGCTCAAAAATCACGCTCAGGAGTCACATTTCGGACATTTCGGATATTTTGAAAACTGTAGGGGGGTTTGGGCAAAATATAACCCATCGCCGTTTTCAGTACTTGGCATATTTTCGGTATAAAAAGTCGCAATTTGAAAATGAAAATAGGTGCAGAGAGTCCGAATTCGGCTCAAAAATCACGCTCAGGAGTCAAATTTCAGACATTTCAGATATTTTGAAAACTGCAGGGGGGTTTGGGCAAAATATGACCCATCGCCGTTTTCAATACTTGGCATATTTTCGGTATAAAAAGTCGTAATTTGAAAATGAAAATAGGCGCAGAGTCAGAATTCGGCTCAAAAATCACGCTCAGGCGTCAAATTTCCGACATTTCAGATATTTTGAAAACTGTAGGGGGGTTTGGGCAAAATATGACCCCATCGCCGTTTTCAGTAATTGGCATATTTTCGGTATACAGATGTAATAGGACCCATTATCACCACACCAGAAATAAATATCTCTTTGATATCCCCAGGGTCAAACTTAATCTGTGTAAACACTCTATGCAAATTAAGGGACCTAGTCTATGGAACTCACTCCCTAGTGAATTGAAAAACTGTAAAACTTTTGCCTTATTTAAAAGCAAAACCAAAAAGTACCTAACTTCATCTATTTAGTTTCCTACACTGAGCTTTAATTTGCTCTGTACCTAGTGGTACCCAATCTCCTAATTTTTATGTAATATCAAACAACCTTATCATTGTGTTCATTGCTGTCTTCTTTTATGTGCTAGCCATATGCTGTATTGTGACTACCAATTTTTGTCAACTACCATTCAAGCTGTCATTGCAATCAATCTTATATTGTTTCTGCTGTATTGTGCCTACCAATTTGTTGTCAACTACCATTTTAAGCTGTCATTGCAATCAATCATAGCTACCTATGTGCTTTAATATACTGTACCTATAATTTTCTCTCATCTTTTTTTTTTTTCATTCCATGTAATCTGTTATCATTTTTTTGTCTATAAATTTTGCAAGTATTTACCTCCTTAAAATTTTCTTAGATTAAGGACCTGCCCGAAACGCTGCGCGTGCTAGTGGCTTTACAAGACTGTAATTACCATAATTGTATCCTCACATTCCTTATGTACATTCTTGTATATGCATAAATAAAATAAAAATAAGTATAAAAAGTCGTAATTTGAAAATGAAAATAGGCGCAGAGTCAGAATTCGGCTCAAAAATCACACTCATGAGTCAAATTTCCGACATTTCAGATATTTTATAAACTGCAAAGGGGTTTGGGCAAAATTTGACCCTTCGCCGTTTTCAGTAATTGGCATATTTTCGGTATAAAATGTCGTAATTTGAAAATGAAAATAGGTGCAGAGAGTCAGAATTCGGCTCAAAAATCACGCTCAGGAGTCACATTTCGGACATTTCGGATATTTTGAAAACTGTAGGGGGGTTTGGGCAAAATATAACCCATCGCCGTTTTCAGTACTTGGCATATTTTCGGTATAAAAAGTCGTAATTTGAAAATGAAAATAGGTGCAGAGAGTCCGAATTCGGCTCAAAAATCACGCTCAGGGGTCAAATTTCGGACATTTCAGATATTTTGAAAACTGCAGGGGGGTTTGGGCAAAATATGACCCATCGCCGTTTTCAGTAATTGGCATATTTTCGGTATAAAAAGTCGTAATTTGAAAATGAAAATAGGTACAGAGAGTCAGAATTCGGCTCAAAAATCACGCTCAGGAGTCAAATTTCGGACATTTCAGATTTTTTGAAAACTGCAGGAGGGTTTGAGCAAAATATGACCCTTCGCCGTTTTCAGTAATTGGCATATTTTCGGTATAAAAAGTCGTAATTTGAAAATGAAAATAGGTGCAGAGAGTCCGAATTTGGCTCAAAAATCATGCTCAGGAATCAAATTTCCGACATTTCAGATTTTTTGAAAACTGCAGGGGGGTTGGGCAAAATATGACCCTTCGCCGTTTTCAGTAATTGGCATATTTCCGGTATAAAAAGACGTAACTTGAAAATGAAAATAGGTGCAGAGAGTCCGAATTCGGCTCAAAAATCACGCTCAGGAGTCAAATTTCCGACATTTCAGATATTTTGAAAACTGCAGGGGGGTTTGGTCAAAATATGACCCATCGCCGTTTTCAGTAATTGGCATATTTTCGGTGTAAAAAGTTGTAATTTGAAAATGAAAATAGGTGCAGAGAGTCCGAATTCGGCTCAAAAATCACGCTCAGGAGTCAAATTTCCGACACTTCAGATATTTTGAAAACTGCAGGGGGGGTTTGGGCAAAATATGACCCATCGCCGTTTTCAGTAATTGGCATATTTTCGGTGTAAAAAGTCGTAATTTGAAAATGAAAATGGGTGCAGAGAGTCAAAACTTGCCAGACTGGGCTACAAGTAGTTAATTGGGCTACTTTTGAGAGCCCCACGCTCCTAAATTTTTAATTTCGCTACTTGCGACTTTTTGGGCTAGTTTAAACGCAAGTTGGGCTACTTTGGTCTATTAATATTAATATTAATAATATTAATTATTAATATTAATATTAAGAAACTCAATGATGATTATTTATGCTTTAATAATATAATCTGTACAAATCACAGCTGAGTCCAACAGCCTGATTGACTAGACCACTTACCGCAGGAGAGCCCTGGTCAGAGACCGGCCCCTGGGGACGTTGATCCTAGGAACCTTTGAAAGAAAAAGTAACCGCAAGGCCAGGTAATCCTCCCCAGGGGGCAATAGATTTCCCAACCTTAATTGTTAATAATACTTCATCCCAAAAGCTGCACCTGGTTCCACAGATCTTCATTAAGGGGAGAAAGTTATCTAGAAATTTACAGACTGATAAATGATTGGAAAGATCCCTTACAGTTAATACCTTTGTCAGGAAGACGATGGTTGGCAAGGAGTGGTAGTGTAAAGCGGCCGTTAGATCAGTGGGGTTCTCTAACAACTCATTACCAAATAGCTTCTTCCTCTTGTGATAAATATGTTGCAAGGCAACTATTTTCAATGTACGCTGATCCCTCCAATAAGCTATATTTCACATGTCTCAAACCAATCATAAATGATTTTGAAAGGATGAATTTACTTTATCAAAAGATACAGCAGATCAGTATAGCCTTCACACTGTCTTAGAAAACTTCACTCTTGGAATACTCAGAAGAATCTTTCGTCCTCATCATGCAAAGCTTTATGTTAATTTGGACTACAATTCTATGTATCTGCCCCTGGAGAAAGTTGACTTTGGTTACGAATTTTCAACACTTCTGTCTCTACGGCTTGGCGACCTCTTTTGATAATTACTTACTGTACCACTATAAAAGTTGAGCAGATCTGCGCCACATCCTATGTATGACCTTGGCCATTTTTTAGAAATTTTGAAACATTTATTTTGCAAGGACTGTACCCTGAGATACAGAGCTTTTAAGGGGGCATATCATTCTAAATCGTTATAAATTAAAAGTTGTTCAATTTGCTTATAAATTTTTTTATGAAATGGTTATAGAAAGGGCTGCAACTGGTCCAAGTTTCACCATCACACCCTAAACAGAAAAGGAGAAAAAAAATACACAATGTATTATGCAACGAATGTTCAACATTCTCAAATAATCTCAGGAAACACATGTGTCAACTAAAATGTCTACTATGTGCTGTAGAAGCACAAACTCTTGTAATAATTGTAATATGTATATGCAATATATTTATATTTAATTTTTTTTTTTTCTTTTTTTCTTTTTTTTCTTTTTTTTTTTTTGGCCAATATTTTTTTCTCGTTTGTTATCAAGGGATTTGCATGAAACTTGCACACCTTGCTCAATGGATGCCTATCTGCAAGGGTGCCAATTATGAACGAAATCTGTCGAAGTCAAGCTCAGCTACAGGTGGCCGAACTTGGATCTTTATTTTACTCTGGAAAGTAATTTACACCTTCAAATTACTTCAGAGCTTTCATTTATTAATCAATTTACATGCAAATTACACCTTATATGTAGCGTTTATGCTTCTACAGAATCTAGTAGACATTTTAGTCCAAAGTCTATTTGTTGATTTTATAAAAATTTATAAATATCATATATTGCATATTTTTTAGAAGGGTAACTTTGAAAAATTATATTATTGCACTAAACACTTTTTTGATAAAACTGATCACTAGAATCCTTTATTATGTGCTTAATTTAATATCTGAGTGTTATAGAAATGATTTTGGTTGACACATGTGTTCCCTGAAACTATTTGAAAATTCGTTGCATAATTCGTTGTTTATTTTTTTTCTCCTTTTCTGTTTAGGGTGTGATGATGAAACTTGGACCAGCTGCAGCCCTTTCTATAACCATTTCCTAAAAAAATTTATAAGCAAATTGAACCACTTTTAATTTTACATTGATATGCCCCCTTAACTGGGGTTGGACTATTTTATTTGGTCAACTGTTACTCTTTGTGTTCTGTTTGACAGAAAACTGAATATCCACCATCCTACTTTACCTATTTGCCTCATTTAATGTGCTATCAATCCATGATCACATTTATTGAATGTTTTTGAAAAGTCCTTGTGTACCACATTTGTATTTGGTTTTTCTTCTAATGCCTCAGTGATTTTGTCGTAGTGGTCAAGTAGCTGTGAGAGGTACGAGCTTCCCACTCTAAATCTATGTTGGCCTGGGTTGTGGAGGTCATTGGTCTCCATGATGCTGGTAACCTGACGCCTAATCACACTCTCAAATACTTTTATTATGTGGGATGTTACTGCAACTCGTCTATAATTCTTTGCCAATGCTTTGCTCCCTCCCTTGTGTAGAGGGGCTATGTCTGCTGATTTAAGCACATCCGGTATCTCCACGTGTCCAAGCGCTTCCTCCACACAATACCGAGTGCCTGTGCTACTGGCACTCTGCATTTCTTTAGAAATGTAGAGTGCTTTTAAATTCCACGAGTCTGGACCTGGGGCCGAGTGCATGGGCATGTTGTCAATTTCTTTTTCATAATCTGCCACGCTCGTGTTGATATTGGTTATATTTTCAGGAGTTTGGTTATCACGCATAAAGAAGTTGTCCGGATCTTCCATCTTTCATGCTGTTTATTGGGTTGCTAACCATGTCCTCATACTGTTTTTTTTTTTTGTAGGATTTCACTAATTTCTTTGTCATCCTCTGTGTATGAACCTTCACTTGTTTTTTGACAGTGAACTAATAAGTTAGTTTAATTCATTTATTATGCACCCCATACCCATCCTGTGGGCGGTAGTGGAAAGGGTTACAGAGGCACATAATGGGCTCAGGGACTGAACCCCACATTTCATTTAGCTAAGCAAGTTACAATCATGAAATAATGAAATATGTACATATACAATATTTAGCTATTAGCTTCAGTTAAAACACTGGTGCTTTAGCATAACTTAGTATTCTCCAGGGTATATATATATATCTGATCTTGTGTAACAACCTGAATGCTTCAAAATAATCTCAATACAATTCCTGAGCATTATAGAGCAATGCTAGGGAATAATATTTAACCAGCTACCATCTTTCAGGACAACTTGAGCTTTTATTCACGATAATCACATGCACACACTGATATAAAAATATAACATTTAAATAAATAAAAAAATGTAAAACAGTACAAAACATGCAACAACGATGTGCATTCAATCTATACTAAAAATGATTTATCTTTTAGGTAGTTTTACAAAACTCGTGAAAAGGTTTGTTTCATTATAAGTATAAAATGTATCTGAAAAATATTCGACTGAAAGAGACAATATTGTGCACTGATGAGATAAAGCTTTGAAGCAAATGCATCTGAATATTAAAATATTGTACTGAATAGATTTGGATTTGATCAAAACGTATCTGCAACTTTATCATGCAAGTCCTGTGCAAAATATATGTTGATGGGAATAATTCTAGAAACTTTAAAACAATAGATGCCATATAATTTAAATTTACATCATATATGCATGTAACACTTTTCATCAACACAAAGATTCTCGAGCTATAATGACACAAAATTTGTGACAAATGAGGTGAAATACAATTATGATGAATGATGCTAGATGTGAGACTCTTCCCAACAGCTTGACCAGGCATAGCACTGATAGGAACTCTTGAGCACAAAACTCAAAACAATTATTTACACTATTTACACGGTACAACTATATCACAGACAGTAGCACAATTCCTTTTAAATACAAATAGCCAGAACTGGCCTAGCCATTCACATGTGTATACAATACAGTATTTATAGTGTGTAATGTTAATTTTTGGCTTCAGTCTAAGTGCTTATAATGTAAATATTGAATACTGTATCTGTATAACTTAAAGTATGGATGTTTTTATGTAAATGATTTAATTGCACATACTGTATAGAAAATTACTGTGAAGTGACTGAACTGTGTTTTGATATATTTGCTCCTAGAGCAGTTATTGATTTCAGATGAAAAAGAAAAATGTTTTTTTTTCTGTGGAACATTATTCAGGTTCTGCTTCCTCCAATACTGTAATTACATATTAATGTGGGAAACATAATTTGCTGAAAGACGCATGTAAACATTTATGATACTGTACTTGTCAATTTTGTAATTCTTCATATTACAACAATGTATGCTAACCGTACAGTATTGAATATTATACTAAATTATTAATAAAGTGAATCGTTATAAAATGGATATAATTTTTAAGTGCATAAAAACAGTGTTACTCATTCCTTTGAATATCTTCATCTGCATAGAGCATGCACAGAACTATTACACAGTAAGTAATTAACTTGTTTTAAGTAACTAATTTCATCCACATAGTTTCCTATTTTGTGCTTCAAACTCACACTGTATCTTGTACTACCTACTTCCTCAATATTAGTACTTAAGACATATTGTATATCCTTACCAGTGTAATCACCTCTGTCAACTTATATTGTAGTGATTTGTTAATACAAAACATTGCTACAATGTACCTTTACATTTTACCAGATATGTTAGATTAAGGACCTGCCCGAAATGCTATGCGTGTGAGTGGCTTTGCATGAATATAAACATACCAGTCTTATGTAATCTCACCAACCCATTGTACCTTCTTGCAAATAAATTATTATTATTATTAATATAATTATTATTATACTGTCTGGATGTGGAACTGTTACGTCACAGCTAACAGAGAATGTGCTCAACAATTACCAGTGAAGAACAGGGGGTAACTCTGCTGTACACTTTTGAAAGCAAATATTTTGTGGTAATTGGAAATGTTGCATAAATTATCACATTGCATTTTTGGAGTGCTGAAGTCTTTGGTTTTGTCACTTTTAAAAGGTCAGTAACTTCACTTTCATTGTGGATTACCAACATTGACACCATCTTCACAATAAAATGCTAAGATTTGCATTATTGGCTCCTCTTCAGCTTAAGATTCTAAAGGTGCATCGTACGTCAGGCTGCGAGCAGCCGCGTCCAACAGCCTGGTTGATCAGTCTGGCAACCAGGAAGCGTGGTCGACGACCGGGCCGCGGGGACGCTAAGCCCCGGAAGCACCTCAAGGTAACCTCAAGGTACAGTGATATTTTTATTATCACAACCATTTGAGGCAACCTTGCTATTTAATTGTGTAACTTAGGGAATCCCACTTCACTTAATGACTAGCTGTGAAATACTGTAATGTTAGAATGTTTCATTTCATAACTGAACATACAGAGAAACAACATAGGACTGCTGTCAAACCATTGCTTCTCAGAACATCTTGTCCTTAGTCATCCAGAAAACTGCACTGTCTGCAGCATTATTGTATTCTTTCTCACTTTTTAGGTGCTAAAGGTACGTCATCCTGAAAAAAAGTGAAAGGTGCTAATGAATGATGTAAAAACACAAAAATTGTATAAATACTCTACTGGTGGTCAACCAAGGTTCATCCTAGCCAAATGGGTTTATTTAAGCTCAATGTTTTAAAAGGAGAAACAATTTTAAGTAAAATTGGTTCCTTTCATAAATGGTGTGTACCAAGTTTGAAAGATGGGTCCCCAGAAATTACCTTTACCACCTTAAACCCATGGACTGCTACGATTGTTAGCCACAATTTTAGGACATGTAAACTTATTGCTATTTAGACTTTTCTCAGAGGATGGACACAGAATTGCCCAGTAAAGGAATTATGCATGGAAGAGAATTTTCATGATTTAAAAATACAAATCTATGCACACTGAAATTCCCACTGTGTATCAACTTGGGATAAGGAAAACCAAATTGGAGTTAAAGCTTCACAAGTGATTTGTGAAAGATTGTAGATTAATGGCATGAAAGACCTAGGACGGTAGTTAATTCAAGATGACGTGGATGGAAAGGACAAATTAAATTCTTTAATATGCAAAAGATAGAGTAAATGCGAGAAGCAGCTGCAGAGTAAATATTGTATGGCCATACTTTAAGAATAGGCACACAACTTGGGGGTGAACAGCCTTTGAGTTTCTAAGAGCACGAGGCACGGAAACAACAATAGCAGAAAGATAAGCAACTTTGTAGTGGGAGGCCAGTGACTTAAGTTTAGATGTGAGATCTGGCAAAATGATCCATTTACCAGCTTCATCTGAACTGCATCGAGAGTTTTGATCGAGGGCAAGATATAAAAGCAGTATTCTGGACAAGCAAGTAGAGTAAAAGTAACATGTTAAATATACCTTGAACCTAGAGGAACCCAACTGTGATACTTTGAGATACTGATGGAGGTTTGAGATATGAGATACTGTATATGTACTGAATCATCTGCATAAAAAATACAACACTATTATATAAAGTTTGGTATATATTACTTACATCGTCTATTATAGGCACTTCAGGCCCTTCAGTGTACTGATAATCCCTTGGGTTGTATAACAACTCATCTTGGCCAAGGATATAGCCACCACCTTCAGTGTCTTCGTCTGTTGTTTTCCGATATACTGGATTGGGGAAACGGGTGTGAAGTACGTGTATAACACCACCGCGCACCTTCCACCACCCAACAAACAGCTGTCGAATAAGTACAAAATATAATGTTCAATGATGGTAAAATTTATTATTAATTTATTTATGACTTGTAACAAGCACCAGCAAAAAATTTTGTTCTTTAATGATGGAAAATTTTGCAATACTGTAATGTACATTTTATATACTGTATAATCAATGGAGCTCTATTGAGCACAAGCCAAAATTTCTTACAGTAACTTGGCCTTATGTCTCATCATTATTGACTGGAAATACATTTCTTTTTCAATTCTCATTTTGGCCTTTGTTTATAAGAATATTGTTTGAAAGCTACATAATCTTATAAATCTAACCCCCAAGAGGAATGAGCCTAAAATAATGTACTGTATATGGAAATTATAGTTTTGTTTAATAAAAGGTAGCTGAAATTCAAGGTTTACACCATATTTGGAATATGATGTAAAATGAACACACTATACTATATGTTGTAAACTTACAGCTGTGGCCAATGCTAGAACCACAATAGCGCCAATAGAAGCTCCAAGAATCATGCCAACTTGAGGACTGTGTATAAGGTCTTTGTCAGTCATTGGAGAATCTACATATTTGGCACTTCCAGACACTGGTAAAGCTGTTGCAGCACTGTCTATGTCCATATCTGTCTCAAGAATGTCAGTGTTGTATTCAGTTAGACCGACATTAGATGGCAACTCTGTATCATCTGAAAGAAATATGAAAGAAGAAATTTATAAATTTTCCTGTCACCTAAAAGTACTATGTACTTATACATTGTGGTATAATAAAACTAATAAAATTTCAGTTGCAGTGAGTAGCAATTTATCATTCTTAATACTGAAACATGGAGTTGTAATTATGACATTTAACTCACCAGTATAAATGCAAGTGATAGAATCTCCATTTAAGAAGACCATGCCATCTGGACAGACACAGAGAGGGACCCCTTCAGGACTACGAACACACAAGTGGCTGCACTTGTGAGATGAACATACATTATCTCCATTAGGCTGCCGATACTCGTGGTAGACATGTACAACCTTTGGTGACTCCAACTGTAACATTGAAAAATGTAAATTTAACATATTTTGTAACTTTCATCAGATGCATGTCACACAAAGCAAAAACTGTAAGGTGAGTACAGTATGTACAGTATAATCTTATCTCTCTCTCTTGCCTTTTAATAACACCTTACTCTTAACCAACATTTACATTTAATATGCTTTTATTGTACACTATAGAAGCCATTCATCACTTTCTATGCTTTCACATTCGGCCATTAATAATAATAAGCAAGACAAAAGACAATTGATCAGTGTGTCTTTTCAATCTGTTAAAACTTTGCACAGCATTCCTTCCATTGTTTGCAGCTTGCTACATCACATAAATATATATTTACCAAATAGTTTGTATTCAACTGTAGTGTATGTACTTGCATGAATCAACCTTTCAAAGTATGTTATATGGTAAATGTCATGTTTTAATACTGTAGTTCAAAACAGTTCATTACACACATACAATACATGTACAAAAACTTACCAAATGTCCAGCTGACACATTCTGGATGTCTTCTCCAGTGAATTTATCAGCACTGTAAAGTGCAAGCTTTGACCAGTCTGTCCAATATAATCTGTCTTCAAACACAGTGATCGAGTATGGCAGACGAAGTACTTTCGGTGAGAAGAGAATAACCTACAAAATAAGGAGAGTGTTATTGGACAATACATAATTAACTAAAATAAAAATATGCCTTAACATTGGGTATACAGTACTACATAAACCAATAGACAACATTCACTCATCAACACTCATATTCCAGTGATGGTACTCGTTTTCTGGTACTAAGCAAAAAAAAAAAGAAAAAAATTCAGGTACTCTCTTAGCAACATATTCAGTAGAATGCAAAATTGTTAAATAGATAATGCCTGTATCTCTCCAAATTCCTTCTAATATACGGTATTGGAAACATTCAAATGTACTATACCAGAAACATTCAAATATACTGTACACGAAACATTCCACTATACTGTATCGGAAACATTCCAATATACTGTACTGTTTTGGAAACATTCCAATGTACTGCAGCAAACATTCCAATGAACCATATCAGAAACATTCTAATCTACTGTGATGCTAATATCATAGCTAAAAATGTGGTAATTAAAATTGTAATTTTTAATTTAGTAAATCAATACTGACCTCAATTTGTGATCCATCAAGATTGGATTTGCTAATAGTGTTAAGTTTGCCATCACACCAGTAGAGGCGTTTATTAGAATGGTCAATAGTAATGCCATTTGGCCAGTAGACATGGGGAGCAGTGACGATGGCTGTGCGGTCACCACCATCCAGTCTAGCACGCTCGACTTTGGGTGAACTGCCCCAATCGGTCCAGAATATATACCTAAGAAACAAAAAGAGAATTGCTTATTATCGTGGAGGAAAAGATAACAGATATGTTTTGCTGTTATGTGTGGCCATACAAAGAATGTTTGGTTAGAAATACTAAGCTGGCTCATGGTGTTGCATCCCCATGAAAGCTTGAAACAGGGTAATGATAATGTATTTACAATATTGTGAATATACATGTCACCTAATACAAAACATGTTAAAAAAATGATAGATGACTAACATAAAGCTATAAAAATGAGCCTCATTTATACATGGTTACAAATTTATGTAGCCATGCAGTCTCAAATGAACTGCAAATTACGAACCCGTCAAGGGGACTGACGACAATAGCTCGTGGCTGTCCCAGTTCTTCTTTTACAATTGCCTTGGACCATTTAGCATCCCATGATATCATTTGGATCCTGAAGTTGGTGGTATCTGTATAGTAGATATGATTGTGGATCCAGTCTACCGCCAGACCATCAGCTGACACTTTCTCACCATCCACAAGCACCTCTCGCACTTCAGGATTGGTCATGTTAGTTCTGCAGAGGTGGACAGAATTATCAGTACTGCAAATTAAATTATTCCTAAGACTATAAAATCAAACTTTAAAATGTATTATATACAGTACTACTTGCAATAATATCAAGCATATGTCTTCATGCTGTATAATGTTTTATACATACCTTATTATCTTGTTTTCCTTATTATCTGACCAAATGATCTGATGACTTATGTATAAGTAGTCAAGAGCTGTAGCGCCGCGAGCCTCTCTCACCACTGATGTCATGTCACTGTCCCTCAGCCGCAGGCTTCGAATGTCATATCTATGGTACAGTATTTAAAAAACTTAATTAACAACTACAATATACAATATTTCATTAAAAAAGTCATGCTTATCGTGATTTTACCATCACAATTAATTATGAACTAATTTTATACAATATATTACTTTTATGATTACAGTGTCTGAGACTGTAATACAGTATTAACATGAGTGCAGAGAGGCTAGAAGACAGCATTTTAAATGTGGAGCAGATGGGAACGTGTTGTGAATACAGATATTCACAACACATTGTCTGCAGATAAAACCAGCAGACTGCCAGTTGCAGTGAAAACATTCTTTTGCAGTAGATGGCAAACATTCTCATTGCAACGGAATCAAAAAAAGTTTCAAAAACTGTGGGCATTCTTTCTAAGATCAGATATTATGTACCACGCCCTGCTCTGGTGACTCTCTATTACTCCCTTATCTATCCTTATCTCAACTATGGTATTTGTGCTTGGGGTTCTACTACCCAAAATCACTTACGTCCTCTAATTACCCAACACAAAGCCGCTATTAGAACAATATCCAACTCTGGCCCCAGACATCACTCGGTACCCTACTCAAATCTCTGAATATGTTAGATATTAAGTCACTGCACATTCTCTCATGTGTATTATACATATATAAAACGCTAAACTATAATGCCAATCCTGATCTTAAAAGCTTCATAGAAGGTTGTAACAGTGAGCACCACACCAGAAATAAATACAGTATTCCTAGAGTAGTCTTAATCAAACTAGAAATGCTCTGCAAATCAAGGGGCCCAGAATGTGGAATGACCTTCCCACATGTTAAAGACTGTACCTCTCTCAACCAGTTTAAGATAAAAACTAAACACTACCTAATAAATTCCCTGTTGTCAACCCATGTCTGATACAAATCAACACTGTTTGTCAACCTATTGTATTTGTGCTGCTTTTTCAGTCATGTTCCCCCTTTTTTTTTATCTTTATGTGTATTTGTTCTCAACATCTTTTATTCTTTATGCTCAATTAGTATTAAGTTCTAGATATTAATGTTTTTCTTGCCCGAAACGCATTGCGTAATAGTGGCTTTAGGCATTGTATGTACTAGCATTAATGTAACATCACTTGTATGTATATACCTTACCTGAATAAACATCTGAATCTGTACATCATCATTATTGACAAATTAACATGGCAAAGACAGTAAATAAAGTATTCAGACAATGCACACTCCTCCTCATGTCAAGTTTCAGATACAAATAAGGAAATGTTCTGTTCAGTTCTCTTAATTTCTTATGGAAATGGAGACTGCTAATAAGAGATAGTGAACAAGATCTCAATTTATTTACTGTACTATGTATTACCTGTGTGAGAAGAGCAAGTATGGCTCGCCTGAAGATGCCTTACAGCGGGTGTAATTCCTTGGATCCCTTTCATAACCAGGAAGGCAGGAACAGTGGTAACTGCCAACAGTGTTGACACACCGTTGTGAACAAGTGCCAGGAATCTCCAAGCATTCATCAATATCTGCACGATAAGAGTAATTTTAAAGGTAAGATTTAGCAAAGAGGAACATTTTGTAAATTATCCACAAGCTTAATGTACTATGTTTGGTAAGAAAACTGAATTATATGTTTTATGCAGGTCACAAATGTATACTGCAAAGCCAAAAATTCCATTTCTGCATATTGTACAAGATATCTATCTACCTTCACAAGTGTATTTTCCAACGAGACGATAACCACTGCGGCACTGGCAATAGTAACTCTCTCTCGTATCTACACACAATTGAGTGCAGCCACCGTTGTTGCGTTCACATTCATTTGGTCCACACAATTCCTCTGACTCATCCTAGAAGTAATGAGCAAATATTAAGTACAGTAATGACAAAGTCAAAGAACAATCAAACTAAATCTGTGTAAACACACTATGCAAATACATGTATAGGGACTAGCGTATGGAACTCACTCCCTAACGAATTAAAAATCTGTCCAACCTACGCCTAATTCAAAAGTAAAACCAAAAAGTACCTAATTTTATCCTCATAGTTTCCTACCTTGTGCTTCAAACTCACACTGTATCTTGTGCTATCCACTCCCCAAAAATATGTGCCTAAGCCATGCAACTTCACCATTGTAATCACTGCTATCATCTTATATTATAGTTGTTATGTTGAATGCAAATTTTACTACAATGATCCTGTAGTAATAAACCTCAAATTATACTACAATGTACCTGTTGATAATCCTCAAACTTTACTATAATATACCTACTAATTTTCTTTAAGTTTTCTTACGATGTACCTGATAACATTTTTCAATTTTGCTACAAATTACCTACTTAATATTATCTGTTATATTAAGTACCTGCTAGAAACGCTATGCGTGAGAATGTAAAATTTTACAAGAATGTAAAAATATCAATGCTATGTACTCTCATAAACCCAATATACCTTCTTGTATAAATAAATAAATAAATAAATAAATAAATAAATAAATAAATAAATAAATAAATAAACAAATTATCTGCCTGTTATGCAAAAGTGTAAATTCATATGTACACTTGCTTTATGACCCACTATTAAATATTTCTGTTTTAAATAAAGTAAAATATGAAAATAAACTGACTAGTTGCAATAAATTAATGAATTGTAGCCGTTTCCTGATACTCATAAAATAGCTGATACAGTACTGTATGAACTCTAATTCCTGAGTCGAAATGCTGCGCATACTAGTGGCTTTACAAGATTGTAATTACTATATTATGTATCCTCACAATCCCAATGTACCTTCTTGTATATATATATAAATAAATAAATAAATAAATAAATAAATAAATCATCTTACCTGCCAGTCACCGCAATCATTTCGGCGATTACACAGGCGTTCACGAAGGATACACTTGTTATTTGTACACAAGTAATGAGTAGTCAAGTTGCAGGGTTTTTCAGCTGGTTCTGGCATAGGTGTAGGTGTAGCTGTAAAAGATAATTACATTAAACTAAAGGCAAACTTTCATTTTATACCTTAACTAATAATTATAACTCCTTCACATTCTGGATACTAATAAGAGCAGATGGACATTTGAATATCAAACAACATTTCAAGTAAATACATTACATTTCAAAATTTGCACTACAACACTACAGAGAAGTACTTACTACAATTAACTTCATCAGATCCATCCCTGCAATCACTTCTGCCATTACACTGTAGCATTAAACGAACACACTGCTTATTTGCACATGTGAAATGAGTAGAAGGGCATTTTGGGCAGAGTGTTTGTGCCTCATCTTCACCATTTGGACAGTTTTCCTCACCATCACACACCTGGGTGTTGAGGATACAGTATTCACCACACTGATATTCATTATCACGGCAGGTAGGCCGGGGAGTAGTTGTAACTCGTACAGTAACTACTGTTCTGTTCCTGCAAGCCTGCAATAAAATAAAATATTGAAGTAAAAATAATTGCAAGAAAATTAAGTGTTTAAGTACTGTACAAATATTGAAGTTACATTATGTTTTGTGAATAGTTAAAATGTAGTCTAAAAAACAATTATGAGACTACAGTATACTGCAGAATGTTTTTTTTATGATATTGTGACTTTTTTACAATAATGTACAGTAATTGTATATCACAAGTAGCATTAACATCAATTACATTTTGCTGAACTTGCCTTTTCATCTGATCCATCAAGGCAGTCTTCCTCCCCATCACAGACCCAACGAGATGGAATGGTCATTCCTGAGTCACATCGGAACATGTGAGCAGGAAGTGGTGTAGTTTGTAAAGCTGTACAGTTCTCCTGCACACAAAATATGACATCTGTTAATTTTGTTATAAAACTTGTATACTATGTATTATTTATAGCAAATGTTTGTGTAATATATTCAAAACTAAGAAATCGGATTTGTTATATTGTGCTGTATTTAAAAAATTTGTTATAGCAAACATGTCTTACTTCATCAGAGCCATCTGCACAGTCTTTCTGGCCATTACATCGCCACCTGCCCGTAATACACTGTTTGTTGCTTACACACTGGAATTCCGCAGCATGACACTTATCTGTATGAGAGAAACATATGGTACAGTACTTATATATACACACACATATATATATACACACATCTCAGGTTAATCTCATGTGACTGATATTTTGTTTTGGGCTTACCCATTTTAACTAGATTTAGATTTACAGTAGCTCTAAAACTAGTTAATCTTAATTCCAAATATATCTATGCAGTATACAGCCAGAAGCAATCATATTACATGGGTTAATTAATATAATAATATTGATAGCACATAAATAAATGACCAGAAACGTACAACAGTCACTGTTGGTTTCATCAGTATTATCCCGACAGTCATCCTGGCCATCACACTTCCACGTAGATGGGATGCAGTTCCCATTCCCACACTTAAATTCTGTTGAGCGACATTCTCGCACAAGAGCTGTACCAGTTTCTCCAATACAGTTTGCTGGCTGGAATATAAAGTTAAAACAATTAACAATACATATAGTAAATTAAAATGAGTTGGTTTTGTATCCCATAGTTGCTGACAGAAAGCGTGTTAGACTACTCAATGTTCTCCCTTAAGTCAAATACTGAAATTCATCAGGATGCAACCTACAACATTTGACTAACTCATGGGTACCTATTTGCTGCAATATATAAACAGAGGTGAATACAAGGTTGCCCAAACTCTTTGTCCTGTCACAGGAATTAAACCTGAAACCTTTTTTTTTTTTTTTTTTTTTGAGATATATACAAGAGTTGTTACATTCTTGTACAGCCACTAGTACGCGTAGCGTTTCGGGCAAGTCCTTAATCCTATGGTCCCGGAATACGATCCCCTGCCGCGAAGAATAGTTTTTTCATCCAAGTACACATTCTTTTGGTTCAAGGCCTGAGACTGCACTTACTACTACATAGGTAGTAGGGTTTAGGCAGTTCCACAGGGTTATAAACCCCATGGAACCACCTACCTATTGAAGCCAGGTAGGTGGTTATGCACTCGCACAATTTATGCGATTGCATAAATTGAGGGGATTGAACATGAAAAAAGTATTAAAGAATTTAACATTTAGAGTACAGTAAACTCTTATCACAAATGTTAAAGAAATGTTCAAGTAATTACTGTAATTCAAAAGACTATCAGAAATCTTAGCCAAGTATCCAAAGTTTGCTTACTGTGGGTAGTGCATGCACATAATTGTAAACTTTAATCATAACTCATTGGATGGGTATGGGGTGTATGACAGACAAATTAAAATGATACATAACTCAACACAAATATAAATTGTTGAGCTTAAAGCTCATTGGGGGTCTAGTACCTGAACCATGTAACACTAACATGTCTCCCACACACCCACAACACTTGCTCAGTGTTGGAGAAACTAATTAAACTAAAAAATGAAAAAAATTGCAGCTACCCACATGTTCATCAGTGCCGTCAGTACAGTCTGGGTCACCATCACAGACCCACTTCAGAGGGAGACACCTGTTTCCATCACAGGAAAACTCAGTAGAGCGACATGCTGAAGAGAAAATGCACATGAACATGGAATGCCAAGTTAACTATAAGCTCCATTATTTAAGCTATATTCCGAGATATATTACCCTTTACATGGATGTAAATTCAGGTAAATTCAAAGGAAATGGGTAAAATACAAAATTTATACTGCAATTATAGTTCTAAATAACTAATTAATTTTTTTAATAGTATTAATAATGTTAGGAAATATTTAAGGTCAAAATAAATTGCATAATAATTGTTTGTAGTGTATAATTAAAGTACAGAAAAAATAAACAATCTTGTCAGTTGTCTTCATATTATTTCTGTACAACAATGCAAACAATTTATAAATTATGCACTTGTTAAAAAAAAACTGAACCAAGGACTAGTATGCATGAGTCATGGTAATGCTGTGACAACTGTGACCCAGTGACTTTATCAAATAAACTAACCCAAGGACTTGGGTAGGAACCCAGTGCTTGGTTTTAATCATTTGGTGAGGAATTAACCTAAACAGTATGAACTTCTAAATGCTAATCCCCACAATTATCAAGCCCACATTAATTACTCAAACATCTGCTACAACCCTGGACCACATATGGACTAATATAATAGCCCCCCCCCCACCACCTTATCTCTAGTATAATCACTGACAGAACAACCGATCACTATCCAGCAAACCAGCAATAGGGACTCTCATAAATGCACTTCACAATATAAACGTCACAATGCAGGATGTCAATCCGGTTAATGTTTACCTAATTTATGCAAGAGTTCTTGCATTCTTGTACAGCCACTAGCATGCATAGCATTCCTGGCAAGTTCTTAATCCTAATTTTCACACACACATCCCCAAGAAGCAGTCCATAGCAGCTGTCTAACTCCCAGGTACCTATCTACTGCTAGGCCAACAGGGGCATCAGGATGAAAGAAACTCTGCCCATTTGTTTCCACCTCCGCCGGGGATCGAACCCAGACTCTTGTGACTACGAACCCCAAGCGCTGTCCACTTAGCTGTCAGGGCCCCCTAAATTTCTTCAAGAGGTCAGATGTAACACAAACAAGGATCACTGGGTTCAAGCTCAATAAACCACAATGTAGGACAGTAAACAGGAGATGCTTTTTCACCCATAGGATCGTAAAGCCGTGGAACAGCCTACCCGCCAAAGCCTTAAATGCCAAAACTCTGCTGGGTTTTAAAATTCTGATGAAAAAGCTCATCAGGGTAAATGGGGGGACCTCTGACAAGCTTTCGGCTTCCTGTCCTCATCGAGGCCACTAGTATTAGTGGCCCTTGGGTAAATTCAGACAAACTGGGAATCTGAACTCAACAATTCACAGGATATAAATTCATTAGCTGACATCTTTCTCTCCCAAACTGTAAGCCTCTACAACACACACTGTCCTCTACCCACTAAGCAAGTATAGTAACTGCCAAAAGATTAAACAATCCCTGCCTCACAAGTGGCATCTTGAGATGATGATTTGATGACGATGAGATGATACTTAAAACAATTAACAAGAAACACGAATATGAAAAAAACATAGGATTGGCCTAGTTACAGAAGAAGTTAAAAGATACTCATCAATCCTTACCAATATAACATGAAGATCCAAAGCTTCCTTTCATGATAATAGATTTAAAAAGCAACAGGAAATATGAAAAGTACACGGAAAGCCATCTCTAACATCCTAGAGTCTAAATAATAATCTCATAACAAGCAGATAAAACTCTTCAAAGATGGCTACCCACTTGCAACAGACTTAGATATTGCAATTGAATTCAATAGCTTGTTTCCATCAATTGGTGCTAACCTTGCCAGAAATCCCAGAGACCCAGACACAGGTTACTACATATCTCACAGGCAGCTATCCTAACTCTCTATACTCCTTTTACAAGTCAGCCCGACAAGCTGGGAGAGAGAGAGAGAGAGAGAGAGAGAGAGAGAGAGAGAGAGAGAGAGAGAGAGAGAGAGAGAGAGAGAGAGAGAGAGAGAGGAGAGAGAGAGAGAGAGAGAGAGAGAGAGAGAGAGAGAGGAGAGAGAGAGAGAGAGAGAGAGAGAGAGAGAGAGAGAGAGAGAGAGAGAGAGAGAGAGAGGAGAGAGAGAGAGAGAGAGAGAGAGAGAGAGAGAGAGAGAGAGAGAGAGAGAGAGAGAGAGAGAGAGAGGAGAGAGAGAGAGAGAGGAGAGAGAGGAGAGAGAGGAGAGAGAGGAGAGAGAGGAGGGAGAGAAAGGGAAAGAGAAAGGAGGATGGGAGAGAAAGGGAAAGAGAAAGGAGGAAGGGAGAGAAAGGGAAAGAGAAAAGGAAAGAGAAAGGAAGAGAGAAAGAGAAAGGGGAAAGAGAGGAAAAAGGAAGAAAGAGAGAGAGTTGTCTAACTCCTGGGTACCTATTTAAATTACTGCTTGGTAAACAGAGGCATTAGGTGAAAGGAAACGTGCCCAACCATTTCTATCCCGACCGATATCGAACCCGGGATCAAGAACATGGCCAGTGTACTAGATCTATATAGTTATACCAATATATATACTCTGGTGTATGTTAACTACAAAAGGTTAAGTAATTTTAGGTCTGCAAAAGTTAGCAATGCTAAAAATAACTTTCAATCATTTCTAACTTAGATATAAGTAGTTAATAGACTAAGTGATATGTACTGCTGGTGTGAAATGCTCTTGTACTTACCACCAGACGCTAGTCCTGCTGAGGCACTAAGCAGTACTACTATTATCTTCATTTTTCTTCTCGCAGCCATTGAACAGTTAGAAAACACAAGGGTAGAACAATACTGCTCGCTGGCCTAGCACACACTCCTGGTGACTGGAGGCCGCCACGGTATATATCCCCCGGCCACGCGCTCCTCCCCCACCATCCCTCCATTAAAGTTTCACTGTATTACGCTCACTTTCATTTCACGGATTACTGCCTTATAACAGCTATGAGCTACGGTGGGGGCTTATGTTATTTATTTATTTGGTTAGCTTTTATATAAATAAATCCATTGTTTATATGTAATTTGTGAATCAATTTATAAAGAAAATTATTTAAATATAAATGTGTAAAAATGTGCTACCGCGGCTCGGCGTGCAAGTTGGTGGCCAATGAACTGCGCAGGGATCTATGTCAAATTTAGTCCACAAATTATATTAAAACATTTGTTACTTCAGTAGGCCTAGTATATAAAAATTAATGAATTAGTGTAAGCATTTTAAGCAACATTTATGATTCAATCATTTCTTTCCCTCAAGACAATACTTAAATAATATATTTCCTTCAATGCCCCGGCAGGCTCCGCCCACTGCGACAGGCGTGCCAACCGTTCCGTTCTTCTCAGTTGTAAATAAACATTGAGCAAATTTAAGTTGCCGGCGCGTGAGAAAAGTTACGGCCCGTAGTCCTACACTTAACTGATTAGCCTTTTCTATGACTGACTAACCATCCTCTGAGATGCGAATATTGATGAACTTAGTTTTTGATGAGCTAGTTTTTTATCTACACTGTGTAATCTAACAGCGGCTTGAAAAATGCTGCTAATTATAAACAGTAATTATGTTTATGTAGCTGTAAGATCCCGACAAGACTTGAATTCATTGATAATAATAATAATAATAATAATAATAATAATAATAATAATAATAATAATAATAATATTTATAATTATTATTATTATTATAACTGCACTTTTTCTCTCCAAAGCAATTAGCGGAGATTCTATACTTGTCTTGGATACTTTTGTGCGTTATCAGCCATTCATTTACGATATTTATGAAACGTTGAAGTACCAGTATGCTTTAATCTCCAACATGTTGCCAAAATACCTTTCATAATTTTGCATATTTCGAGTGGTAAGAGCGGAGAAATTGGGCTGTGTTCGTGCAATGGGAACTCTGGAAGTCACATATCGCACTACATGTTGATTAATTCTTGACGGAGGGACTTGTGAAGAAGGTAAATAAAGATTTAGAATTTTGTTAACGTTGCAGTAGACTGCACACAGATCAGCCACATCCCTTGTATGTGTTGGAGTGTCTGGATGTGTAGCATTGGGCCAAGTATATAACTAAGTTTGCTTCTCACTAGATTGTTGTTATTAACGTATTTATGTACATCTGCATTTATGCAACTACCTGATTTTATCTAAGGGTCACTAACACTTCAGTGGCCTCGACAAATACAGTAAGCAGGCGGCTTGTCTAAAGTCCCCTCTTTGCCCTGATAATTTTTTCAAGATTATAAATTTATCCAGACTACCATAGACATAGGGTTACATGTTGTATCAAGAGCTAGCTACGTGATGCTAAAAAAATCCACAGGATAATTAATCATGCAGGTTCATGTGATCATTGGTCTCTACTGGAAAACTTTGTGTACATTATGAGGATATCCTCATAATGTACCCAAAGATTTCCAGTACAGACCAATGATCACATCAACCTGCATGATCAATCAACCTGTGAGATGACATTCAATACTGTAGTATAGTGAAATCATGACCCAGTTCCTGCTCACAGAGTTTGCACCTGCAGTACTCAGGATTGGGAGATTCGCCACCTGTAGCCTCCTGCCACAGGTAACGGCAACCCACTTGCCAACCACTATGTGTCACACTGTCCGATAACCATTTTGTGCTGACCATATACTTAGGTTTCGGATCTAAACAAATCATATAACTTATTTACTGGTGCTTTCAGGACTTAGGGAGTCAGTAATTTCATTCCTATCAGACCGGGGTGTTAAAAAGAATCGTCTTTACAACACATGTGGTGATACTACGTATGTCGACTAGTTCAATTTCATCTTTGCTACATGCTAATTTGGCTACAATGTCTGAGTCATCATGATATGGGGTTTATATATATGTGAGGGGTTCAGAATCTCTTTTGTATCCAACCACACAAAAGAGATTCTGAACCCTTTATTATATGTAGGTTTTTATAACTGCTATTATGATGCACTTGCTGTACATCTTGCAGGAAAAAGTTTCAAAAGTGCTTGAAGAGTAGACTTTATATCACAGAAATTTACTCCTGCTTTCTTTTAGTATACTGTTAGCTATAGTTGCAGTGCAGTTAGTGTTCTGTTTGTGTTGAATTCCTCTAGTTGCTTAATCTGACACGATGCTAACAACAATAGATCCTTTAAATCTGTGGACATGAATCCAACATTAGAGCTGAACACTTTTTAATAACAATAATGATATATAAATAACATTAATAATAATAATACTAAATAAATAACATTAATAATAATAATACTAAATTATGCTTAATAATTAATTGTAGTATTTATACAAGCAATAATAAAAATAATGTTAATAAAATAAATTTTATAAAATAATTAAAAACAAAAATACGTACTTGCTGTACAATACTAACATACTGTAGTAGTAGAACCTAATAATACCACTATTAACACCTTGATTAATAACAGTATTGTACTATATTATATTTAATAATTAACAGTGTTAATACAAGTATTAATAACAAAAATAGCAGTAATAAAATAAATACTAAAAAATAATAATAACCAATTAAAAAATAAAACACAATAGGAATGACGTTTCAATCAATTGCGTCGGTAATGTGACCCAGGATGGCGACGCCCTCGGAGAGAAGGGGCAGCTCCTCCCTCCCGCGGCCAGAGGTTGCCCCAGTCACCCACGTGATCGCTGCGTGGAAGTCGCTTTCACACCCACACACACACACACACATACACATATACACACTCTCTACTGGCTATTTATAACATTTGTAAGTGTGTATGTGCCTGAAAATATCTCATATGCGTAGCTTGTACAGGCTGTCGTGGGAAAAAGATCTATAGTATTTTTTAAAATACTATAAAATACTTATTTTATATTATCTATAAATTTGGATAAAAGGTCTAATCATACTTCACTGCCATACTGTATTATCATACACCGCTACCATATTGTATTATCATACATCGTTGCTATACTGTGCCTTCAGTGTTGATCCTGAATGTCGCGTACATGATCCATTGTTAGCTGAATATAGGCTGGGGTCAGAATATAGGCTGGGGTCAGAATATAGGCTGGGGTCAGAATATAGGCTGGGGTCTGAGTATAGGCTGGGGTCAGAATATAGGCTGGGGTCAGAATATATACTGGGGCCAGAATTACTCGTTAAATGTTCTTAAAGTATCTGGAAAATATAAAATTCTTGATTATTGGCACAAATATTTTAAAATTTTAGTATATAAGCTTTCTAAGACTTTAATTGAGGCGGATTTTGCCATTGATATTACTTATAACACAAACAATAGCGATGATAATATTAATAATAATGATAATACTAACAATGATAATAATAATAACATTAAATATTAATAGCAACAAATAACAGTTTAATTCATGGTAATCCCGCTAGGCTTGTGTGTGTGTGTGTGTGAGGCAACATACAGATGCTGTGTGTTTATGTTAGACTGACGTAACTCCACAGGAAGTTGTGGAAGCATATGCAGCAGTCGGGTACGTTTTAAATTATTTTATATATGTTTTAATAAATTGGATCTTGAGTTTATGTTTATGCTATTGTCAAAAATTACTTTTTAAATGCGTGAGATGAACATATGTAGACTAATAACAAAATACAAGTGAAACATATAATTGGTGTTATAATTGGTCTCTTTTCTTAACAGTGATGATTGGGAAAGTCAATTTAGACCAGTACTTAAATAGTCCATTCCAAAATGGGAAGAATCTATTGGAGCCTGACCCCAATAGATTCATCGCTAACATATTGTATTATTGCTAAGCGCTGAGTGGACAGCGCTCGGGGTTCGTAGTCCTAAGGGTTCGGATTCGATGCCCGGCGGAGGCAAGAACAAATGGGCAGAGTTTCTTTCACCCTGATGCCCTTGTTCACCTAGCAGTATATAGGTACCTGGGAGTTAAAAATGCTGCTTCCTGGGGATGTGTGTCTGTGAAAATTAGGATTAAGGACTTGCCTGAAGTGCTACGCGTACTAGTGGTTGTACAAGAATGTAAGAACTCTTGTATAAATAAATAAAATATAAAAGTAAATATTCAGTAGATAAACTTTTATTTAAAGTAAATTAATCATTGGGATTAACGTTGTAGTCTTCAAATTTATCATACTACCATAGTCTACTGTATGTATCATAAAATAGACGTTTAAAATCCAATCAGGAGTGCTGTATTAAAAATTAGGAAAGCATCTTAAGTACATGTGAACTACAGGTAACAGTAGAACTATTGGTCCACAACTTGGTTATATTTGCAAGAGAATTGGGACTATTTCTATTTTGATTGAAATTAGGATAAAGAAGATCATCCGGCTTATGCTACAGGCTGGAGAAAATGATCAAATAGTACCATGTCCTGTTGCTACTTGCATGAGCTGTGATCATTAAGTACTGTATGTACTGGGCGGGGAAGTCTGCAGAGGGTGAGGACGCAAGCGGCCTTCAACACTACTAGGTCACCCATGTGCCCTAGTCATCACCAGACAACCTTCACATGATCCTGTGTGCTTATGTCTAGCTCTCGGCAGTGCTCGTACATATGGAGTTTCCACCAAGAGCCAAATAAGGGAGAACAAACAATTTAACATGTGTTTTGTGATATTTTCAGTAGACTGGGAGGCACACAAAGGACCTCGCACTGGGGTCGTATCCAAGGCAGGGTGGGATGACTGGGCACCATACCTTCACTGGTGTCCCCACCAGAGCCTTGTAGTTATTCGAAATCCGGATGGGAAGCTATTGGCTCTGTGAAGTGTAGGAGTGAGAGTTCGTAGCCTAGCTGTAAACAAGAGCTCGTCTGAACCCGTA